ATTTGCGTCAACTCTTGTGTCCGGACACAAATGAAAAATATTTGTTTGTTGGTGAATCATATGGTATATGAAGTATTTCTTGATTTAGTACGAGAATTAGGAGCCCATCTCACACTCTAGTTTAGAGACATTTTACAAGAAATCGACCAGTCATTAGATCCATTACTTCAAAGACTCCTTATTGGTCCAATTTGTGCCAAATATGCCGGTAAAATCGGGCTTAAAGGACACTTGAAGTAAATACAATTATTTCTGTTTCTTAGTTGACTTTTCAAATTTTCACATTACAACGGCAGAACCAAAATACACCTCAGTTAGAATGTTCATTGCCCATTAACTATAACAGTCCCACTTCAATCAACTGAAATGCATATCATGTCCATACAATTAATAATACTAATAAAATGAGTTGCTCAAGATCGGTACGGTTTGAAACCGCCAATCAGTAGAAGTATTTTTCTTGTGTATTTAAACAAAAAACTGGATGTAATTAATTCTCACTAATTTATGAACCTGACAACTATTGCATAAGCTTACAAGAAATAAGTATAATGTATTTCATTTATCAATTTTTGCATTGCAAAATAACACTTTTTCTAAACCTACCTATGTATAATTACATGCGGTGATTCTGCATTTTATGAAATTTCACGCACAGTCTAATATAAAACCACATACTTGAAGTAATTAACTGTTTTATTGGTAGTATTTTTTTTTAATACACCAAATTACTTCGTGAGCAGATCTCAAGAGGGTATTTTAAGTTTCAGCGCCCAGGGTTTACCGCTCCGTGAATTATCGCAAAAAAGCAAAATATTTTCATACATTTCAACTCAGTACTTAGTTCAACTGAATTATTCAACTAAGAAACTTGCGCTTTAGTTCTAATTTTTAAAGGCTTGTAAGTATGAAAATAAAACAAACATTTATTCAATAAATTAATTTTTTTTTTAAATCAAATATATAAAGGATTAATAATTATGTAGGAAAAAACTAGAGTTTAATCTTTCCATCTCTGTCAAGAATAGAAAATTAGCCTTCAGCTTCAGTTGGTCCAGATTTACTGATAGGAGAAAATGGAAAATTCAACCTTACATTTTTTCTGGTTTCTCATAGTGGACAGTATATATTTTTGCTTACAAACAAATAGCTATCCTAACCTCATAACTCGACCAAATTTAGTGAAATAAACGCCAAATAGACCATCTCATAATATTTTCTGTTTACTCCAGAGTTTTATCACGGGCCATAAACTCAAGTACTCTGAAGACGCCCAATTATATAGACATTATTACGTCCAGGTAGATAAGCTGACTTGTATGGTAGGCAGCTGTATAAAACTTCAAGAGTAACAGTACGATTTCTTTCACCCAAGAATAAATACATTAGGATTGACAACATAGCTTGATAGGTATCATTGTTTTTCAACGTTTCCTAACATTATAGCATTTTTATATTTTCTGGATTCCACAATTTAAATATAATCAAGAACCTGTGATAATTTTGAATTACCTGGAACATTTCAAGAATGAGTATGGTTACAGATTAAATATGAAATTTACTGTTAAGGCAGCTTACACTTACCATTACAGGATGATGCAATATTTGTAGTTGTTAACACGAAAATGGCATTTAAAAAATTGTAAACTGAGGAATGTATGCATCAAAACGGTTCATTAGTTTATGTATAAATTAAACCTTAGTTAAAAATGATTAACCAACGAAAAATTCAACTGTCAAATTGAAATAACCTACATGTTGGTGGATTGGTTCGAAAAGATTACCGAAAATCATGACAACACTGCAAAAATGTTATCTGTTTATTAACTTGAACAAACAAGTCAATCGTCAGATTCAATTTCAAAAAGGAAAATATCTCAATTATATAATAAACATCCTATGTGGTACACAGAAATAACTAACGTCTCAATCGAACAAATATTGTTTCTAGATAAAATAAATGCACAATGGTCAGTTTCAAAATGATAAGCTGAAAAATAGATAAAATTTCGATTGTTTGCCATCTACTCTAGGGGTGATTATGGTATCCCTTACAGTAGCGTGCGCTTATTCCATTGCATAAGTGATATATTCCAAATAGCTACTCGTGGAATTTTATGCTCTAGTATCTGTCATATTAGACCATGCGAAATGAAAGCAAATATTTAGGAAGTACTGCTTATGTTTTTTCAATCTCATTTACGCCGCCTCAAAATAATTACTAGCGCACGAGTTACAAGTTTTGCGCTCCTATTGACCAGTGGACGATAAATGTCTAGTGTCTAGTCAGACAGTTTCTGTACTTCCCCACGCGAATCGGCAAAGAAGTATTTAAATCGCGAAATATCCGAAGTTGAGGTATTACACTTTTTGGATGCTATATGACCCAGAAAACCATGCCATTTTCGTAGGCATATCTGTCTGACATCTGACCATTAATCATTGGCCCTTCTATAAAGCATTGCTGGAATTTTGATAAAATTTTGACATACGGCATTTCAGAAGATCTTAAAACCTGTTTCTAAATCCAACACTTTTTTATTTTGTGGTCAGCTTAGTTGTTAACTGGTTAGTTATTTTTAGAAAGTTCGAAAAATTCGAATCACATTTCTTATTGAAGCTAATAATAGATATCATTGCATGAATATTTTCAAAGATTTCTATACTTCATAGCAGTACCGGTACTTGAGTATTCATGTTCGCATAAGCCTAAGCAGCAGTACGAAAAAATATACAGGTATCAACAATGTCGCGCGCGAATGCAAGTTCGTACATTTCAGTTCCTAAGAGTACACATTGTTCTTTGGAAATTTGAATAAATATCTTTGCTTTTTTATTGTTGTTGCTTAAACAACCCACCACTGCACACTGTAGTTGAATATGGGGATTTTTGTCACCGAGTGACGTCTCGCATCAGAAGAGATGACTAAACTCAATGAACTGACGCTCGATTACCTATAGTGCCACTCTATATGAAACTTGTATAACGGGCAAACGCGCAGGATGGACGTCGAGACAGATCCTGAGCGTTACGACATTCCTATCGTACGCCACTGATGTCCGAAGATACCGAAAACCTCTTGCAATCTGTCAACACTGCTTACGTCCCCATGTCTTCAGGGATGCGAATCCTAATCGTCGGTGATGACCAGACAGACGCGCGTGCAGGCTGCATATTGAGGCAGCCCTTGACCGTTACGGCTTTCGATTTTGAACAGAAAACGCGGTTTAGTGTTATCATGGCTTCACTCTCGATTACCATTGGAGATGTTGACGGAAAATATTCTTATCTTGGACTCTGCGGTCAGCAGGCAAGCAATATTGTCGCTCTTATCCTTATCAGAACGATTGTTGCAGTCGCAACATTTGTGGTGTGAATCGTTCTTTTTGTGATAATAATTCTTCCAGAGGATTTTTGCCCAAAGTGCCTTTGAGTAGATGTGTTTTCTGTGTATTTTCGCGTTAGGCGCTGATAGAATGGTGAATTTGGTAAGGGATTTCTCATTTTATTTATATAGCGTGGTATCTAAAAAAGTAATCACAAAAATTGTAGTTGTTTGAAAAGTTTGAGAAATCGTTCTTTTTTGCGTTTTGGATGACCCTGTATAAACTATACAAAAGACTGAAAAAGTAAACGGACAGGGAGAAAATATAGGGTCATAAAATTTTTCTCCAGAAATATTCCGCACTCGGAAATATATGCTGACGATACCTCCTTACTTATTAATGGCAAGAAATGCAAACACAAGCTTAGCTGGTGCAGAGCAGTGGTTCCTTACGATTTAACTACTCCCATATGCAGATTGACCGTACTTTGCTTATAAAATCGAGCGGCAGATCGATAGAACAAGCAGAAACTACAAAATTTTCAGGAATTTACATATCACAAAGCTAAATAGCTTACAGATATAGAAAAAATTAGTCAAAAAGTTACCCCACTCTGCTATTTCTTGTACTCGCTGAGTTTTATCGTTGATAAGTAGTGGATATTGTTAATGTTTACTATGCAAATATCCATTCTACTGTGGCTTATGGAATAGAAACATGGGGAGAATCCTCCAAGTTCAAGGGCTTTTTATAATACAAAAAAGTGCTATTACAACTACTGAAACGGTGGGAAGGTGCTTTAGTTGCAGGAATTATTCACTTTGAAAATACTAACGCTGCCTTTAGTATACATATTAAATATATTGGTTTATGTCAAAACACACCTGGACAATTTTAGTTCTATAAATTTACTGTACATGAAACAGAGGGGGCGTTGGAAGTGCCATCACATAGGTTGTCGAGAACGGAGGAGAGTCCCAAATACATGGCAATCAAGCTCTTTAACAGACTACCCATTGATCTAAAATGACTTCCGCTGACTTTATTTAAAAAAAAATAATTTTACTGGATAAAGCTTTCTACTCTATGGAAAAATGTTTAATGTGTGGCTATCTTTTTTAATTGCTTAAATTCATCGTTTAATTTTATTATATATAATTTTATACAAATCGTGTTTTTTAGATATTTTTATATTATTTATGTATGTGTGCAATTCTTTTCATATAAATATTCCATTGAGACTAATTCTGTATCATCTAGTGATCCACAGAATGAATAATTTATTATTATTATAACAGTTGAGGAGATGCGAGTTATGTAAGCTGAGTATTTTTTCCATCATCAAAAGTCATGATATATTCAGACAAAATTCTGATACACATTAAGTAAACTGATTATAGATAATGTGCCGCTCGATTTTACCGAATTCAAAAAAAGATGAGACAAGTTTTCAGTAAATAGTGTTTTGCACATTTTTCATAATCGCCCATCGGTGGAAGAATCAAAATTTCAGACGAATAAAGATCCTCAAACTTTGTTTTGTACATTTTTATATAGTGTAGTAAAACATGTTTAGGGAGGGCTCGTCATTTTTAACCAACTCCATATGAATTCCTTTGTATCCGTACAAATCATACAAAATCCGCAATTAAATTTTCTCTTCCGAATTCCAGCTGCTAAACGAAAAGAGCGACGAAGACGACGCCGAATCTCGCGCAGGCGGCGTGAAGAAAAAGAGCGAACTGCTTCAACAACTGCTGAAATCAGAACGAGACGCCGGGGGCGGCGATGACGATAAGCGGGAGGGCGGAGCCAACGGTCATGGGGGCGGCGGGGGGCAGTGCCAGGATGACACGCTGCTCAGGAGTCTGGGATTTCCGCCGTCACCAGGTAGAAAAAGACAGGGAGAGGACAAGGATGATGCCGGGCCTGCTGGGAAGAGGCATAGCGATGGATCGCAGGTAGGCTTTTTTTAAGGTTGAAATGCCGCACTCTTACTAACACGCTTTTCTCTCTCTCTCTCTACCCGAATTTCTTGCTATCTGAGTATTTTTTTGAAAAATTAAAAAATATTTCGTTTGCAGGTTTCATCCTCAGGGACCGGCAACAGTCTACAAGAACGTAATAAATTGCTAGCTACACTACTAGCCAAACAACCGACCAATCACCAACCCATCCCTCCTATACCAGCTAGCGTCATCAGTGCCACACCTCAGGAAAAACTGCCACGTATTACCGACCCCAACAAGTCCATCCAGATGGCCATGAGCCAACCCCAAGGAGCTACACTTAATAACAGGTATAAAATCAGTAATGATAATCAGACTGGTACGATGCTACCCATCTACGTACCGAACTAATCTAGACCATAGCAAAAACCGTTCGGGACTATCAGAAACTGATTTTGGAAACACTCAAGGTACAATGTGGTATTCTTCACTTATACAAAAATCAATTTTTGATTCGGATATAGACAGAACGGAACCACATGAGCGTGGGTAGTTTAAACATATATTTTTTTTCAGAATGGGCGGAATGAACCGAATGGGACCAGGCAGGCCTCCTCAACACTCTCAACAGCAACAACAGCAAAACTACCTCAATTCCGTGCTGGCCGCAGCTGCCAACAGACAGCTCAGTCAACACCAACAATGCTATTCCTCACCGGCTACCTCTACCACAGACGGAAGTGCCACAGGTAATTATTTTTTCGAAAACATATCTTTCATTTAGGAGAAATCAAAATGATCAAAATATATAGTCATTAGAGATGAACGGGAAATAAAATATTTGAGGAGTACGCTAATCCACAAAAACGAATTCTGAGGCCTCCAGTATCCAATCTAATAAGTAGTTCCTTCGTTTTAAGCCAAAATAGGAAACAAGACTTTCTACACCTCGTGAAGATGCTTGTGCGGTGGGCGTCCTCACTGTAGTTGCCAGACAACGTGGTGATTACTTATGGGCGCACCCTTTCTAACATGCGTGTAAATTAGCATTACAATGGTGTCATTGTCATGTCAAAGAAGTCTATCGTATCTCGACCTCTAGGACAGACCGTACAAAAGAGGAATCCACTTTCCCATCGAGGAAAAATTTGTGGTCTAGCGCTCTCGCTGGTTTTTCCATAGATACACCAACATAACATATGATTTGAAGTGGGAGACGCATATACATTTAACAGTAAAGCTTTCCCGTTTACCCAGGTTTATGTAGTCCCTATCGTGCAATAGACATAGAGATGATTGAAATGCTTCAGAGAACAGTGACTAAATCAGCAGTTATAGTATGACGTTGACCATATGAAACAAGACTCGAAAAATTCAAGTTTCAAACTTTAGCTCAGAGAAGACTGCGGGGTAACCTCATACGAACGTTTAATTATAAGAGCAACATCAATCTATCGACTCATCATCAACTTAGGGGGCATCAATATAAATTATATAATAAGGAAAGGTGTGCCCAATGGCCTCTTCTCGATATCATCAGCGGTAATTTGACATAAGTTTGCAATTTCGGTTACGTTATAAAGGTGCAGTGTGGAAAAGATTATTCTGGCTAAAATTTCTATAGTAGGCAGCTCCCATAGCTTAATAAACTGGGGAAAGCTGATACGTGGCACGATTTTTACACTTTACGGCAACGGTAACTGTAATATTGAAGTTGCCACTTTTACGTTATCCTAATTTCGTGTGCGGGCTAACCTTATACGGTGAGGTTCAAATTTGGCTGACGTCATAATGTGTACAACAGAGAATCGTGCAACATGTATATTAGAAAAAGTCCGCCGATGGCGTCCGTGGCCTCATCTCTCGGGTTGCTGGGGAGCGAAGTGTTTCTATCTCTTTCTAACACACGTAAAGCTCGCTCCTCTCTCGTACACATTACGACGTCAGTGGTTTATGGTATGTGGAAGCATTTAAGATAATTATAAGTGCACCATACAAGTATTCAATCTATCGACTCATCATCAACTTAGGGGGCATTAATATAAATTATCTAATAAGGAAAGGTGTGCCAAACTATTAAGGAGACATTTTTTATCAAACCCACTGGTTTACAATTAGAATCGTCTAAACGAGAATACAGTAAACACTTCAGTTCCAGTTTAAAAGCCGTCTCGACAGAGAAATGGCAAAATGCGGTTCATTCATTACACATTGTAATTAATCATAACTGTTGTTATAAATAATAGGGGTAGTTAGATGGGACATTGTCCACCCTCTATTATATATTTAATAAATAAGTTATTTTTCTGAGCTTTCACTGCCACTTCGGGATAGAAAAACTACTAATGATGTTTTATTTTTTTCCAGGCTGGGACTCCAGCGGCCTAGGCAGCCCATCCGTCTCCGCCTCATCGGCCGTAGCACCCTCCGTGTTGACCGCCAACCAAGCGGCGGACCCCCTGCTCTCCGAAATCCTCGAGCAAGTGATCGACATCGTCCCCGACGACCTGATGCACCTGCTAGATGGAGCCACAGGCACTACGGGCATCTCCTCCGACGGCCAGCAGCTCAGCCTCAGCGAGACAGCGGCCATCAACATGATCCAGAGGTCGCTGATGCAATGCGAATCGGTGATGGTGAAGACCGGGCAGGGAGGTGGTGGAATGGCCACGCCCCCAGCGTATTCTACCGCGTTGGGACAGCAACAGGGGGTGTTTCCGCCCCCACCGAACTACTCGCAGGTGAGTGGAGAAAGGTTTTAGTAACCATCCAAGGATGGAAGGATCATGCACATGGTTATTCTGGAGGCCGGTTATCCCTAATAATTTTCATAGCATTAATATACGAGAAGTAAAGACTATCGTTACGGACTACAGTAATGGACAAAACTATATAGACAAATATGAATATTTACCTAAATACCTTTACAAAACGAATTCATACTTCATTGCTCCATAAACAAATGTGTTATTAGTAGAAAAACTGAATTCCTTGTTTTTACATTATCTGCAATGAACACAATGCAAGTCTGAATATAAGCACTTTTTTACGAGGGACAAAAATATGTAGACAAGTTCTTTTCAACATTAGTTTAGTACAGTGTCGTGACAGAAGAGGATTAGTTTGTGTTCATCAAGTATTGTGGAATAAGTTGAGGGATTTTAAGACCATGCCGCGTGGTCCAGAAATTTCTTTCGATGTGAAAACTAAGATCATTGAGTTATACAAAGATGGGCAACGTCAAGTGTATATTGCCAAAAATTGGAATCTGAAGCGTAAACTTCTTTGGGTAATATTGAACAAATATGAACAAAAAGGTATCTTGGAAGCCTCTACGAGAAGTGGTCGGCTAGAAAACTAAATGCTGGATCAGTTAGATTAATAAAAGCTATTTCATCCAAAGATCCGTTTGAAATCCCAAGACAAATAAAAGCCGAAATCGAGACAAAATGAATTGCCAGTGTTTCTATGAAAACTATAAGTAGAAGGTTAAATGATTTGAAGTTATTTGCACGTCGCCCGAGTAAGAAGCCGCTAATCTCGAGGAAAAACCGTAAGGACCTATTACAATTTGGACGGTTGCATCTTGATTGGAGCATCTGTGACTGGAAGAGGGTATGTTTCACTGACGACTCCAAGTTCAATATGTTTGGATCAGATAGTGTTCATTACGTTAGACGTCCTAATGGACAAAGATTGAACCTCAAGTACACTAGGCCCACAGTCAAACATGTATTGAAGTTTGAAATGTACTTTTTTATTGCAGGCGAAATTCCAAAGGATGCAAATGAGAACAGCTGCAGCAACTGGTCAGCCGTATCCAGCTAACATAACCAACCAGTTGTTGTTGCAACAGCAACAGAGGAAACAGTTACTTCAACAGCAACAAGAACATAAAAGGAGGTGAGATTAATAAATTTAAATGATTTCTGCTTTGACTCTGTATTTGGGCAAGCACAAAGCCATACTAGTCTAACAAAATAAGACAGCGCAAAGTGGCATCTATAATAGTCTTAAATTGCGCATTAAGCTCGACCTTGGTGTCGTCATGGTAATAGGTTGCTGGAGAATAAATTTTTACAGAATTACTAGTGTCTTATCATAAAACTCTTGTACAAGGTGGCCAATATCTAACTGACTGATTTAAATTACGCGCCATTTTGATACACGCATTTCAGTAGGTGGCGCCGTAGTTGTTTAAAGCACATGTGTCCAATTCATCATAGAGCGCTACACGATCCCACAACGCGTCCGAAAGCGCTTTACTTGAATAACGAGTTGATTGTTGCAACGATTCGGAAGCTACGACAAGATTTCGGGCGAAATAACGTGCCTAGTGTCAACACCATTTGTCAGATGGTACAAAAATTTGAACAAACAGGTGAAGTTAAAGACTCACCAAGGTTGGGTCATGTTCGAAATGTTCGTACTCAGGAAAATATCGAGATAGTTCGTGAAAGTGTAGTGGAGCGCCTTGAGACGTCTACCAGACATCGTTCTCAAGAACTGGGTATTCATCGCACGTCATTATGAACTATTTTATTTTGCGGCCATACAACATTCAGTTAATTTAACAACTACAGCCTAGTGACCATGAAAGTCGCCGACAATACAGTCATGCAAAATTGTAGCTTGATACCCAAAATAACGATTTTTACCGACAACTGATAATGAGCGATGAAGCCCACTTCGATACAAACGGATTTGTTGATAAGCAGAATTGTCGTATTTGGGCATTAGAGAACCCTCGTGTCATCGATCAACGACCACTCCATCCTCGTCGACACAGTTTGGTGCTGTGTTTAGTATGGATGTGTAATTTCACCTTACTTCTTTGAAGATGCTGCAGATAATTCTCTTACTGTCCTTGGCGAGTGCTACCCTGATATGGTGCAAAACTTTCTGGCTCTTAAAATCCAACAATTTAACCTGCAAAATATGTGGTTCCATCAGGACGGCGCAACTTGTGACACAGCTAGGGAAACTATGTATCTTTTGCGAACAATATTTCCGGGACGTCTAATTTCTCGATTTGGTGATGTCAACTGGCCACCAAGGTTACCGGATTTCATAGGGATTTTTGAAAAATACGGCTTTGCCAACAAACCTGTAGAGCAGCTGAAGAACAATATTACGCAGGCGATTGAAAATATTCCTCCCGAAACCTACCAACAAGTGATGGAAAACGAGGCGGACATTTGTCTGATATTATTTTTCATACATAATTTTTAAGTTCCAATAGAAGATCAAGATGAAAAATTGACGTATTTTATTTTATTTCACAAATATTCAAGGTACAAACCAGTTAGATATCGGCCACCCTATACATCAGATCACGGAGCTCATATTTGACTATACAGATATTCAGAAAGTCCGATGTAGCAAAATTGTTACTTAGGAGGTTTGGTCATTACAACGACTAGATATTAGACGTTCTAGAAACATTCGCTGTGTTTTATTTTGTTTGTTTTTATTAACAATATTGAACGTGTTGGTATTCCAGGTTGTTGCTCCAACAGAAGCAGCAGCAGCTGCTGATTCCATCCAACGCAGCAGCTGCAGGGGAGATAGGAACCATGCAGAACATTGACAGTTTGATGAATACGACTGTTGCGCCGAACGTCTCTCTACAGAGATCATCTAGCGTACCTGATCAACAACTTTCACCGGGTTATGGAACACAAAGGGTAATTATTATTCTCTAGCCTAAACTCGCGGCTCCGCTCGCGTGGAAGTAGTCACACGTCTTAGTTTCAAGGAGATTAGTTTCCGAGACAGAAATTGAATATTCAAAGTAACGCAATAGTACTTCAGTAATAGATATTTCTTTATTCAACATTTCAATGCAGCAATATATTATATGTGCGAATATGTCTCTCCAGTCTGTCAACATCACGTCTGAACCACAATATTAAGAGACGTACACTTATCAGTTATTACCCGTGGCATGGGTTTATCCGCGAATTCATCGTAGAATTTGTCTAGATTTACAGGGTGTCTATGAAATACCCAAACACATCGAAAAACTTAGCAATCATGCATTTTTGGAAAAAAGTTCTGAGAAAAGTTTTATGACAAAATGTGCTCATCATATTGATATCTTTCAACGTCAATCCATTTTTTTTTGTATCCAAGCCATACATTATTTTCTGTTATCAATGAAATGTGTGAATGTTTTTTTGCGTCCTCAAGGAAAATTAAAACGGGGCGAGATAAAATGCTTAATTCTGAATGTTTTAAAACAAACCTGGTTCAAGAAAGTTGTAGAAATGTCACCTGATTACGCCAGTTAAAAAAATTGAATGCTGAATATCTCGAAAACAATAAGATTTTTAATAAAACATAATTTTACTATCTGGATGATATAATCATACAATATTTAATCTGAATTTTGTTTATCCCCAGCAACAGGCGCAGCAACAACAGCAACCCTACTCGCCGCACTCTCAACTAGCCTCACCTTTGGGCGGCGCCCAGTTCTCCGGGGGCGGCCAATCAGGCGCAGGGGCGGTGGTGTCGCAAGCCAACGCAGTCGCCGCCGCCGCAGCGGCTGCAGCCCGACTGTCACCTCAGGCGCAGTTCACCGCGCAGCTGTCTCCCAGAGGGGCGTACCCGCAAGCCGCCACAGCTGTCAGCTGGCAACAGCAGCAGCAGAGGCAACAGAATCCTATGCTCAGCGCGCAGCTGACGGTGAGTGTCAAGATTTTTACCAGGGTAGATTTCTTATCGAAAATAAGTATACGTTGAGAAACTTTTAAAATTTACTGTACGTAGAAGATCCAAAACGCATTCAGGCTAAAGTGATTCCGCGGTTTGTAGACTTTAAATTTGAAGTTGGTGCGGCACACTGTCGAATAAGAGCAAAAACAAAAAGGTATAAAGCGCTCAAGCTTTGTTTTTTGATGCTTCAAAGGCCCCTGATCAGTTTCTTAAAAAATGTTTGAGTGTAAAAAATTGGGAGGATATATCTCAATTTTTCTGTGAGATGTTTCTATAATTTGATAGATGTTCAGAATAGGAAGAAAATGGTAAAAAATATGTTTTAGAGTAATTAACGCTCAATGTTCTGTTGTTAAGCCACTGAATAATTTTACAAGACCATTTTCGACTAATTATCACCTTTATTGAGGATTACAGTATCACCTGCAAAACTTATTATTCTTTCATTACTGGAAAATTTGGATATCTTAACAGATTGCTGTCTATTAGATAGTAATCTTCCAATAATGAGTGCATCTTTCCCCAAAAGCCAACTCCCTCCAATGTGTCCAACAATAATTGATGGTTTACTGTTTCAGAAGCTTTCGTTAGATCAACAAAAACACAAAGAAAGAATTTTGCTATCAAGATTCTAGGGTATTTGATTAACAACATCTAATATTCCGTCGAATGTAGACTTTCCCTCGGTAAATCATAATAGAATGTTTACTTTACAGCCAGAATTGTCAGCCATCTAGCGGTCAGGTGGTGACTGGGCTATTAAACGCGAGCGAAGATCCCTAGTAGTTCCAACTAATATAAGCTATCCTTATAGCTTTCCGCAGTGGTCGATTCTGTTGTGATAGAAGGCGCTTTGCGCTGTCTTTTTGGTTGGACGGACGAGCATCATGATTAGTTTATAATAATGTGTATTTTGTATGTTCAGCGGCCACCTCAACAGAGTCAACAGCAACAGCAACGCGCCCTGAACAGTCCATACCAGGCTGACCAGTTCCCTCCTCCCGCCTCGCCGACCTCCGCGTTCGGCGGACAGTACCTGAGACTGCAACGCACCAACAGTGCGCCAACTGCTACTACGCAACTACCGGGTAAGAGATATTCTTATAAACTTGAGACTCCATATCAGCGTGCATGTATTCACTAAATAACGTTACGCTTGAAATAATAAAGACCAATTTCAATACTTAAACCTACCAGGACATTAACGAGCAGAGCAACTTTGATTTTTGTGAGTTCAGTTATTCGAGATTTCTAGCGCTTTTCGAGATATAATGCAGCATCTAAACAATCAATATTTGGCGATAACTATGGCAACTATGGCTCAGACATCATGTCTATTAGTTAGTTCCGACACGAAAATCTGACCATCAAAGAATGTCAAATTGCTACACTCTAAACTGATCTATTCGACAGGAAATGACCGTTCGGGACTGTCAGAAATTCATTATTGGAAAGAACAGCATATTGCAGCATATGGCCGGTATATGTCAGCCATATATCGACTATCTCTTGGCAATTTTGTCGGCACTGCGTAGAAACATATAGTACTTGTCAGAATTTATGGTAAGGAGTGCTACAAAATCATGAAAGAAGGACTGAAGAAATTGTACGCATCGCAACCAAAAAAATCGAATAGATTAGGAGGAGCCGAGCCAATATGTTCACATTGCGATGTTTTCACCAAATTTGCGTAGTTTTAGTTCAAACTTTTGACTCAGTTGACTACCAACGCCTACCACAGTGACGGCATTGGATCAACATAATAATAATACTTCCCGGTGGAACCATCGAATTCATTAGACTTGTACCTCTCTTTGAAAATTATGTAAGAAATCTCAAAATCTTATAATACCACAATTATCTGCAAGCACTCTCGTTTTTAAAGAATAACTCTAAAAATAGGAATCTAATGAAAGAACTTTCAAATAATTAACTTACATATGTCAAGTATAGTTTGATCATAAAAAAGACTATGAGAATTAGAAGACACGCACTTCCTTGACTGGCTTTTTCTACTCAATCTGAATTTGTTGATCGCTACAGTTTGTAACTTACGATACACAAGTGGACTTCGCTTCCGATAGAACAATAAAAAATAAACATAAATGGCCGGGTTATACTAAAAATATTCCCGAATGTTGCTGATGACTTTATCGCGCTAAAGCAGTAAAATATTGCCCGTTTAAAAGCGTCATAAGCAAAAGATTGCACCTAATTAAAAATCTAGAGCATCTAGATGGTCAAACAAAATGTTTTTGACAGTTCAGGTCTGCACATTTCAATGCAGATATATACAAAAGGTAACACTATTTTGTGAATATATGCACAAAAGTTATCTATCTCATTATCTGTTTTGTAGTTAGTAGGTTGAGGTTACAGGTCTCTTGCGCGTAGTTTCTTAGAAGCAGGTAAATATTCTATATTCCCAAATAATATTTTTATGTGCATTACAAGCCAAGTATTTATCTAGATTATAACAAAATTAAATTCATAACACGTTTAATTCCTATATTTCTCATTTCTGTTATTTTAAATACTCGTTACAGAAAATCAATAGAATGTATTATTTATCGTATTGTAATTCAAATTATTAATGCATTTTCAATTATTAAAATATAGAACATTACCTGGCTTATTTAGATTCGATTGATATCCCGTTTTTTGAACATTAACACGAATGATTTTTGATAAAATCTGTTTGTGATTTTTTTCAATGCATTGATACTATTATCCTAGCTCCTTTCAACAGTTGGTTATTTAAATTATACGATATGATTAGCTTCTGCTGTTTAATCCACTGCAATACGATAAGCGAGTAATTGTAATTTTTATTACGACACCATTAAAATTATAGTATAATGGAACCAACTGTATTTTCTAAATTTTACTAGATTTAGCATGTTTTCTGCTACAAATGCATTCGTAGGTTTTCTTTATCTAATTTAATATATTTAGATTGTGATGGTATAAGAATATGCATGGTAGAGTTATCAGTTAAATTGGGGGTTATTTCACTATTTTGGAATACGGTGAGTACAGAAAAACACCAATGAAGTATAGGTAATACTGAACAATACTGAAATGAGAAACAACAAACTTGTACATATGCTTTTGTAGTATTTCAAACTACGTCACATTAAAATCGTTCCAACTTCTAAACTCACTTGCTAGTTGAATTTATAAAAGCACATGTTTGGTTTGCGCGTCAGAAAATTGTGAATACAAAAAGTTAGCACAAAATGTAGCTTACAAATTCCCCAGCACAATCGTAGGTTAGATTAGGGAGTCAGTTTTTAGCTCAGAATCACAGTAAAACTACAAATAAGAGTTGTTGTAATGAAATATAAAGTGAGACTAATGAATCGGTTGGACATTCTTTGTTATAATGAGAGATCTGATCGAAATATAAGAATTATCAAGCCAGTACGATTCAAGGATGAACATTTTCAATATACAGAATATTCAGAAAATGTGATTTTCAAATGGAAAAATCATTTTAGGACCTATTTTACTACCGTAATCATAATAAAGTGGAATCACGCGCTTTCACGCAAAGAAAGCGTGAAAGCAAAGAAAAACGCGTCACACAAATAACGTGATAGAATTATCAAACATATTTTAACATATATTTTAAAGTAAATTTTTCTACGCTCCCAGACTTCAACGCGCATTAATTGAGAAATCATTGTATGTATTGAAATACCAGCCTTTTCTCCATCAGGAAATCCTTATACTAATTATCGAAATGTAGTGATTTATTTTTGTTCCTCATTTATTAGTGACAGTATTTCGAGTGCACCTCCTTATACTACAACCTTATATTGTGTCAGTTTTTGTACAGTTAGGTAGGCCTTCTACCATACTGGGTGTCCCAGAAGTCGAGGTCAAGCCGGAAATGGCGGATAGGCCAAGTCATAATAGTTATCAGAAAAATATAATAAAATCGTGTACATCTTAAATAGGCTTAAAAAAGATCTACTCCCTGTGATGAGCTTTTAGTTCCCATTACTACAAATTTCAACTGATGGACACTGTCATTCTACGTCGTAATAGCAAGATAGATAGTAGCGCCACTTTTATTAATGCATTAATATATTTATTAAATTCACAATAAATGTTCAAACTGCCTTCCTTGAGCAGCATTGCAAGCTTGACATCTTAAAAATGATCGTGATATTAGTCGGGTGAATCTTCGGTTATTAACACATTCAGCTAGTTCCTTTTCTGTCCCGTAGCTCAGCTAAATTTTCGATTGGCTTTGAGTAAACTTTTCCTTTGCGGGTCCCAAGTAAAAAAAAATGAGATTTAAATCAGGTGAACGGGATGGCCACGAAATTGTACCAGACCAACCTATCCATCTGATAGGGTACACCGCATCAAGATATTCTCTAACTGAAAGGGCAACCATCTTACTGGTACCGCCTAAGAAAAAATTGAAATTTGTAGTAATAGGAGCTAAAAGATCATCACTGGGTATGTAGATTTTTCCGAATTTTTTAAAACCTATAATTTGAAATGTACACGAGTTTTTTTATATTATATATTATAACTTGGCCTATCTCCCATTTTCTGCTTGACGTTGACTTCTGGGAGTATAAAGTAGAATTGACGCGGCTATAATCAATTCGTGAAGAGAATCGCATTTTCATATAGTCTGTATATCGTTATATCGTACGAACTATATGCGTCCAAGTCGTCTAGGACCAATACATCCGAAGATACAGAAAGAGCTGGGTGATAGACGGGCGTATGTGTGTGTTACAGGTGCGCTGGGCTCGCCCAGTGGCCGGTGCGGTGGTTCGTACTCGTCGTCGCCCTCTTCCACCCCCTCCTCATCCTCCTCCCGTGAACACCCCCAACAGCAGCAACAACAGCAGCAACACCAACAACACCTTCCCCATCATCAACCCCACCCACCGCACTATCCCGCCCCGCCTCCGTTGGCCTCCCATCCGCACCCACACAATATGTACCCCCACCATCCCGGGGAACCGCCCCACAACCAGTACTGCCACCAGCAGTACCACGAGCAGGCGGCGATGGCAGCGGCGTACAACGGCGGACACCATCCCGCCGCGCCACGCCCCCTGCATCAGGGTAAGTCATTGACAGCTACCGGCGATCACAATCACTCACCATACACACAGAGAGAGAGATGGCAAGCTGTGTATCATCACTTGTTATATGTTCATTTTGTTTGTTTGTTTTTTGGAACACGCCACGTCACGATGCAAAGGTGTCTCGCATGATGATTCTGGAAAGGTAATAATGATCCGCCATGTTCTTAAGGCTCGACTTTCACCAAAAGCAATCCGACGACAACTTCAACATGATTTTGTCTCATTTTATGTGAAAAGAAGACCAAGTATGTACTTACTAAAAAGTAAGGAAGCAGAATATAGATTATTGTTATTCTTAAAAACCTTCACTGAAAGCAAAATGTGTATGAGTAAAGTATTTCAGAAACAGAATCTAGGAAAGATCAATCAATCAAAATATCTGATATTTTTCTAATTTGCCAGAAATCACAGATTATCCATGATTTTTTAAGATTCGATCTGACCGTTAGCTGAAGTGTCACAAGTCGAAATCGGGTTAAAGTCTTGTTGGTTTTGGTGAGTACAACTAAGAACTGCTTGTTATTATTGTGCCTTCTCCTATTATTGGAGGTTGAGGATGACAATCATTTTTGGTGCCGATGTACGAAAAAGTTCGGCAAATGTCTTTCCGAAAACCCATTCCCGGAAGTTCTTCAGTTGGAATCTCTTCTTCCACCAGATCATTTCTTTCCGTTTAGCAACTTTTGGCAGGAATCAACCAAATATATAGGAATGTAGCCATCCCAGGATTCACACAAGACCATGTGAAGTTGAAGGATAACAGGTGGGCTGAAAAGTCCGTATCGTTTCTATGAGATGGCGCCACCAGAATAAAATCCATACGCTTCTTAGCTAGTACCAACCTTCAAAAGATGCCTGTCAAAATTTGACAGCTGTCGGATCATTAGTTTTTGAGTTATCGTATCGAGAGTGACGCTACTTTTGTTATTTTTGAAAACCATGGAAAGTCAAGAGTTTCGTGTGTTAATGAAACATTATTTTTTGATGAAAAAAAGTGCCGTCGAATGCAAGAAATGGCTTGATGAGTGTTATCCGGACTCTGCCCCGGGCGAAGCAACCATTCGCAAGTGGTTTGCTAAATTTCGTACCGGTCACATGTCAACTGAAGACGACGCACGCAGTGGACGCCCAAAAGAGGTCGTTACGGACGAAAACGTGAAAAAAATCCACAAAATAATTTTGGGAGACCGCAAAATACGGTTGATTGACATAGCTGAGGCCTTAAACATATCAAAAGAACGTGTCAGTCACATCATTCATGAATATTTGGATATGCGAAAGCTCTGTGCGAAATGGGTGCCGCGCAATCTCACATTTGACCAAAAGCAACAACGCATCGACGACTCTGAGGCCTGTTTGGAGGTGATTTTGCGCAATAAAACCGATTTTTTTCGCCGATACGTCACCATGGATGAAACATGGCTCCACCACTACACACCGGAGTCAAATCGCCAGTCGGCCGAGTGGACGGCTGCATCCGAACCACCTCCGAAACGTGGAAAGACGCAACAGTCAGCAGGCAAGGTTATGGCCTCTGTTTTCTGGGACGTGCAAGGAATTATTTTCATCGACTATCTTCAAAAGGGCCAAACTATCAACAGCGACTATTATATAGTGTTACTGGAGCGTTTGAAGGCCGAAATCGCCAAGAAACGGCCACAAATGAAGAAAAAAAAAATCTTGTTTCACCAGGACAATGCGCCGTGCCACAAGTCCATGAAAACGATGTCGAAATTGCATGAATTGGGCTTCGATTTGCTCCCCCATCCACCGTATTCTCCGGACCTTGCTCCAAGCGACTATTTCCTCTTCTCAGACCTTAAGAGAATGCTCACCGGAAAAAAAATTTCACAGCAACGAAGAAATCATCGCCGAAACTGAAGCCTATTTTGAGGACAAGCCGAAGGATTACTACCGGAAGGGTATCGAAAAACTTGAAGAACGTTATAATCGCTGTATAGCCCTTGAAGGCAACTATGTTGAATAATAAAAGCGAATTTTGACGAAAAAAATATTTTTTCATTGAAACGATACGGAATTTTCAGCCCACCTGTTAACTATGTCAACGTTGGACTGATTAAATCAGGTGTATGTTGAAACGATATCAAACAGGCATCATTCTATGTAATATATGTAATATTTACAAATGTTTGGCTAAGCTAGCAGCAAAGTCGAAAAACATAGCATAGACTAATTGTCTATATCTCAATTTGCCGAAATGGCGTATTCATGGGGGGGGGGGGGCGTTGGAGATCACCCCCCCCCCCCTTCCTGAACCCCACGGCTCACTTAAGTTTTTCTTATATAATACAGCATGTTTGGGTTTGTGAAATGTAAGCCCCTCGCTCTTAATTGTCACCAGTGCATTCACTCTTAGAAGCACTGATGCAGTATGCGCCGTATGCCTCTTTTCAATTTTCAATCGCCGACATAGAGTCTGAATCTGCCATCAACTTTTTTCTGGATACGCCAGTGGTTTACTTTGCGACTGGGCAAAAGTAAAAAGGCAAGAGTGAGAGAGTATAATAATGTGAAATCAAAACATGGTATCTAAGCAGAAAGATGAGAAATTGCCCTGTTGCGATATCGGTATGACAGTCCATTCTGCGATACTGCAGTTTTTTATACTCAAGCGCAAAATCAGGCCTTACTGTGAGCTTTTCCAGAAACCATCCCGTAAAAACGTGAGATACCTTGTGCATCGTTCACCTTTGTTTGCTAAATATGAGCAGATCTTGAATAAATGGAGCTTACTTTAAATTGCACTGCATTTTTTTTAAATATATGTGAGACTGAGTAAGTTTAAGATCCATTTCAGTTATTCGTGATCACTCCTGCATTCAAAAATTATCTTTTGAGATCATGATTCTTTGAAACAAAATAACCAGCCGTCGATGCGTGATATCATCGATAAATTTCCAGTTTAAAAAATAATGCCGATACTGTTCAACTCCAGATTGAAAAAACATGCAGTTTTGTCCAATGGCTTCAAAAAATCTATACGTTTTCAAAAATTTAATTTCTATCCAAATGTAGCAGATTTCAACATACCACCAATTTTTTTGAAATGCTTAAAAACTTTTTCTGGTGGCTTGATATTTTTTAATCCACAAAAAAACGAAACAAATAGACCATATTACTTTGAAAAACCGTGCAGTAAAACTCCAGTTATTCAAGAATATCGCTCTTTACATGTTATCATTATACGCAGTTACCGAATTGACTTTTTCAATCTTGAATTTTAACTGAAATTCCACGGAAAAAAGACATTAATGTCATTCGTCAATTCAACCAAACTGCATGCCAGATCTTCAGAATGCTTCAAACACAGTCACAATAGGGCCCTACCTCACCAGGGCGTTATGACGATGTCGCTAGCAACCGTAGGCAAACTATAATTTTGAAATGTCTGACGACCAATAGCACGGCTTCTGTTGCTAGTGATTTCGAAATGGCATCACGGTGAGATTAGGCCCTGGTGTTACCTGTTGAATTCTGAGGATTCGACACATACATACACACAATTTGCATCCATCTCACCACGAGCACCCATATTATATGGCACATATTCGTCTTGTGTCTAACACTCATAACATCTACATGTGCTTGCCTCATAGCTGTGCTAAAAAGAATCACTGGGGAACGTACCACATCCCTTCCTCTCCCCACCACCTAGCCATAACCTCACCACCCCTTGTCGCCACTCGTTTCAGATGTCATTTTCAGTCAGCCGTTATTTAATCATACATTAGACTGTTGCGTTTTTATTTTCAGATGCCTAAATCGCATAATACTTCACCTACCCCTATCAACCCATGGTTCGAATGCAGTTTATGCCACCGTCCCTTAAGGGTACATGCACACTGACGCGAAGCAAAGAGAACCCTGATGAAAACTGTCAATGCACACGTCAAATGTTACAGGCGCGGGCTCACAGTTTATTATGTGTTAAGAATACCACCGGAAAATTTCGCTTTATGCCCTTCCCTTTCTCGCAAAGGGCGTAGACCTTACGGGGAGGACGTTAAACTAGCATTGTCTATCGGCAGCTTGGACCAACTTAAGACCATCAATGGTACAACTGCCATTCTCAACAGGCAATTTACGGTTAAAATGCCATTCAAAACTGTGCCAAAAGCTTGAACTTTGAACTGAAATTATACTTGCGGGAAGCTGGCGGTAGGACAGCCTAGTTTATCTTTTTCTGATAAACTTCAAAATAAATTGCATTTAGACCATGGGTAAATAAAATTATGAGAATTTTTGGACTGCTATGATCTTTAAATTTTAGTCAATATTTTGACGTATATCGATTATTTTAATATTTTGCATGATTAGGACTGTATGTAGAACTATTCCCATCTAGATAACTCTCTTCGCTCACGGAGCAGTCTAAGTATTATTACATAAAACAGAGTGAAATGGCACCATCGCCTAAGGATCGTCTTCGAAAAATCATTTAAGTGTTTTCATCTGCTCAAGTTATTTCGCTTTTTTGTTATCGCTTTTATTTTAGTTTAGTTGCGTCATGCTATTGTCTTTTTATGTGCTTTATGTGTTTAATTCATTACATTTATGTTGCTAATCGATGATATTTATGTATTTTTTATGTGTTTCCAGTGCATCATTGTTGCATTTGTAGAATTGATATTTTATGGCTTGCATGACATTTGAAGTGATTCATGGTACTTTCTATTTCTTAGTAGCATTGTATTATTATATATTTCTATAGAAGCAAGAACATTTATTACAAATGCAAAAATGTACACTAAAAATATAGCCTATATTGCATTCAAATGAAACTAAATGAAAGTAATTTCGCAAATAATAAAAGCATATCCTCATTGACAAGTTATGTCAGAATCAAGCATCCGAGATGATAGAATTATTTTCAATTTAGTTTCAACGTTGGCTTATTCATTTAAAGGATTGCGATGACTTGAAGAATTTTCTGAAAACATGTCGATTAAGCTAATCGCTTATACCTGAAGTGGAAATATAAATATAATAATGCTTCAAGTCGTCACAATACACAAACCATTATGACAATTTTTTAACCATCTGCATTATTATGAATGTGATAAGTGTTTTCATGCATGATATGTGTAAGCCTGATACCCTTTACACGCGGCAAATATTGGTATTTCTCTGGCACGTAAAAATATCTTAATGTTTCGAAGAGCTTATCATGTTGTATGAATATTCTGAACATTATGTAGTTCAGTATTCTATCGATATTAATGAAATTAATTATTTCATTTGAAAAGTAGTACAAAAATCTTTTTTACTTGTTCGAATGTCGGTTTCTCAAGAGAAACAAAGATACCAAGGATGAATCTACAACTTCCGCGGTCATTTAGAGATCTTTTTTTTCTAATGAGCCTAGCTGCGTTGCACATCAACATAGTCTCAAAAAAAAAACGCGGACAGTCCAACGAACAGGTCGACGGAAATTAGACACGTAAAAAAAATGATTTTGGTACGTAAGTTCTTCTGTAGTTTCGCTTTGTTAACAATGTTAACGCAGGTAACCATTTTTAAGATTAAAGTTAAAACATAGATAAAATGCCCAGTTTTGTTCGCTGCCTCCTCACCAGAAAATTAATGTAATTTCATTTTTTGGAATTCTAAATTTTATTGACACGAGGCTTCAATGTTATATTGTGTCTTTGTGCTCCTCTAGAACGCCTGGACGTAAGTATCCGACTAACGAACAACTAAAAATTCGTGAATTCGCAATAAACATTTTATTTCATCATATTAACTGATGCCTTAGGAATCCGAGCTTCAAAATCGTGGTATTTGATTTCACGATCCATAATATTTTAATGGTAACCAGAACATAAACATAACATCCAGTCATTACCTGCATAAATTGAAAAGTGAACTAACATTTAAGGTTATAAACAGGTTACCTTTCCATTAAATATATGTATTTTTATCATCTACTTTTGCAGTTCTATTTCGCAAATCATTTTTCAATTGTTTGACGGTCCAACCATCATATGTTTACACGCCATTTTTCTTCAAGGCAATAGTGGTAATTAGGGCCAGTAGACCGCAAAGAGATATACAAATTCAAGGATGAGGTACAGTGTTGTCCAAGACTCAATTCAATAAGGTTTGTTTGTTTGACACTTTGACCTCCGACCACACTAGTGACGCCTAGCGGGAGTAAAATTAGTCATCGCTGCCTTTTGCATCTGTTAAAATGCGATAGACATCTTCTACCACAATAAAATCCTCAGACTAATAGCAAACGGATCGGAATGATTTCAACCCTCCTAGAGAGAGATCGATGTTTTGGGTATTTATTTATTTATTTATAACCTCATCTTAAATGAAAAAACAACAATGAAAGCCGAACGAACCCATAAGGCCATGCATCACGGTTATCACAATCATCATTAAATCAATGCAGATCGGATAGCAACCGTATAAAATCCTGCCCACCCTCTCTAACCACCCCCTGTCTCTTCTACAGGCATCCCAACGAGTGTATCGAGCGCAGTCCAATCCCAACAGCAGCAAGCGGCCGCGGCAGTGGCGGCAGCTGCAGCGGCCGCAGCAGCTGCCGCTGGCGGTCCCACTTCTGAATTCGTGCGGCAAGAACTGCGCGCCGTGGTGGGCGCTCGCACTCAACAACAGCAGCAACAACAGCCGACGGTCAGGCCGCAACAGCAGCCACCTCAGCAGCAACCTACCGTCGGCGATCTCGAAAGCCTCGGCATCACTTTTGAAATGGGTAAGTTTGATTGTGGTAATCACTCATAATGTTAGCAGGCAATTGTACGAAAAATAACAAGCTAATGAGGTAGTGAGAAGAAATATACATCATATATAGTTATCCAAACAAATTAATGAGACAACAATTTAGAAAAAATCACTTATTCGTTTGTTTTCGACATCGAATGGGTTTTGCTCTTCAACCGACTCATTCCCGCTTTTGAATCACTCATACCACTTATAAATAGTCTTCAGAGTTACTACATTATCACCATACACTAATCTCAACATTTTATGAGCTTCTTTAGCAGTTTTTTGTAACTTGAAACAAAAATTTTGGCTCATATGTTGCGTTGTTCATTATCCAAGACGGACGACAAATTCAGCAATTCTTTTAACTCTGGAAGCTAATAGACAAGTTCCAAGTTCCCACATACTATCTTAATGAAACGGACTATGAAACATATTGCTTTAAATGGATGTATATTGATCCATCGTATTTTTTATGACACCTCGTATCTCTCTTGATAAAGTTGCTTGAATTTTTCGTTTTGAAAATATTTAAATGAAACCTTCGCTTCATCTGTATGATCATACCTCAAGAGCTTGTTATTTTACAATGCATAAGATTACAATTTAGGTTTCAATCTTTTACGGGTATTTTGATTCACAATGTATCTACATACATCATGTTAATAATTGGTTAAGAGTGTTTGGAAAAACATTGGAGATATTTGGAAATATTGTTACATTCCGCAAACCTTGATAAACAGCAATTTGATGCATTGCATAGTTCTGGTATAGTCTAAAACGTATGATTTTGTTATAAAATCTGCTATTTACGAGAAGTCGAAATACAAATGCCTTTCAAAATTAACCATGGTACTTTAATGTGAAATGGAAAAAAATATCATAACTGAAGACACTAAATATCTCCACATTCTAAAAAGTAACAGTAAATGATTTTCGGTATTTTTTGTTGAAATTAATTTCACGATAGACTATTTATCTCTACTTTTTTACTGTTTGTAATTAATGAGGGTTTTGAATGCTTTGATTTGGAGTTTTTGAGACAATTTCAAATTTGGATTTGAAACTGTATCAAAACAGCAGCAATATCTAACAAGGCTGTGCTCATAAAAGTGTGACTAATCCTAGGGACATTTTATTATACAAGGGTCATCCTGAATTTTTTGTGAGAATTCATTAGAATGGTTATATTTATTTGTATATATTTTTCCATGATACGCGAGAATCGTACTGGGATTCATTTAGACTATTTACCAATACCACACTGACGGATAATAACTCCATCTTTGTAGTTTGTGCACCTCTTTAAGGCTCATTAGCATTCTTTAGCTCGTACTTTACTGTTATCTAAGAATGGTGGATTAGTACTATTTACATGTCAAATAATATTAAAGAGAAGTCTTAAAATTCATAGTTATTATCCATCAGTGTATATGAAACACACCAAAAAGTAGTGCATATACATAAATCCAGCTTGGAAGAATAGAATTTTAGATTGTATATGTTTCACATTTTCTATGTTTGTACTTACATATTACCCATTGTGTGTTGTCCTAACTAAATCTGAAATGGGGACATATGGTCATCCCAGTTGCATTTTGGTAGATGATTCTGAGCATGCATATCGATTGTCAAAAAAAAGTATATGATCATTTCCACTTTCAGACAAAAATAAGGGTGGTCTTCCTCCACATGGCATGATAGATTGAACCTTGAACTCCTTTTCATGAAGATTGAAAGATACATAATTTATTTGTCCATATTTGTGTGAAGCTAGGTTAAAAATAATTTTGGCATTACGTAATATAAATAAAACCAAGCTTTTCGATCGCAGGTTAAATGTAACTTTCCTGCTAACCAGAAGTTAACAATCAACAACTATTTCAGTGGCAATTCGCTTTAAGCGGTAGTTCATTTTAACCAGAAGACCCATCTATGGGCTAAGTGGAAAGTTGTAGTTAAACCACAGCGTCTAACCTATTTTGCCTGAAAGTGACAAGAGAGTTCATTGATGACTCAAGACACAAACGAAATGCACTGAACACTATAATTCAGACATAAGAGCAGCGTTGCCGCATCTTGAGCTGTGGGATAGTTAACAAAAACTTGAAAAATGGATTCAGGGTCAATTTATTGATAGTAACTTCCAAGTTTGGTGGCTATAAGTGCTGAAATAACGCTTTTAAGTTCTGGTTAACCAACCCGTAACTGCTGATCTGGCAGCGCTACCTCTACGACTAAACTATCGTGTTCTGTGCGTTTTATGATGATCGACGTTTGTCTCATGCCAGCCGTACAAGCCATGTCACTTTCAAGCACAAAAACCTTCTATTCCACCCGTAGATAGTATTTTGGTTTAGGACATACTTGACTTTAAAAGACGCATTTCGAGAGTTAACTTCGGTACTGGTATTACGAATCTTGAAAAGTAACATTTTGACATTTCGTTGCGTTTTTTGTGGCATAACGTAGGTTTTTCTACAAGATGTTAACTTACCACAAGCTGTTGTACCCTTGTTGTGAACTCGTTTTATTTGCACACTAAAAACTACATAGTCTGCAAGATGACATTTCGTCGTTTTTCTTTAGGTTTTTTACATAACACCCCTGCCGGGGCTTTATTCTAACTGAATTTCGACGTTTGAAAGTCACCTCGATTCACGCGATTTCCTCTATAATTTAACATCATCAGATTTGCTTGCGTATCAAAATGCAACTGGTATGACATGGCAACACGGGGGCGATGCATTAGTAGTGGTTACATAGACCTTGTCATTGTTGCGTGCAGGTGGGAGTGATAGCCCGAAACTTTGGGGCACGATGGGGTCAGATATGAGCTCAATGTCTCCTCCGCAGCATCAAGCAGCGACCTCCAGGGTAAGCCTTACACTCACCGCCAACATCGCACGTCCTGTTATTCATAGCTAGCTGTTTATATGTGCTTGCTTCATTATTACTTTTAACAATTAGACTGAGAATTCATAACACCTCACTCCATCGTTCAAATGCAGTTCGATATTATCAAAGATTGTTAACAGAGAATAACGCTGAACTAAAAATATGATTTTAATGACAGATCTGTCAAAAAGTTGACATATATCAGGTTCACTTTGATCCTCATTACAGACTATGAGAATTAGGAGACATACAAATCTTTTTCCTTCTACCTCATCTGAATTCGTTGCTCTCAACCAAGAATTAACAATGGTAAAGTATATAGTTGTCAGCGAGTTAGCTTCATTGCCACGAAGAAAACAATAGTTATATTCATCGATTTTGGTAGTTACGTCATCTATGTCTTACGAAATAAGTATATCGATTAACTAACCGAGTGATAGTGTAGCTTATTTCGCACACTGGGCAAACCCAGAATTCAGCTGCTACTCGTTCTTGCTCACATAAAGTGGGTAATAAGGGCCAAATACCTCAATTTTAGCACAAACTGTCGACATTGTCCACTAAATGCATTTTTCGAAAATGCATTTTATAACGATGAATGTGCCAAAAAAACTATATTCGAATTGAAGTTGAGCGCATTCGCAGCGTGCTGGGAGTAGACAGCCCTAGTTTAAAATTATGCTAACGAACCTTGATATAAACTGCATTTGAACCATGGGTATTGCTTTGAGGTCCGGGTCTATAAACAACAAAAGCAAATAAGCATGCCGTTTGTTATAATAATTACATAGAATACCTACTTAATAAACTACTGCTGCTGCACAACCTTTACATTGCTAATATAGTTAAATATATACCTATTAATCAGTGTGATAGAGAAGACTTGATGCCCACTAACAAAATTCGTATTTTATTTATCTGTTCGTTCAATCTGAGATAACTACAATCTATCATTTAATCAGTTTCTATTCGGAAGAAAATAACCATTTAGATTGTGTAGTGTATTGCTTTGCTTGTTGCTTAACAAATGTACACATGCTTGTAACATCTAATCTAAGAATTGTTTGCTTTTGAAGGGAAGAAAGGACGGGCCATTGATGTCAAAATGCAAAAACCTCTAAGGCTTATAATTATATTTTTATTTAAAAGGCCTATGTTTGTAATTTTACTTGTAATATGATAGTACTCACTAGTTCCCTGTGTTTTCAAGAAGTGTATGGAGCAAAAAAAAAATTCGTCAATACCTGCGACATGGCTTAATTTATTCCATTTTAACATCAACCCTTCCTTAACCGAAAACCTTTATGTACTATGAATTTTATTTGTTAAGGCTATACATTTCTATAGCTAAGAATTTTGAGTACTGGTCAAATAGAAATGTTTCTGCTTTTGTACCCGCTTATTTGTATATAAAATTTGGCAAAAAAATTAGTAGGATTCCAGGGCTTACAGATGTAACTTATATGGAATACAAAACTTTGAGCATTTGGTAGCATTTATATGTACTTTGTATGCCTGCATACCTGCTATGTTAGGTAGATGGCCGATTCACCAAGTGAGAAAAGTAAGTGAAAATGGGGCTAACTTGAATTCTAATGGTAGTTTTTTTCCTACGTAGTAAAACTTAACAACAAAGTATTATCCAGCACTATCAGACGTTCTATCTAAATTGATCTCTCTCTAGCTTGCTTTTTTAACGGCATATAATAGTTGTAGGGTCTAGTATAAAGTTTTTTTCATGCTATTTTTTTTTTTGTTTTTAGGAAAGTCCTATCGAATAAAGCTGATACCTTATTCAATAGCACCGGCACCCTGTACACACAAAAAAGAAATTGCATGAAAAAATTTATATTAGATTCTATAACTCTTGTATAAAACACTTTTTTTAAATCCTCAGAAAAAACTTAGAGGGATGCCAATTCTGTGGCGTCTGGTAGTGGTCTGACGGCTCTGGTATCTTTTAAATGAATTTTGCGATTTTCACTAAATATGCTTTTGTTGTTTTTTCCAGACTACTATGGAGGAAGCCCGACAAGGTGATCAGAAGTCGTCGTTGCTTCAAAAGTTGCTGTCCGAGTGACCACGTGTAAATAATTGAAATATATACTACTAGGTACCTCATTGGTCATGTACCACGCAGGCTGTAATACTAGAAAGGTTAGCTGACCGTTGTTTTTTGTGTCAAGATGCACAGTGGTGTGACTTTGACGCGCCTAACGATGACTCAACTCATCACACTCATATTAAATTTCTATACTTGCGTTAGATGTACACATTAAACGAAAATACATTCGGTTCTAAATTACTGAAATACATAAAATCATGCAACATCGCTTTCTGGAAAAAGAGGAAAGATACCTGCAACGCGAATGTAAATGTCAAACAAGAAAGATTTGTAATTTCCTAGTAGCAATTTGATAATGTTGGAGCTTAATTTGATAATTTTGCAGATTAGTTTGTTGTATCAAAAAAAATCTTTAAAAAATAACTGATTTACTAACATAATAACCTATGTTAGAAAATAACAAATTCCAGTAAGGCTCAACAGTACCCTATCTGTTCCTATGTAAACGTACATCCATAGTGTTATCGACATGTACCAGAGTTTGAAAGTTACGGGCTTCATAGATAGAAACGTTTTGAATTCTTTGCCCAATTTTTTTTCAGAAAATCTATTGCATAGTAGTTTCGCAGTTCTATAATCACTTCTCTCCTTTTTGAGATATAAACAAGCAATTTAGAAACACGATTGATAAGGTGCTAATTCAGAGGACCTTTTTATTTTTATCTCAAAAAACAAGATTAAATATTTTTCACAACATTTTTAATGCAAGGGGTTTCTTTCTGTTAAGCATTTTATTACACCCAAATGTCTTGCATATTTCAAAAAATAAATGTCACGATGGAACTACGGATATATTTCTAGATTGGAATAGATAAGGGTACTCAGGAGCCCAGAGTTAACAAACTTGCCACATCTGGTGTCCAATAAAATAGTCAATGTCTTAACCGATTTAATGTTGAAGATAGCTTTGACCTCAGGTTCCGCTTAAAAAAAGGACAGCAAAAGGCTGCGCTTTAAGGGTATCGGCACCTTTATCACCGAAAAAATTACGACACGTTTGGACAATAAGCGTTGCTGTCAAACGCAAAATTCGTACTACGTATCGTCTACTGTTACTAGATTACCGACCAATTATAATGACAGAACATCCGTCAAGTTATTTTCAGATTCTCTGCTGCAAAAATTCCTCGGTAATAAAGCTGCAAATAATTATACGTAGTACGAATTTCGTGATTGGTAACAGCATATGCTGACATTAGAGTTGTAATGTCTTACATGATAGGGTGTGGATCTTGAAGCGTAATATGGAATGGGTACATGTTTTTGAAGGATGATCTATGTGTTAAAGTTGATATGACGATAATTTATTGTTAGGTGCATCAAAGTCACATCGGATTAGTTGTCACTGGAGTTGGAGGATATGGGTCGACAGAAGAGAATGTGGCGCGAGGTCAGGGTATTTCTGTTAGCGAGTAATTTAGCTGTCTAAATATTCGTACACAACGACATTGTATGTTTAAATGTGTCTTAAGACTCTTTTGTCGTCGTCACCTATTGTGATCTCAGATATACAGTGATATCAAAAATTACCTCATGTCATTCATAGAATTATATATAGATAGCTGAAGTTCATTTGGCTTGCGATTATATAACAAAATAATAGAGGTATTTTTTTGGTAGCACACACATAATTTATATATTTTAATAATTGTAAATTGATGTACGATTTGTCTCCAAAGATTGTGTTACATTTTAAGGGTGATACCGTTTGTAGTAAATAGGCACACACGTACGATAGGATATTTTGCTCAACATAATCGGTACCCTATTATAGTTCTTTTCATTGTTTTCGGCAGTTATATCACAATGCCACGCGGAATCAGATAAACTCCAATTAACTTCCTAAATGGTGGTTGCATACTGCGTAAGCCAAACTGTAACGCAACTGCTACTCGTCGTTGCACAGACAAATGAATTGGGTAATAGAGGACGGTACTTACCCACTTTCTGAAAATAGTTCTAATACAGACTTTCGACACTGTAGTCACTAACTGTGTTTTATATCGAGTATCAACATAGATAAACACAAATCACACGCCGATGACAAGCAAATGTGGAAGAACCATACCTTGACCAGAACATTTTCATGGCGATGATACTGAACTAAAAACCTTTTGTCGTTTACATAAACGTCCGTGTATACAGGCCGATGACATGTGTATGTGTGAGGGAGATGGCTGCATGGAAGAAATCCTGTAGTTTTCCGAAAAAAGATCTATACGTCAGGTTGCAATTTTTGTAAAATTCATACTGCGAACTAGCTAGTGTTGCTTATTTGGAGATATTATATTCGATCATATATCCTCCGCCAAATCAGCGGACATAAACCATGCTAGCGAACAGCAGGTTGCAATACTTCCAAACTTTTGTCGTATTAAAATGATTTCTCAACTTTTGCATATGCCGATAGGTTCACAAAAGTTCGAATTTCGATTACGATTTGATCCGAAGCCCGCATCGCACTGATAAGTCCCACAAGGACGAAACGGAATCGTCTGCGATTGGTATCGGATTCACGCCGGAAATTATCTGTATCCAGAAATATTTCAGTACCTCCTTACATGAAGGCACTAAAGTGAAGGCAGGATAACGATGCAAATATCATTTTCGGCAAAAGAGTGTATAGAAATCCGTAGAAACTGATTACCATACGGTGTGCTAATACCTAGTACAAAACGGAATGTTTTTTTTTTCATTAAACCTGTTAAATTCCTAAATATAAAAAATCGCACTAAGTAGCAACATTTCCAAGATTTTAGACCGAGAAGTTTGATATAAAAAAAAGAGGTTCTATCAGTGATTTTACGATTATTTATATGCCGTTTATACGCAAGCGTACATATATTAAAGGTCTTAGTAGCGAACAATCAAAGTACTTTTAGTTATCGATATTTGAAACTCATTACAGATGCCTGAATAAAGATCTACTGGCCTACTTTGATAGCAAGTGCCATGAAATTAATTAAAAAACGTTGCTACTTTGCGTGATATTGCTTGCATATACGATTTTAAATTCCTATTATATCTAAAATAAACTCAATGGATCCTAGGCGGCGGTATAAAAAGTACCCCAAAAATCAGTGAAACTACTCATTGCACCTTTGCCTTTGACAGCAGCGGTTGCTGTAAACCGTATTGATTTCTTTACGCGAGTGCCGTTCTTGACCTAACTTTCTGCAGTAAAAAACAACAAATCTGTGTACAAATCACGTCATATTATGTAGAGCAAAATGTCACTTCGTCCTGTATCGCCTATATTGTTACATTCAAAAGGTGATACCGCATGTACTGATGGTACTCATCAGAATCGGTCGACGTGTATTCTTAGTGTGCAACTCTATATATCTCTCTCTCACTCTCTTCTCTCTGTATCTCTCGAGGTATGTGTTGCTGTTGTCTCCGACACACATACACACACAAACACACAGACAAGTGATGCGTGATGGACACGATGATGACTGGTCGTCGTTATTTAGGGTGGTAGTGCGCAGCGTCAGGGAAGGCACAGGGCCAGAGTGCAATTGTACATACTACTGGACACTTGTTCGTATTTATCATAGTATATTTTATTATTGGACTTGTTTGAAATTGACGTATACGCGCTCCGACTGGCCTAACATTTCGATTCAAGCTCGAACTAACTTTCGGCAACCAGGAAGCTCATGTTTCAGTCATATGCCATAAAATATGTGTATGTGTAAGGTCTGTGCAGTTATTTCGGAAAATTCAGGGCTGTTGAAAAACGACATGTCTTTCGATTTTCCTTCGTTTTACCACGTTTTTCCATCAAAATTTTTCGTTTTTCCGCCATTAGCTTAAAAAAAGTTGGGAATTATGGGCTCAGTTCACGTATCCCCGATTTTCCAGATTATTTCATCATTACCCAACGTTTATTCATCGTTTTACCACGTTTTCCAGCAAACATTTTACGTGTTTCCACCTTCAGAGGGGCAAATCTTGGAAAAAATAACCAGGTTTATGTGAAGTTAGCCGACAATTAGACAGATTACAAAAATGAGTACATATGAATTTTCCATCGTTTTGCCTCGTTCTTCCAACCAAATTTTTGTTTTTTCCGCCATTGAATAACGAAAAAATGAGAAATGATTTTTTGTGTCATTTGAGGTTAGCCTGAAAATTTCTGACGAAAATCCCCACGAATTCGTTTCTTTACAGCCTAAGACTTCTTTATTATCCTACTATCTAGTCTTTTCACCACAAAACAGCTTTTTCCACCTGACTAATATGGAAAATTGAGAACAAGAAGTTAGGGTCACACATAAACAGTCTACATTTACTGATACTTTTGAATATCTGTCGAGGCTACATGGAAATTATCATAAAGCGTTTTCTCATCCTACCACTTCAATTTTCCACCCGAAACGTTCGTTTTTCCACCTGTGGTTAATGAGAAAAAATTAAAATAACTGATCAGGCTTACACGTTGATAGACTCAATTAACTCCTTCATTCATTTAATTCAGGCAACGCCCAGAATTTTTATTTTCAATTTTTTCAAGTTAATGGTGGAAAAACGAAAAATTTTAGTGGACAAACGCAGTAAAACGATGTAAAATTGTATGGCACGCCGTTTTTTAACAGCCCTGAATTTTCTGGGCTAACTTCACAGACCTTGTGTAAATATGATGTTTTAGGCAAGCCCGGACAATGCTTTCCAAAAAAAAAGCCCGTTCGCAGCTGGAGACGATCTCTATGCTGCATCTTTTTCACATATACATTGAGGGCGCAGCTGAAAAGCAACTTTTAAAACAAAGGTTTACAATAGCAATACCTCCTGAAATTCTACAGGAACTGTGGCCACATTAAAAATTTTGATATTGATTTTGAGCTTCACTTAGCAGTTTTCAAATTTTAAATCGCTTATATCTCGAAAACTTGAGTTTCGATAAAAGTTCATAAAAATCTGTTTTGGTGAGAATGGCACAAAAAAGTAAAAAGTCTTCGTAGTGGAAAAATCAATTTTTTGAATTTGTTTATTAAAGTGTTTAAACCATTTTTGACGCAATTTTGAGCTTGGCAACATGCATATTCGTTAAAAGATGCCAAAAAATCGAATTAGAATATTCTTCCGATCAGACGCATAGACAGTTGTTGAACTAAATAACTAAAACTTCAAATTTAAATTAAATACATTTGTGGTAGGCTAGGTAAGCAACCTTAAACAATTTTCATTGATATTAACTTCGATATAAACTTCATTTGAACCTGAGCCTAAGTATAAAGTACCATCACCTCCAAATATGCCCTGATGAATTTTGATCACAAATTACTTCTCAGTGATATGTCATTTTTTAAATGCCCATCCTATCCAACTGATATTCATAGTAAGTTATCTCAATGGAATACAAAAGAAATAAAATATGACTGAAACATTAAAAAATTGCCAGTTGCTGGACAACAGTTTATTCTTTTATTTTGTGATCAACCCTATTCTTTCCCTCCCTCACTACCCCAACCTGGTATGTTCCAAAAATGTCAGATGAAAAGGTGTGATCAGAGATATGATGCAAATGACAAATGAGAATTTTGAAATATGAACACCAAAGTACAAAATAAAGCCCAGTTTCATGATTATAACAAAAAATGTTGTTGAAATATCATAACCAAACACAAAACCAGAAAATGGTCTATTCATCTGCCTCAAAAGGTTACCACCTGTGTCTTATGTCAAAATCATTTTCATTTGCATTTATCGCCAACAGAAATGGCCAATTTGTGATTTGTTAATTTTAAATGTTAGGTTACGACTTCTGCTGTTTTTGGGACAGACCATGCTGGAGTGTGCGAATCGTGTCTGTTAGGCCAATTCATTGGGCATAAATTGTTATTTTGGATGTGTTTAGTGTCGTCTTCCTTTCAGTGGATGTTAAGCTACGCATTACCAGAAATTTGATGAAAAAACTGTTAATATTTTATACATAATTTAAAGTATGTTACTTGAAAACCCGTTTTGTTGAACATTGTGATAGGCAGACAGCCATGTTAACTGTTAACTAGGCACGACCTAGATCTTTTTAGAAATTAAGGAGGAGGCAAAGGTAGCTGTTCATACAATTTTAAGCAGTTTTTATTTTTATACTTGTCGGGCTGTTTTAAAAGCAGACGCACCCCACAAGCTTTTCTGGAACTTACGAGGCACATTCATCGAAAAAAAAAATATTTTTTACATTTCACAGTTTTTATTTTGATGATTCCAAAAAATAAATAGAAAAAATTTGGAACTGACATGAGGCATTTTTATGTTTGGGTTCGTTTTTTATTTCACTCAAAAATCTTTGAAGTTGATTCTTGAAGCTAGAAAGCAATTTTTTGTCATAACTGACTTGTTGGGTGCTTATGTGAAAAATTGTTTTTGCCAAAGTTGTACATTATCAATTTTTAATATAGATATTTATATGTTGTTACTTTTACACTGTATATAATTGTGTACATATTTTATATTTTAAAGTAGAAATTTTACTTCAGTTTTCAGTTTTTTTTTTAATTTTTAGCTATAATTCGTGACTCCTACAACTTTTTATAATATTACTTCTTTTTATGGTTGAACAAAAAGAGCGTTCATATACCGAAAGAAAAATCATTACATTTGCTGCATATTTTGAAACGTATGTACTGGCTGTGATAAAGTTTTTTCTTAACGTGTATGAGCCCTGTTTTCACTGATTTCGTTGATATAGTATAAGGGAAAATAATATAAACGTTGAAAATTTCTCTATATAATATACGTCATTGCCTGGTGTACTTTGCATAAACTAGCATTTAAAACTAAAGAACATTGTGCCATTTTTAATACTCCTACTAGACAGTATTCCCTTATACCGAAGGAATGTAATATTAAGAGGCTACTTTTGGCTTCTCCAGTAGCTTTCATACTTGGATTATCGTCAATTACACTCCCCGCCACTATAATAAAAAAATGAACAAATTGACAGACATTATTTAATTACACAAATATTTTTTGTACATTATTGGAGTTTTCAAATATATCTATATATTAAATAAACTATAATTTAGTTGATGTATCATTTCTACCCAATTTAAAAACCTTAGTAGGTAAAAATCTGACGACTGTCGCCTACCAATGGTTCATCAAGCTAATTTGAAAATAATCCTTATGTTGTCTAGCAAACCAGCATTGGCTTTTCTATGCATATATGCATAAATGAACACGGCTGACCATAACCAGCCCGGATGTCATTTTGCAAACTAGGTAGTTTTTAGGGCGCAAACAGTGATTCCACGTTTGCTCACTAGGATCGTTGTGAATGTCCATCTATGGAGGAATCACTCAACTAAATTACACGCATTATTGGTTGCTTGTGTTTTATGAGGCTGAGAGGTCCTAGTCTATAGTTTTTATCTATGAAAAGAAGAGAAAATCATAACTGAAAATGCTGCCAATGAAATATATCTATTGGCTATGCCCGACGGGTTATTTTTATGTTGTGCTTTCTGAAGAGAGGTTATGTTCAAAGTTATAAATTACGAAAAACTGAGGAGAATTACGGGAAATCATCACCGCGCCCGCGTTATGTGTAATTACTGGTAGCATGTATATGACTTGTAATCCGACAGTATAGTGAATATAATTATTTCTTATCTCTCTCATATTTGAAATTTAGCAAATTTGTATAGGTAAGTTCCAGAATGGATAAGAAAAAGTGGCTGCGCAACTAATTTCTAGCTTTGAATCTCAATTAAGTGCATTTGAGATAAGAACCCAATGTAATTATCATTAACACATACCACTTACAGCTTAAACCTCCAGTAATGCCATCTCAGAAGCAGATTTTACATCACATCGGAACCAAAGATTGATAACAAGCCTCATGACGTTTAGGCAACACGTACAACTAAGTGATAAGCTAACATCTTGTAGAAAAACCTACATGATGTCATAAAAAAACAGCATAATGTCAAAAAAAATCGGCATAATGTCACTTTTCAAGATACGTGATACCCATGCCGGTTGGATCATCTATCTCCAAGGCTAGACCTAAGCCCTATACCGCACTGATGAGATGCTAATAAGCACAAAACAGCGCTGACTGAGCTTGTCAGATGATAAGCAAACATGCCCACTTCAGCCTTAAACTTAAATGTCCAGATCTAGATACTTAATCAAGATGCCCTACAAAGCTTTACAAAATCTTACCCAATGTCTATATTAAATGTGAGCCCTACGACTCTTTGACGGTCATATCTGTATTCAGCGTACCAAATTACCCAAGTATCCAAACTTTCGTTTGCTATTAACAAAGCGAGACACATGGGCGGATCCAGCCTTTGAGTCAGGGGACGTCACTAAGGCCCGTATCGTCAGTCGTCCCTACAATTGTAGGGCGCCTTTATGGCCTCCTTGATTGTCATAGTTTTCTAGTTCTCCGTGTCAGCGCTCTATTTTGAGGTTTTGTCACAAACATCTATTTGCATCAAATTGTGCTTGCTTTTGAGTTATATCATGTTGTATCAGCCTGAAACTTCCTACAATTTAAAAAGAAAACACATCTTCACAATAGGAGAGCGCTGACGCTGACACGGGACAAGTGTAATCTAGAAATTTTTAAAGGAGAGAAAGTAGTATGACAATCAAGGAGGCCATAAACGCGCCCTACAATTGTAGGGACGACTGACGATACGGGCCTTAGCCACAGTGCGGATTCAGGTAGCATTTTTGAGGGGGGGCGTAGTGGTGATAACAAGATGGTCTTTTTTTTGGGGGGGGGGTTATCTGTGATCGAAATTTAACGAACGGGGCGGTTCCGGCTCCTGTAACAGTGGTTCTGAGGGTGAATGCCCTTTTAAAAGTTCAAGAGCGGGGAAGGGGGGAGTGTGCGATTGACAATTTAACACCAAACGGTAGCGGCGATTTGAAAATGGAATGTTGGGCAGGAGCAACTACTGAAAATTGGTAAACGGGGACGCGGCGTCTGCAACAGTGGTCCTGAGTCATAAAGAGCGGTGATAGCAAACAACATAGTATACCCGTCTTTATAGTACCTTAGCATAACACATCGTACACAACTGCTAACGCCGCGTCATGTTTTTTTAATCTGTCCTGGTCCGCGCACATCGACTTTGCCGATACAGAGGATGCCTTAGAGTAGCGCACGATGTGTTACGGTACTCTCTTCAATTTTGGTGTTCAGAATAGAAAAATGTAGGTTGACTCTGCACTTTCTACACAACGACATATTTTGTCCCTGCTTACCAACTTGTCGCCGAGCATCTGGCAAGTTCTCTTATTTTCTCTTATTACTTTAAGCTTTGAGGGCCAACAAATATCTATGAAGAAATATACGATGACCCCCCTTAAAACGCGGCCCTGCGTATGGTGTTTCATCTTTGGTCACGACTTGTGAATCACCCTGTCCACTAACGCCAGAAAATATATGATATTATTCTCTCCCCGCCCCCAATAGGCACATACAGATCATCCAGAGACCCTACCTGTATTTGACAATGATGCGCTGCAGAAATTTCTCCTCTACCAACCACGGCAGCCACCTATCGGTCAGACCGCGAAGTAGATATATTCAGAGACGCGTGTTGAACACATTTTTCTATCATCAAGTTTTAAGAGCAAATGTATGTGGAAATCTATGTAGAACATGTTTTATAATCAGTGCGTCGAATTACTGAGGTTGGAAGCGAATAAATATACTGGTCTCAAAAATTGATATGTATCCTCCCGCACCCGCTACAACCCACAATGCCCAATTTTTATTAAGTTTGAGCGATTTATATATTTCGTTCTTTGCCCCCAGCTCCGCCGCCACTGACTGATATCTTATTTGTCGTGATGTACACGCCAATTTCAACAACAAAAAAATTGTAAATGTAAAAATGTATTCAAACGATTCAACCAAAGAACGGAATATGGTCGCGATTGAAGATATTCAAGTATTTGCGAAATACATAATGCATTAAAACCTATCAGTTATTGAAGACGGGAGTTTTTCGAAGCAAAATATCCATTTTCGTCGCGTGATTTTTCAAACGATCGAAACTCGCTATACCGGGCTTATTTGTGATTTCGAATATGGCCACCGAAAACCGAAAGATGCTAAAGTGTCTCGAAGCGAAGTAAGAAATGGTACTTTTTGACCATTGCGTAAATTTACACCAAAAATTGAAACTAGATTAATGACCATTCGATTTATATCCCTAAACACAGTTTGCTCGAGATGGCAGGTGAACAAGAAAATACTTTTCGTCAATAGGGGCAAATTTAGAGCAGGGCGCGACCCCTCCCTAGATAGCCAGGCCGACCAAGAGTTTTCCAATTGCCAGTCAAGTATAATTGAAGCTGAACTGAAATTGGTCCCCACGACACTCCACGTCTTTTGAAGATCATATTCGTATTCAGAGCCCAAAATTTCTAGCGCGCTTTTAAGAGAAAATTGTATAAAAACTCATGCGTTTCATGGTTAGGGCAATAATTTGGATAGAGACTCACTCGTTTATTAGGTGAAATCGAGAGATTGAAAAATCACTTCGCATAGATTGATACAAATCTACTTTATTATTTTATTTATATTTATTTATATATTTTATTATTTTTAAATTAGCAGACAATACTATAATTTTTTTTAGTACCACTCACTTTTCTAGTTATCACATAAAGGTAAGTAGGTACTATTCTATTGAAAAAACAGGTCTCAAATGTCTCAAAATAACCATATATCAGCATATCACACACAAAGGGGTGCGCTAGCACGTTATATTTACACTTGCAGTGTTAAAGTTATGTTGTCGATACCATCAATAAAATTGGAATATAAATCAAAGTAATGCAAAAAAAACTTACCGAACAGACGCCATGTATCTTTCGCCTTAACAGTCCAAGAATGTCGAAAATTTAGTTTCAACCACAAACTCCATTGATAGGCACTCACGAACACTTATAGCCCCTGCGTCTCTCACTGATTTCCGATTTATATTATTATATATTATAGACAAATCACATAAAATACGTTAAACAATAATAAATGACAAAAACGGGGATTGAATACGCGCTAGCGCGACGCAACAATAGAGAGGATTCAAAAAACAAATGAGTTATGCTGCCCATCGTATCGGCTACTTTCGGAACTTTTCGACTACTTTTCGGAGGCACGCAGCCACCCAGCCACCGCTGATCGCTGCACATGAAAGAAAAATGGATTTTGCATGTACAGTAGGTAATGAAAAGTTATGTCGCAATAATCAATTTTTAATGAAACGGTGGGTCATATGATACCTCGAATTCAAATCCCTTATAATGTAGTATCTTTCTTTATTGGTGAGCAGGCGGCTGTCATTGTAGTGCGTTTTTGAACATTGAATCGTTTATTGTAACAAAGAGTCTCGATCTTCTTTTTTTTGAAGGATCTATCCGAATATGTAATAAAACCATGAAACATTCCATCTGCCGAAAATTCAAAATCTGTCACTTTTGTTTTAAACAAATGAACATCCCATATTTCATTGAATACAAACTTTGTTTTCTATTTTGTAAGATACTAAAACTTTTACTCTAAGTTATTAATGAGGAGGTTTGGAATGAGGTGTCACAAGATGCCCCGTTTAGTCAAAGATATTCCAGGATAGCGCCCAGTCGTCTTCTTAAAATTTTCAACTGCACTTTTACATTAAAATATGGAATTCATATATCAAGTTAATCCTCCTGAATTTTAGCTTGCTAAATTGATTCATCTCGCAAACGTAAGAGATACGAAGTCGCTTAAATGGTGGCAAAGTTGCGTATTTAGGTAACAAACTAATAGTGGCTTAGAAAGTACTTCCGGAGAAAGGCGGACAAAACAGAATTTTCACCAAAATAGTTTTAATTTTTTCCTGACTTTATTTGCAGTGGCATTTCAAAATAAGTTGCACATTGATATTGTCATCTTTTCTCCTCTACAAGTTGGCATAATTAGAATTCCAATATGACGTTACGTCTCTCTTGTCCTCACTGGCGAATTTAGAGGGGGGCGCCCCCCTAGACGTCTGACATTTGCTTTTGCAATCTAACACCATTGTGTTACTGTCTGTCATGGCTATATCTATTGATATTTTTATCACCTGCTGATATACTTAATAGGCAAGCTTGATATTGTGTCAGTGTTTGCACCATTTACTTGATTTGTTGAATGGGCAGTTCAGAGTCTTAATCCTTAAGCTTATCACATACTAGTAGACACCGTTACGCAATTTGTCTATAGGCAGTCTGGAGACGGTCTCAAGACACGATCTATAGATGGTCTACAGACATCCTTTGTCTTGTCTAGCGTCCATACGATAATGTGAATTTTTTGGTCTCATGTTCGTTTTCGCAATCAAAGACATTGTTTCATGTGGAATGGACTGGGATATGTCACGGGGTCCCTCAGAATGTTTTAATTATTTTTTTGTCGGTTAACAGAGCAATGAATTTTTTTATGTTTGAATCTTTAGTATTATAATACTAGTTAGTGATGAATGCCACGTAGGTACTTATTTTGTTCACATATAATAAAATATTGGCTTTGAGGATTTCTGAGCAATTTCCGTGTCTTTTTTTCAAGCTGGCCTTGACCAGATAGAACACAATGGATATATAATAATAGGATAAATTCTAGAAGTTCCACTGAGGTTAAAAAATGAACAGCCCCAAATATCGTTTGCACCCCCCCCCCTAGACGAAATCCTGAATCCGCCCTTGCTTGTTCTCCAACATCAACTTTATTTTTTCTCATGGACGCCATTTTGGATGTTGGCACAGATGAATAGAGTTTTAATTTTCATTGCAAAAATGTATGATGATATGAAGAAAGCTAAATTTCCTAGGTAGGCCCAGAAATCAGATAATCATTTGTTTTATTTTTTCCTGTCATCGAGAGGCGATTTCTAATTAAATTGCATATCGTCATGGTTACTTAATAAGATCGCGTAGTCATATTTTAATTTCGACATTCCTTCTTTACATCATCAACTTTGTTTTTTCATGTGGACGCTATATTGGAATTTTATACATTTAAATGGACTTTTCAGTTCTAAATTCAGTGATGTATTCCCTTAGCTGGTAATGGAATTGTCTTTGGATGAATTATAATGAAATAAAAAGGTACGATGAAACCTGAATACAAACTGAAAATTTTATTGATGTTAAAAACAATAATAATCATCATAAATAAGCAGAGGTAAATTGTAGCAGATGTTCAAAATGTTGTCCGTTACTTTGTAGGCAAAGCCCGACGACTCTTCTCTGTACATTGGTCACTGCTCGATTTATTCCTCTTCTTCCCAGTCTTCAAAACTCTGTTGCTAAGTTCAATTTGAGGTCTGGCCTAGGAAACAAGTGAATTTGGATAATTTAAAGGCCCACCTGGGAACTTCTGTTTTTCTAGAATAACTAAGGATTGGCAATGTACATTTTTGAAACCAGAATTAAAAAGTCTATTCATTTGCGCAAAAATGCAATATGGTGTCCATAAAAAAATGAGGTTGATGCTGGAGGACAAGAGATGAAACGTCATAATGAAATTCTTATTATGCCATCTGATAGAGGAGAAAAAGTGGCAATGTTAACACGCAATCTATTTTGAAATCTCACTACAAATACGGTCAAGAAGTACTTTGAATTTCGAAACTTCCTAAGCAGCATTTTGTTGGTTACCTGAATACTCAACTTTGCCCCTATTTAAGAGACTTCGTATATCTAACAGAGTCCGAGATTCCGATGATGAAGGTCGAATTTGAAAGAGCCTATATACACTACATTTGCTACTAAATAAAATCCACTACTTATCAAGCTCAGTAATGATGGAAATTCTTTATTTAACGAAATCTTTTATTTATTCATTAGTTAGAATTATAAAAAATTAAATATACATAAAAGTTCTAATTTTATGGTTAATAATCACAGAGTCATGATTTCTTTTTCTTCCTCTCTGCTAACATATCCATAACCCTAGGCAACTCTGTAAGCAACTCTTCAGCGCCAAGTTTAAACTCTCCATCAGCCCACACTTGGCGCAACTCTGCCATGACAACTCCCATGAATCGACCACCCTCCACTCCCTTCTCTTTCAACATATTTCCACTGACTGGAAACTTTGGAATCTCCCATTTTTCAAATTCATCTATGTGAGGAGAGTTGTTATATTTCAGCACCTCCAAAGCCATTTTCTTGGTGTCTATAGGTTTTGATTTAGCCTTTACAACAAGCTGTTGGTAAGGCATCAATGGCTTGGGATGCAACTTGGGGCCTCTATGTTGTACCATGAACATTGCTAAGTCTCGTTCAAAGGCTGACAGTTTAAGCCTAACATTTAGAGAAACTGCATCATCTTGGGTATATAATAGCGATGACAATAGAGTTATGGCATTCAGATTATTGTGACCACTTTGTTTCCATACTCGTTCTAGTTCTTCAGTGTTTGGGTTATCTGGTAAACCGATATATGGAGCGATGCCACACTTTACTATGGCCAGCATCAATTCGCCAGCAAATTTGCCCTCCAATATTTTTTTCATTTCCATCCATATTCGTTCACCAGAAATGTTTTCTAACCCAGAAGCATTTTCTTTGATAGCTTTTAGTGTTTCTGCTTCGTGATTGTTTGGTTCTATAGCTATCCTTCCATAGAATCTAAAGTACCTCAGTATCCTCAAGTAGTCCTCTCTGATTCTAGTAGTAGCATCACCAACAAACGCAATTCTGCGCTTCTTAAGATCATCATGCCCATAAAAGTAATCATAAACACTACCATCTAACCCAAGGAACATTGAGTTGATAGTCAAGTCTCTGCGAAGCGCATCTAGCATCCAATCTGTGGTAAACTGAACTTCTGCATGTCGTCCGTCTGTCAGCACGTCAATACGAAGTGTTGTGATCTCGAAATTCTCCTTGTCATTGATCCTAGGGGTGATAGTGCCATGTTTTTCTCCATTCATATTGATCATCCTCACATTCTCAGTGGTGAACATCTCTTTCATCTCGGTTGGGGTAGCAGTTGTGGCGAAGTCTAGATCTTTAGGTTTCATGCCCATTAACAGATCTCGAACAGCGCCCCCGGCAATTCTGATTTCATAACCATACTCTTTGAAAAGGGCCATCAATGTTTGTAGCTCGTCGGTAAACATCGAAGTGAATTCAGGGGTATCCAGCTTCATAATCATGGGATTTTCTCTGGCATTTGGTCGTGCCATTTTCCTTAGATATTGTATTCTGTCTTGTGGACTCAAATTACTCAAAGTGGCATAATTTGTATAAATGTAGTTTATGACATGTTTGCACTGACGAAGGCGGAAAGTGCACTTACTAACAAATAACATAGTCGTTATGTTTCATATTTAATCCAATCTTAATACGAATTCATAGTTTACTAATTCAAAAGACTCAAAAAATCCAGGTTAAAACGCCCAACGCCCATCAGCTGCAATATGTCAAAATTCTAGACAGAAGTGTCAAAGTGCACGGGACGGCATTTGTTAGAGATGTGTGTTGTGTACACGCTGGGATCGAACGAATCGTTAATAGTTATTCATGTATCTAGGGCATAGATTGATTTCGATTGGTTGCTTGCACCTTGAAGTTAAATCCTTAATTGCAAAGCGCTGCAAGCTCAAACACGCCAAGAGACGTTTGAGATACAGACCAAAATTTATCTATATGGCTTATGGGTAACAAAAATTAGAACAGCCTTAGTGGATATGGAAATATACCGCTTTTCACCTTCGCGGTTAAGAAATGATACACTAGCAATCGTTAATATATTAGATATATTTTCTCAGAAAACAATATCAAGCAACATCAATTACGCTTTATTGTGAATTTTTACAATACTTACACTACAGCTAAGATGTGTATATGGTAATTAAATATACCATTTATATAACATTTTAAGACATATCATGAAACTGATATAACGTAAATTAAATATGACTCAAAATCTCGCCCTTGGATAAGAAGTAGTATCTTTGAATTTGACTTTGTCCCTAGTTTTGGACCCTTCAATTTCCTGAAAACTGTGTTGCTTGTGGAGGGGCGCCTCCTGCACCTCCACGATGTTGGTTACTTTCTTGTATTTGTACCACCAGTACTCAAAAGCTAGGGTAATGCATGCTAAGCCAATACCAACGAAAATGACTATGAAGACGCCGCCAATATTTTGAATACTGATTCCATCCGATTGATCATCAGCTTTTTCGCAATCTTGCTTTTCTGGGTTCTTGTTCCACCATTTCTCTTTCAAGCGTTCCAGCTCTCTGCGGTTCAACAATTGCAGTATCCTGAAACAAAACTTTACTGTATTAGAGACAGGTCTGTCCAAAATCTCAAAAGTTCCAATCCAATTTTTCAAATGATGTATAGGTCTTTTCACGGTTTTTGGCGGGCACAGTAGATCCACAGAAATTACTTTCATACACAATTTCTCTCACATAGGCATATGCAATCGGCCTCTTTGCGCGGAAGTTTGTGTTTACGACTTATGCCTGGAAAACTCTAGAACATTTCTCGACGCGTCGACAGGTGGATAAATACCCGACTAGATGTCGGAAGCAGTTGATTACAGTCGAGACTCAGTAGACAGCAAGCGCGGAATTAAGATGAAATAACAGTGGACATATTTATAATTTTGTTACAAATTAGTTGTAACAGTGATAAATTAGGCTTTGAACAAAAAACGGTGTTTTTGTTAAATAACGTTATTTAGTTTTGTCTCACCTCCTTGAAAATTTTCTCGATAACGTATGAGTCTTCCACATCGATGCTTGTATACTGATAGTACGACCACTTGCTTATTATGGCCGTGCGATTTGTGTTTACAAATGTTGATTTTCGATACTAAACATGTAGTGGCTGAACTACAATGTCGACATATTTTCAGGAAGCGAATGAAAACAAACCGTCCTCTATAACCCATTTCATGTGTGTGTGTGCAAGAGTGAGTAACAGCTGTCACGGATCGCCTCGTGCAGTCTGCAATTTGTCTTAGGAAAGTTAAGCTAAACACACGGTACCATCATTAGTTACTTGATTCGATTCACATCATGCGAAGTAACTGACAAAAACTGTAAAAATCTCTAAATATGGAAATGACGTAACTCTGCAGAACTGTGACATTTTCTATCAACTTACGCAGAGTTGAATTGCTCCTTAAGTGGCGACCCTTGTTGAACAGCAATAGCGTAAGGTTTTCTGGAAAATTCTTCTCCCACCATCGTCAAATCACAGTTAGTGATCTCCAAGTACTTAATGTCGGTAGCATCTCCTGAAATAGGCAATAAATTGGTTCATTATCATCAAACCTGAACACAACCATTTTAAGAAGTAGAAGAGGACTAGTTCAACAAGTATTTTCAAAACAATCATATATTTATACAGGGTATTTCTGCAGAACGTAGCAATATCTTTAGAGTAGATAATATACTAAATGACATATAAATTCGAACACCCAGTTTAAATGGTTTTATTTTAATAAAAGTTGGTGAATGTATTTATCTTACTGTAAATAACAAGTGAAGAAATGTTCAGCCTCATCAGTTGGACATTCCGGTTTTTATACTGCTTTTTTTTAATTCACTAACGCTCTAAAAATGAATATTTCAGCCGCAGTAAAGAATCAACGTTGGCGGATTTTGGTTCTTGACATCCTTTACGATCGGTTACGATGCCTAGAGTACGGAGACCTGTACGATTTCGTCAACTTAGTGAGTTTGATAGGGGCCGCATAGTGGGACTTCGGGAAGCTGGACTTTCTTTTCGGGCAATTGCAGTTAGAGTGCAAAGAAGTGTAGACACTGTGGTTAGGTGTTGTCAGGCATGGCTTCGAGAAGGCCGTACGCAAAGAGCAAGGGGCACTGGACGCCGCCGTAGAACAACAGACCGTGAAGATCGCCGCCTAAGATTATTGGCCTTAAGGGACCGTTTCTCCACTACCAGGTCCAATGCAAATGAATGGTTTGCAGAACACGGAAGACCTATTGGCATGCGAAGTGTTTACCGACGAATGAGAAGTTTTGGCTTGTTTTCATACCGGCCACACTGGGTCCTCCCTTTAACTCGAGAACACCGACGTAATCGCCTTGAGTGGTGCAGACAACGGTCACTCTGGGATCAGGAATGGAACAGTATTGTCTTTAGTGACGAGTCTCGATTTTGTTTAGGCATGCACGATGGTCGTGCCAGGGTTAGAAGGCGACGTGGTGAAAGGAGGAATCCACAGTTTTTTGTTGAAAGACATGTTCATCACACTGTTGGAGTTATGGTTTGGGGTGCTATAGCTTATGGTTCCAGGTCACCTTTAATCTTCATCAGAGGTAACATGAACGCGCAGCGTTATATCCACGAAGTTCTAGAACCCCATCTTTTACCCTATCTTGACACCCTGGCAGATCCAACTTTCCAACAAGATAATGCCCGACCACATGTTGCAAGAGTCACAATAGACTTCTTTCAACATAATGATGTCACATTGTTACCATGGCCACCAAGATCTTCCGACTTATCCCCAATTGAGCACGTGTGGGATATGATGGGTAGGAGATTGCTCAATTTGCAACGTCCTCCTCAGACTCTAGAAGCACTTCGAGAGGAGTTGGTGGTTGCCTGGAATGAGATACCACAGGAGGACATTGACCACCTGATCAGAAGCAAATCTAGGCGCGTTGGAGAATGCGTAGCACATCAGGGTGCATCCACACATTATTAAAGGTCAAAGGGCTTTAAAGCAGTGCAATCATTTTGAAATTTTTATCATTTACTTATTATGCTTCATTAAGTACTTATACAAAATTTTATTAAAATAAAACCATTTAAACTGGGTGTTCGGATTTATATGTCACTTAGTATACATCCAAAAATGGAAAAAAGGACATATAAGTATAGCTTCCAAAGTGTTTCATCAGCACGATACAGGGTATCGCAAATTTCTACACTACAGACGAGACTGAGACTGAGACATTAATTATGTTTAAATATGATATACAGACAATTTTCAGTGTCAAACTTCATCAACTGCACCAAATAGAACGGGTTGCAATGTTTATACGAATTTTACTTAAAATACTCAGACCGATTTTTCTCCATAAGGAGTAGTCTGACAAAAGTTTCTCAATTGTGGCGATTCGTGCAAAAATGGACTACTTTGCAATAGGTGTTTTAAAACTGTCAGAGAGGACGAAAATAATTTTCTCGTGTAGGAGTCAAAATTTTGCCATTTATACGCCACTGGTGTAGTCTCGGACATACAAATGTTTGTATGTATTAGCTATGTTGTCAGTTCTACGTGTAAAAAATTTTAACACAATATCCTAACACACTCCGACTTCAAAATTGAAACTGCAACATCCTGGTATCTAGGAAAAAAGTCATTTTTAAGGCCCATGTTTATAAGACCTTTTCGTGTTATTTTTGGGTATACTTGCCTAACATATATTGCCATGCTTTATGTATAATTCTTTTTGGCATTTTGCTGTGCTCTTCAGCATATAGGTATAGATGTCGTCATAAGTAACATTACCTAGAAAAGCGAATCCTTCACTAGAAGACTTAGAAGCTCTTACTCTGGCTACAGCCTGCTCCAGGGTGTTTGGCAGACCAGCTTCTTTCATTGCTTGCCACATCTTCGTATATTTGTCACTCACTGGATAGTCCCAAACTGCAAGTTTAGCTCGTTCCACTTCAGAGAGACTGTCATTCAGACTCATTTCTTTCCATATTCTACAAAAATATGGTACACGATTCTCAAATAATTTAAATTTCATTGAATGACTTTTAGTATGTCTCCTGACTAAACTTACTCATAGAACCTTGCTTCAATATTCGCCATTCTTTCGAAATATGTTTGAGTCGATGAACCATTCAGCGGTGCATATTGAATCTTGTACTGCTTAGACAGATCATCCAATGACTCAATAGGAGTATCTAGCCTTGATACAGTTAAAAAAGCAGCCAAGTTAGCAGTATAAGAGGCAATGATGATGAACCCAAACAACCACCAAGTAGCAGCAACCAATCTGCCGGACAGATTCTTAGGCGCCTCTCCACCCCCTTGGGGTGTTAGTGACGTCATGCAGAACCAAAGGCATTCCTTCAAATTGAATTCTCTTTTTTCTTCATCGTCTTTGTACTTTTCTCTATTGTTTTGGTAACTATATGGGGACCAGCGGTCGAACACCCACATCAAAAAACTAAAATATAAATTAAACTAGAGTTCAAAAACTAAATGGGGGTTACTAATATTTTATTTTACTCGAAGGGGATTATTTTGTATGGAGCTTGGCTTCTCAACTACGAGGTATAGATACAGGGTGGCCAAACACGTGACGTCATAAAAAAAAATTAGATTCCCCACATCGAGAGGAACCAAAATCACCCCCATATATATGGTCCGATTTTGTTTAGTTTAGGAGTTATGATTTTTTTTCGGATTTTTCGAGAATTTTTGAGTTCTGTGTTTATTTTTACCATAACTTCGTTAATAATTGTGATAAATGCCTGCTTTTTTCACGATTATGTAGCTAAGACCTAAGGCTTAACTATCATATAATCATTCAAGTCATGTAACTAATACTACTTTTTAATTTTTTTCAAAATCTTCGAACATAACAAAAAAGTAAAAAAGTGCAACAACTTTGAACGTTTATAAAAAATTGAAAAAACATGTTCTTACTATTCGTAAGTATCTTAAAAACTTCCTTACGGTATCAGCTATTTACCGTAAAAATTTCATCAACCTAGCTTTACTACATGCTACCGTAATTGTGGCTCAAATAGAACCAAACCCAAAATTGGATAACCCTCTGCTCAATAGAAATTGTTAGTTTCGGAAAAAAAATTTGCAAAAACCACAAAAACACGTTTGATTTTTACTGAACAGCAGATTATTATTCATTTATGTTATTTACAAGAGGTTTTCAAAATGTCTGCCTCTAACAGAAATGCACAGTGTACACCTACGTATGAAATTTTGTTTTAAATCTCTAAATGCTTGTGTGTTGTTTTTCAACACATGTGTCGCTTCCTGAATTTTGTTCCTCAATGAATTTTCATTTGCACATTCTTGGGCGAATGTTATGTCTTTAAAATATCCCCAAACAAAAAAATCAATGGGGTTGAGGTCAGGGGAGCGTGGAGGCCATCGTATCGGTCCGTTTCGTCCGATCCATCTGTCTGGGAACCTTTCGTTTAAGTAGTTTCGCACGATCGTTGCGTTGTGGCATGGTGCACCATCATTCTGGAACACCATGTTCCGTCTGGCTTCCAGGCTTGAATCTTCCAGCAATAATGGTAGGCTATTTTCAAGGAAGCTTTTGTAGGCTACCGAATCCAACCTTGACGGCAGTTCAAATGGACCGATAAATTCCATATTGAATATTCCTGACCACATGTTCACACTAAAACGGTGTTGAAATGTCGACGGCCTTGACTGGTGGGGGTTTTCAACAGCCCAAGTATGTAAATTATGGATATTGAATATCCCTGTTCTTTCAAAACGTGACTCGTCAGTCCATAAAATTTTATCAAAAAAATCGGGATCCTCTCGTTGTCTTCGCAGCATTGTCTCGCAGAAATCCACTCTTAACTGGTAATCTGAAGGCATCAACGCTTGAACTCTTTGAACATGATAGGCATGATAACCTTCTTCATGAAGAATATTTTGTATCGATGTTCGTGGTATTCTAAGGTTTTGTGCCATAGATCTCGTACTCGTTGAGGGATTCCGGCTAATTTCTTCAAGTACTACTTCTCTGCGATTCGGATCAGCTGTAGGATATCCTTCATTGCTTCCTCGTCCTGGAATGCGGCCTGCCATGAAAGTGTTATGTGTGTTAATAAAAACACGGTGGTCTGGGTAATGCTCAGGTTGTGGTCCGCCTCGGCGTATAAGTTGTTCCCGGTACAGCTGAGCTGCTAAAGCGCCGTTGCCTTGAGCAACGCCATAATAATAATGCATCGACATTTCAACACCGTTTTAGTGTGAACATGTGGTCAGGAATATTCAATATGGAATTTATCGGTCCATTTGAACTGCCGTCAAGGTTGGATTCGGTAGCCTACAAAAGCTTCCTTGAAAATAGCCTACCATTATTGCTGGAAGATTCAAGCCTGGAAGCCAGACGGAACATGGTGTTCCAGAATGATGGTGCACCATGCCACAACGCAACGATCGTGCGAAACTACTTAAACGAAAGGTTCCCAGACAGATGGATCGGACGAAACGGACCGATACGATGGCCTCCACGCTCCCCTGACCTCAACCCCATTGATTTTTTTGTTTGGGGATATTTTAAAGACATAACATTCGCCCAAGAATGTGCAAATGAAAATTCATTGAGGAACAAAATTCAAGAAGCGACACATGTGTTGAAAAACTACACACAAGCATTTAGAGATAATAATAAGTTTATTGCAAAAGAAAAAGTATAGCAGTAGTAGATGAAAGACAATATTATACAATAAACGAATGGACCCAAAAAAGTTTCGCAGAAACTTGTGCTTGGGCATGAGCTCATGTATAAATAACTTAAGACTAAAAAAAAAAAACATAAAAAATATATGTATATAAAATTCATTAGACAAGTCCTGGTAAAATTTTTAAAAAGACACAATCGGGACGGAGACGCAAAATCGGAACGTAGACGCAATTGGGATAGAGACAATATTGAAACAAAAGGCAATATTAGGTGAATAGACAAGAACAAAAATTGGTAAAAATAAGTCATAAAATGCAGTAATTCAGGGGGTAAGAATTCAAACAGTTTGATTTATACATTTTTTTTTTCATTTTGAACTTTCAAATATCTAGAGAGATTTCCGCTTTCAGTAGTAGTATATATTTTTGATATCAATCACTTGATGAATCTTGAGCCTGTGCTGGTCCAAAATCCACAGTCGTAGATGCCTTTTCATAACCTTTGTATTTTTAATATCTTTTATCTGAGGGGGGATTAAGTTATATATTTTTGGTCCTAGGAAAGTGAAACTCCTCTGACCTATGGTCTTTTTAGGCTTTGGTATGCGTACTGAATGATCTTTGGATCTGGTGTGATGGTCATGTGGGAGGAAATTTAATAAATGCTTATGTTTTGTAATATATGTGAACACACTCTCAAAATAGAGTTGCCTACAATCACATATCTTGGATACCTTATATATCATATCTGTTGGATAGGTGTTAGTTTTGCGGAACATGATTTTAAGAATCCATTTCTGAGTTATTTCTAGTTTCCTGTAGTATTTATTCAACACCGGTCCCCATGCCAAAATTCCATAAGTTAACAACGGTTGTACTAACGTTTTGTATATGGTGCATAAGTCTTTATCAGAAAGAATTTCCCTAAAAAATTTAAATTTTGGTATAAGACATCTTAATCTCTTCGTTAAGCTTTCTATTTGTTTGTCCCATTTTAGGTGGCTGTCTATTATGATTCCTAGGTATTTTATATGATTTGCTGGCTTTAGGACCACTTTTATTTAAAACAAAATTTCATACGTAGGTGTACACTGTGCATTTCTGTTAGAGGCAGACATTTTGAAAACCTCTTGTAAATAACATAAATGAATAATAATCTGCTGTTCAGTAAAAATCAAACGTGTTTTTGTGGTTTTTGCAAATTTTTTTTCCGAAACTAACAATTTCTATTGAGCAGAGGGTTATCCAATTTTGGGTTCGGTTCTATTTGAGCCACAATTACGGTAGCATGTAGTAAAGCTAGGTTGATGAAATTTTACGGTAAATAGCTGATACCGTAAGGAAGTTTTTAAGATACTTACGAATAGTAAGAACATGTTTTTTCAATTTTTTATAAACGTTCAAAGTTGTTGCACTTTTTTACTTTTTTGTTATGTTCGAAGATTTTGAAAAAAATTAAAAGGTAGTATTAGTTACATGACTTGAATGATCATATGATAGTTAAGCCTTAGGTCTTAGCTACATAATCGTGAAAAAAGCAGGCATTTATCACAATTATTAACGAAGTTATGGTAAAAATAAACACAGAACTCAAAAATTCTCGAAAAATCCGAAAAAAAAATCATAACTCCTAAACTAAACAAAATCGGACCATATATATGGGGGTGATTTCGGTTCCTCTCGATGTGGGGAATCTAATTTTTTTTTATGACGTCACGTGTTTGGCCACCCAAAATTTCAAGTCTCAGTCTTGCACGGACTTCAGTTGCAGAGCAAAAAAAACACACGCATTGAGTAGTAGGCCAGAAAGAAAGATTGTTCTGTCATCATGTCAAGCTTTCTTAAATGTTTATTTTCTTCTTCAGGAGAAGCTAAACTTAAAGCTTGACATGAACACAGAACAAAACTTCTTTCTGGTCTCGTATTCAATGCGTATGGCTGCATCCTCGAGAATTTGTTGCTCTGAATTTTAACTACTCAGCCAAGACTACGCTACTACGAGTCATTTTAATTATGCGAAATAACAAATTAAGTTTAAGCCCCAGTCGTGTCAAAACATCAAAAGTTGCAATTTATATAAAAGTATTATGGTAAACTCCTTTGTACCTTGTGAAAAAATATGCAGCTAAGATACACAACCACACTTCGTTTTCAAGTACAGTCAAAAATTTGAACAAACTGGTTGGTGTTTGTGAGAGTTTCATCAGTATCGTTATTCCTACCAAATCGTAGTATGGGACAGTGAAATCTATCACATTTTCTCTTTCAGCCATCACTGATATTGATCCCAAGCCTGAAATAAAAGGACTGCTATGGAAGATTCCGGTAGGCAGAAAAAATGCACGCGGAGATTTGTTATTTATACAGTGCACTGACTGAATTTAGAAGTTACATCATTTTGCTACATTTCAACCTTAACGTGTTGGCATATTGATTCAAAAATATAGGGTGATGTGAAAGTAGGGACTTTCCTTTTGAGAAACAAAGCCGAACATGTAAAAAAGAAATTCAAATTTCAAGTTCTTCTCAGTCATCTCTAAAATACTGTTGAAGTCTTCGCCGTTGGGTACAAAAACATAGGTTCATTAAGCTTTTCCTAAATTTGCAACATTTGGGGGCTGTCTAGGCTTTCCACTGTGTCTACCTAGACGGCATTTGCACGATGTAAATAAACCTACGCGGCTGGAGACGAATCGAATCGAAGTATCAGTAGAATCTTGCAAACACTCAGCGTAAACTACGAGTAATAATAATCGAAAAATTTGTAATTAGCTATGCCGACTCATACACAGCGCGGCATTCGCTTTGGATACTGACGCTGAATGGGCCGGGCCGGCCCATTCAATTTTTTGGAATTCAACATGTCGACAGGGTTATTACGAAAAAAACATTATAATATCAAAAAAATGACAAAATGTCAACTTTCTAGTATGCAAATAGTTTGCGCGTTTGCTCGATATGAACGTTGTGAGCGTCACCAAAACCGTAATAGATATATGAAGGAATGACTCAACGACACGCTTAATGACCATGTTGCAAGAATGCTTTCTTGGTTGCAGAATGCCGAGATTGTAGAGTATATTTCTGGAAGTTGTGACTGAAAGAAAATTTGTTGAGTAACAAGATCGCAGCTGGATGATTGTGTGTTGATTGTGTCTATTGGTCTGCGTGTGATATTTCCTATGTGAGAAAATTATTACTGAATATAATGCTCATAAAGTATATCTATTAGCTGTACCAGACGGTTACTTGTGTACTTGTGTACTTCCTGAAGAGAGATTATCTTGAAAGTTATAAATTACGATTTGCCCCGGTTTCAAAAATTTTAAGAAGCATTACGGGAAGCGCCCGCGTTATGTGTAATTAAACCGCATCTCAGAAAAGTTAGGAATGTCGCATCACACACAAAAATTTTTGGAGTGCCTCACATCTAGGCGCTGATTTGTAGTTTCTATTTGCCATAGAAAAATAAATTTCTATAAAATTTAAATGACTGGAAATATACAATTATGTAAAATATAATAACCCCTCCCATGTTTCATCAATATTCCGGTCTATAGCCTATTTTCTCACCTGCTAGTTGTAATATACTTCACCAATCAGGGATTTTCTTTTCTTATCTCTCAATTTTTGAATTTTTTTTATACTCCAACTACCACGAAGGCCTAAGCCCTAAGCACCCATTGGGTACCGTGGGGCTATATGGGGATACATGGGAAAGGGGAAACGCCATACGGACTCTGGCGAGGGAACACGTGTGCATTCAACATGCACACATTCTAGCTCCGCCTACGGCAACCGCCGGGTGGTACCTCCGCGTTCGACAGTCAGAGACCGTCTACCACCTACGGACAATCACAACATCCATAGCCAAGAGTCTACTACTGCGGCCACCGCTGCTGCCTGCAAATTTGCATATGTAATTCCAGGGAGAATAAGAAAAAGTGGCTGCGCAACTAATTTCTAGCTTTGCATACCGGAAACCAATGGTATTATCATTAACACAAATTAGCACACAAATCCTCACTATGCGCCTACGCACTTCCAGCTATAGTACACAATTCATTAAACCTCCAATAATGCCATTTCAAGAGTTATGACGTTTAGGCAACACGTACAGCTACAGAACGAGTGCACATCAAGTGAACAATAGCTAGTTCTAAGCTGACCTCTTGTAGAAAAACCTACATAATGCCACAAAAAAAACGACATATCACTTTTCAAGATACGTAATACACCTGCCTAAGACTATATCTGTACCTCAGAGCCAGACTAGGTTAAGTCCAAATAAGTAGTTTTGAGATAATTGTTTTTGAAATATTTTTCAATTGAAAGAGACTTGACTTGACATTGAGTTAAAAAGTCGTAACTTCCTTATTATGGCAGACAGATGAACGCTGCATGTAGCAAATGAAAATTCACAATATTATCATAAGCTTTACATATTAAACTGATTTTTGACAAAAATGGACTTAACATAGTCTGGCTCTGGAGTAAAGATATGCTATGTACGGAAAAGCCCTAACTTTAACGACACCCTATATATTTATCTGAAACATTTTTTTTAATTATGGAGGAAAATGAATTTGAACAACAAACAAATAAAAGCAAACCTATGTCAGCTTTTTTCTCCATCAATTCCTTAACAAGGCCATTCCATTTTCCATTCTCGTCCATCACTCCAAAATGATCAACCGCATTGATTTCATAGTCAAACTTAAGCTCTGTAGCGATCTTTTCGATAAGATCAATACAATATCCGTTGTATTTCTTTGGAGCATTTTCGTCGGGAAATACGAAAGGTTTTTGCTAAAATATAAACTAATTAGTAGCTGGTTAATTTTTTTTACAATCATAAAAGAACATAATACCTGAGCTTGGCTAACACAATAACTATGTAGAATTTCAATTTATTCTCAGTTATAATCTTTTGTTTTGGTTTATAACCCTGTCCTTTTACAGTTTCTTAATTCTATTTTATTCTATCAATTTGGGTGTCTTAGGCCCGTATCGTCAGTCGTCCCTACAATAATTGTAGGGCGCGTTTATGGCCTCCTTGATTGTCATAGTTTTCTACTTCTCCGTGTCAGAGCTCTATTTTGAGGTTATGTCACAAACATCTATTTGTATCAAATTGTGCTTGCTTTTGAGTTATATCATGTTTTATCAGCCTGAAATTTCCTACAATTTAAAAGGAAAACATATCTTAACAATAGGAGAGCGCTGACGCTGACACGGAACGAGTGTAATCCAGAAATTTTTGAAGGAGAGAAAAGAGTATGACAATCAAGGAGGCCATAAACGCACCCTACAATTGTAGTGACGACTGACGATACGGGCCTTAGACATTCTGTGTATCTGTCTGATCTTTGTTATATAGCCCTGGACTATAAAACTATAAATGATACAAGTCAAAGTTCTATGAAAGTTTTTTAAAACATACGCTGAGGATTAAGGTATATTCTCTTGAAATTGTACTAACATTAATAAATTCATTACTTACGATGACAGTAACGACTCTATAAACAACATCTGCTGTCAAATTGCTCATAACTTTTTGATCGATAAGAGTCAAGTTGTTGTCAAATCCCGAGGTCCAAGACCCAAGATTGAAGGATTTGTCTGACGCTCCATCCCTGACACCGACAGAGGATATCGCCATTTGAAAGTCCATGTAACTGTTTCCATTTTGATTGATTAGGAACTGGCCGTATGTTGGCGGTTCGGTAGATTCCTACGAACAATTTTGGCGTCAAGTAGATTAGCTCAATAACTCCATACCTTTGGTCAAGATTTTCAATTACAGAATTTCAAGAAAAGAATGATGCGAGTATATTCAAAAGGTTCGAATGAAAGGTAAACAAAACTATAATATATATATATATATATATATATATATATATATATATATATATATATATATATATAATTGTACACACACACACACATATATATATAATTATATATATACTAAGTGACATATAAATCCGAACACCCAGTTTAAATGGTTTTATTTTAATAAAAGTTGGTGAATGTATTCCGGTTTTTATACTGATTTTTTTTAATTCACTAAGGCTCTAAAAATGAATATTTCAGCCGCAGTAAAGAATCAACGTTGGCGGATTTTGGTTCTTGACATCCTTTACGATCCGTTACGATGCCTAGAGTACGGAGACCTGTACGATTTCGTCAACTTAGTGAGTTTGATAGGGGCCGTATAGTGGGACTTCGGGAAGCTGGACTTTCTTTTCGGGCAATTGCAGTTAGAGTGCAAAGAAGTGTAGACACTGTGGTTAGGTGTTGTCAGGCATGGCTTCGAGAAGGCCGTACGCAAAGAGCAAGGGGCACTGGACGCCGCCGTAGAACAACAGACCGTGAAGATCGCCGCCTAAGATTATTGGCCTTAAGGGACCGTTTCTCCACTACCAGGTCCATTGCAAATGAATGGTTTGCAGAACACGGAAGACCTATTGGCATGCGAAGTGTTTACCGACGAATGAGAAGTTTTGGCTTGTTTTCATACCGGCCACACTGGGTCCTCCCTTTAACTCGAGAACACCGACGTAATCGCCTTGAGTGGTGCAGACAACGGTCACTCTGGGATCAGGAATTGAACAGTATTGTCTTTAGTGATGAGTTTCGATTTTGTTTAGGCATGCACGATGGTCGTGCCAGGGCTAGAAGGCGACGTGGTGAAAGGAGGAATCCACAGTTTTTTGTTGAAAGACATGTTCATCACACTGTTGGAGTTATGGTTTGGGGTGCTATAGCTTATGGTTCCAGGTCACCTTTAATCTTCATCAGATGTAACATGAACGCGCAGCGTTATACATGTATCCACGAAGTTCTAGAACCCCATCTTTTACCCTATCTTGACACCCTGGCAGATCCAACTGTCCAACAAGATAATGCCCGACCACATGTCGCAAGAGTCACAATAGACTTCTTTCAACATAATGATGTCACATTTTTACCATGGCCACCAAGATCTCCCGACTTATCCCCAATTGAGCACATGTGGGATATGATGGGTAGGAGATTGCTCAATTTGCAACGTCCTCCTCAGACTCTAGAATCACTTCGAGAGGAGTTGGTGGTTGCCTGGAATGAGATACCACAGGAGGACATTGACCACCTGATCAGAAGCATGCCTAGGCGCGTTGGAGAATGCGTAGCACATCAGGGTGCATCCACACATTATTAAAGGTCAAAGGGCTTTAAAGCAGTGCAATCATTTTGAAATTTTTATCATTTACTTATTATGCTTCATTAAGTACTTATACAAATAAAATTAAGTACTATATACAAAATAAAATAAAACCATTTAAACTGGGTGTTCGGATTTATATGTCACTTAGTATATACGTATATACAATTAATTGTTAATTGGGAAATTGTCAAAAAAATTTTTTAGGCTTTAGTAAAGTCTTTTAACGGTAATCTCGAGCTTTCGGCATTCTCTATGGAGCCATCTTCAGGAGCTGAAAACACAAATATGATGCTAGCAACCAATACGGGAAGGATTATCAGACAACTTACTCGTCGCTGAGGTTGCAAAAGGACGGACTAATATTTTGTCAATTGCGAATAACAATATTGACAATGACAACACTGTCCTGTCCAACCCGACGCCCATTAATTCTTCAACTAATGAGAATGACAGCACTATGATGGATGCTTCTATTTCCAGAGTTAATTATGTTGTCTTGCCATACATCAATGAATTATCTCCAAAATTGATCATGCTGTATAATTCCTCAAATTGTCGTTTTGCTCGTAAATCAGTTCTCACAGTCAACAGTGTGTTTTCCAAAATGAAGGATAGGGTTCAGTTGCTTGATTCAACCAACACTGTCTATCGCATTAATTGTAACAACTGTAATTTAGTTTACATAGGCCAAACATCGAGATCACTGAAAAGCAGGATAACCTCACACAAAAATGACGACAGATTTCATCCAGAGAGATGTGCTTTGGCATCACATGTTAACACCACAGGCCATTCTATGAGTTATGGCGGTATTGAGGTTCTTGACAAGGAACAACAACTCTCAAAACGTCTATTTTTAGAAATGTGTAATTTATTCTTACTTGTTGTATTGGGAATAGATAGAACGTCTACATATCCCAGTTGATCTAACGTCCTCCCAAAATTAAAACACAATTTCAATTATTTATCGTGTTACTTGAAACATTGCCCTCACGATAATAATAAGTTTTAATATATTTTCATACAACCCATCTTTTCAAGCGTGTATCACCATCTTACACTCGTATACTCATATGAGTAACACTTTTTCCAGAACACATTTAATCCAGCATTTTGGGATTTAGGATGAGGTTTTACCGAGTGTCCCTCGTACGTACTATACCTGAAGTTTGACAATGATGTTTACGTTTCCACATTCCTTCGCGTCAGTCACCTGTCATCTGTCGATGTACCACTCTTCCGGTTCGCTCATTTCCTCCACGTGAAACAGATGTAGGAGGTTAGAAGGGACTTTGTCGGTTTTTGCCCCCAAAATTGCTTTTCAATAATTTTTAATGTGTTCGGGTGTATTGATATACAGGGTGTCCGCAAAGTTGGGGTTTTCCTTTACACGACGTGTAGATCTTGAAAACATAAGCAATTTTTCTTAGTACCATATACACCAATGTCTTAAGGGAACCGAGATAAAGGGCTCTGCAGCATCAAAAATATCTGAATACCGTCCTGTAGCCGCGACCCGCGACATCACCGAGTGGTACAAGGTCACTGGCTCAATCCGACGACAGAACTGGGTCAGGTCAGTATGCAACCTTTAACCGACGGTGACGGTCACGCGTGTAGAGGTAATCGCGTAGACGAGAATCCCTCAACAAGCACTAGAGACGTGGCTAGAGAAGTGCAAGTATCAAAAACTAAAGTGTGGCAAACGCTGCGTGAAGAGGGGCTGTATCCGTTTCACGTCCAACGTGTACAAGCCCTTCAACCTGACGATTTTCCAGCAAAAGTGCGGTTTTGTGAGTGGTTGTTGCATCAACATGACAATAATCCGGACTTTTTGAAGTGCATATTGGTGACAGACGAATCTACGTTCACGCGTAATGGGGTGAATAACTTTCGCAACACTCATGTTTGGTCAGTAGAAAATCCGCACGCTGTCCGTCGGGCACATTTTCAACAAACATTTTCGGTGAATGTTTGGGCTGGCATGGTGAACGGTATGCTTATTGGACCATTTATTCTCCCAAATCGATTGGACGGGATGCAATACCTAGACTTTTTACGCAACATTTTGCCTTCCTTGTTAGAAGATGTGCCATTAAGTGTAAGACAATCAATGTGGTTTCTGCACGATGGCGCACCGCCCCATTTTAGATGCGAAGTGCGTGAGTTTTTGAATGAATTATTTCCGAATAGGTGGATCGGACGTAATGGACCCGTAGCGTGGCATCCGCGATCTCCAGACTTAACACCATGTGATTTTTTTCTTTGGGGAGAAATGAAACGCTTAGTGTACAAAACTAAAGTGCATACGGTTGACGAACTTCGTCTCAGAATTGAACAAGCTGGTGCTTTCATTCAGGACTCCATTCTCAAAGCCTGCACCGATGCTTGGCTATGTCGTGCACGCACCTGTGTTTTTGAATCAAAAGGCGATAACTTCGAACAATACCTATAAAGTACGTTTACCTAAAAACTGAAAACGCGGCAACGCCGTCATATTTGTTACCTCTGTTCGTGGTCTGCACCACCGCCGGCGCCTGCACGGTAGCGCATCAGCTGATTTCATTTTCTGTTGGAGCGGTATGATTTCGGGCAGAGACGTACTTAGCCCTTCTCGTCAACTGGAGAGTGAGCACTTTTTCCTTTATTTTTTTTACTTGGTCGCCCTCGTTTTACTACACATTACCTTTGTTATTTCAAGGGTAGTTGTTTCTGAAAAGGAAAACCCCAACTTTGCGGACACCCTGTATAGTGTTAACACCTAACGATGGTTTCCCTCGTTATCAATAAACCCAATGTGTCCGTCCTTTTGGTTTTATATTTGTAACAAGTGCTCTCATCCACGCGTTCGTCTTGAAACACCATTTGGCTGCAACCCTTCCCGTATTGGTTGCTAGCACCATATTTGTGTTTTCATCAGCTCTTGAAGATGGCTCCATAGAGAATGCCGAAAGCTCAAGATTCCCGTTAAAAAAAATTACTAAAGCTTAAAAAAAAATTTTGCCAATTTTTGCCCATATTATATATATAATTTCATTTCAATGATAAATGCTTGAAAAATATGTACGAGTCATGGGCGCCCTCAGAAAATTTTCCCAGGAGAGGGCTATCATCGACAAGGTGCCCCCAAAGCTTTTTGATTAGCGGATGAGTATCTGCCTCTAAAATTTCTTGAAAAGCGGTGGTAGCACCTTTTCTCAGGTGGAGGGACAAATCCAAATAATCACCAGGATTGCATACGCTTGGAGAGCTTGTAATATAAGAATCTTAGAAGAAATTTACTTGAGTGAAAGCAAAATAAAAGACGAAAGGTCTGACAAATATGTTACCTTAGATAGATATTTTCTGAGCGATAGTCCTATTCTTTTAGGGCTATTATGTCCATTGTAGTCATCGCATGTTATGTACTTAGTGACATTGTTTTTCTTCCATGCTCCATCCGAAATCATTTCCCTTAAATAAAAAGTCATCAAGACGACACTTTTTGAGTTGCTTAAGCCCCTGCCTAAATGATCAGGTATGGTATATTTGTATATACATACTTGATAGCCATAAAGGAGTGCAATGCTAAATCAAAGTAAAACGCGGCAGCTATTGTCGGTTCTGCATTCAGTTGGTAAGTCCTTTGCATAGTTCCTAACCGATCTTGATTCGCCGTATTTGGTAAGGGCTTCACGAACATGATTGTGGCGTTCCTACAAACGCATTTGATATCACCATCATCCTGAGTGATGACATGCCAGGCAAACTTTCTGAAAAATATCCCTATCAGTACCTTAAGGTCGCACGTCCCTTTTTCAAACAGTCTGAAGGAGTGATCCTAATACTTTTCATCTGATTGTTCCATGGTGTGTTTAGAGATGACTGAAAGTCAATGTACAATAAATTGTTTGCCAAAAATGCGTATTTTGTGCGTTTTAACATGTTAAGCCAGCTTCCACTTTTATACTAGATAAGAGCTGGTTATTACTTGGATCTTATCATTTTTTTCTTCATAAAATCTTTGCTTTTCTTGAAAACCATTTTGTAGTAAACTGGGTTTTGAAGATGGCAGAGATTAAGAAAAAATGAAAAGAAAAAGTAATTACCGACAAACTGGACATTTACATTTATCTATACAGATATATACGTAGATTATTTCTTATAATTTTTTTAATCTCTCCTTTTTTAAATGTTGTTTGTTACAAAATGAGTTTTCAATGAAAGCAAACATTTTTTGAAGAAATTAAAATGTTAAAATATAAGTAACAACCCGCTCGAATCAAATATTAAAATGGAATTTCTTAAACTGTTTCAGAGTTGTAGTAGTATTATTTGTTAACAAGTTACGATTGCAGAAGGAATGCATAAAAATGATCAACAAATGCGTTTCTGACAGTAAAATTTATTGTATACTGTTTTTCCGTCATTTTTATACACACCATGATACAATCAGATGAAATGTAGTAAGAATACGATATAACACGAAAAATGATACTGGACAAAATACAACATCTACTTGTTTGCTTCCCGTTTATTCTGTTTCCACGGTTAGACCGCTCCGATGAGTTGTTATAAGCACGAAACAACGCTGACTGTGGTTGGCCATGGTTACAGGAGGCAGAAAATAAACATGTCCAATGTCCATTTAAAAAAAAACTACTCAATATTTCTATTTGGCTCTAAAAATAGTTGCACCCAAAGCACCCTGCAGAAGCTGTAACCATTCCTACTATAACCCAGTGTAGATCAAAAGTGTCTTCACCTTTCCACCGATAGATTTTGAAAACAAAATATGCCTTCACTGTAGAATGTCGCTTAAATATGACAACGTCAGTATTATTATTTTGCTGATGTTCGGCGCTCAAACTCGCGCGCTCCTATTAGCCGGCAGGCCATGAATGCCTGGGCAGGCAGCAACAAGCGCATAGAAGCTTCGATCGAATGCTGATGTTTGTTATGACGCGAGGAAAATAAGATTTCAATAAGGTACAGGCCCATAGTAGACGCGTTGCTAACATAATAAAATAATAATGACGTCATCAATACGAGGTATGACGCAGAAATTGAAAAGGAAGCAAATATGTCTCATATTTAAAGAGTACAAACAATATTTTTGCTATCTGGGGTAGGATAAAGATAAATTCGTCCACGAAATCGTCTGAGGCTTGAGATATATTATTTCTAGGGTAAATATTGTTTTGGGGTGTGACGGGCCTGTAGCTAGGGTTACCAACTATACTGTTAAAGAGAGTAGTATACTGTTTTTCACTAAATTAATACTTTTTACTGTTGAACCAAAATAAATTATACTAAGATTCTGTTTTCACTTCAGCAGAATTTAATAATATTCTGTTCCCGCTGCATCAGCATTCACAGTTTTTTCGTAGATAAATGTAAAGAGGCATTATGTCACAAACAGAGCTTCATCCAATTTAGTAAAAAATGAGCACTTTATTTATTTTAATTTACATTCTAATTGTAGTTAGGCAAAATGGCAATTAATTAATAAGTTTTGCGAGAAACTCAAAAACATACGTATTTGAAAGATTAAGCAAATAAAATATCGTTGATTGTTATATTATGTATTATCTACATAAATGTAGTAGATGTGGTAATAATACCAAAAAAGTATTAATAAATAATAAGTAAATACTGTTCATTTTTTTAAATACTGTTTAATTTCCACCTCAGACCAAAATATATTTTTCGTTTTTTGTAAAACAAGTTTCAATCCTACCCGTAGCAAATTTTATCAGTGGCCCCAGAGGTGGACTCAGAGAGAAAATTTGGGGGGTGAAACAAGAAAATGAAATGCTTGACGATTAAAAATTGGAGGGCGATGGAAAGGATTGAAAACTGAAGAATTCAAGGCTTGTGGAGGCTGGATCAGTGCTTCTGAGAGCAGGAGTGTCGCTGATTGAAAATTGGAGTGGAGCTTACATCTGCATTAGTGCTTTCTCTCCCAGGAGAGATACTTTCATAAAACGTTAGTTCGCGGGGCCTTCTAATGTTCGAGGCTTGGAGAATTTGCTACACTTACTAATCCGTCACTGTTCTTATTTCTACATACCTGTTAAAGAAACTGATTGAATCAGCGGCATCTAACACTCGTTTGATGTTATTCAAATTCGCCAGTACAAAGAAATTGACGATGTCTAGCTTACGAAGCTGCATCAACTGATCAGCAACTGTGTTTCCCATACCTATTGGAGTTATGATGTGCCTCGTCGCAACATTTTGAAGGAGGGCCTTGTACTTGTGATCCATCACTGAAAACAGTAAAACTTTTTTCATCACCTACAGTAGAATTTTATGTAGCGGGTTTCCACAAAGCAGTATTAGTATTACTGGAACATGAACCCACTAAATTACCCATTGCCGTTCAAGGTCAAGTTCATATCTTCGGTAAATTCTTTTTTTATCTAATGATCGTGATATGAAGGAGATACCTACCAAAACTTTGATCAAACAAAATGGCAGCATTGGTGATATTTTGATAGAGCACGATGGTCCGTACGATTTCTGGTATGATGTCGGCTGGCGGACAAATTTGCACCAAGTACTCTTTCTCATCTTCATCGATGTTTCTCCATTGTCTCAAATCGCCCTCTTGGCCGAACGAAGCAGTGATAGTAGGCAATGCTAGGGCTTGCGTGAATGATTTTACTGTTTCCGAACCAAGACCAGTCATTGTCGTGTCCAGAACCATGTGAGGGTAGGTTTGACTTTCGAGCATCGAATTGTACGTGGAACATACTAAAATTTATATCTATCAACATTTCTGATAGTTCTGATAGTCTCAACTGGTGCAGGATATGGGTATTTGATTATTTTGTGAACCGTGACGGTGGTATCGACCGTGGCTGTTCCATTTTTTAACAGAAATTTGCTATAGGAGAAACTACATATGAAAATTAACCCCACAGGTATTTTTATCAGCACAATCTTGCTCAAAGTATTTTGAAAAAATAACCGATGCTGCATTATTATATTCTACACAACCCTGATTTTTTATAGATTTGTGGAACGTATACGTTCGATAAAAATGTATTTTGATTTTTTTTCGAATTTTTTGTTAGATAATGAAAAATTCGCAAACTTAAAAATACACTGTATATCAGTGTTTTGTCACGTTCTTTTCATATTCACTAACAAAAGCATGAACTTTTAAACAGAAAATCCACATTAAACGGAAAAAGCGCATATTCACCGATTTTTGCAGTTTTCGGCATCTTAGAAAATAGGATATCATAACTTCACTAGCCCAAAAACTCAAAATACTTATATATGTATAGTAGGTGTTTGAGTTAGCCAAGCATCCTTTACTGACCTAAAATTTTAGATTTTCCAGACAAGAAATCATTATTTTGGCAACGCTACTGAAAAGAACGTAGAAAATACATAGGTATAAATGCGTGGCTTCCGAAATACAGGGTGTTTAAATTTACTTTCTAAAATAGTTTTTTTTAAATATTTCGAACAATATTTGATGTATAACAGTGAAAATTGGTATACAAAGGTCTTTTGGTACGACAAAACGAACCATGGGCATAGTTTTACTGTAGCCACTAGAGGGCGCTCTCTACTGTACCTGTAGTGTATTAAAATGACCGAACAATTTTTCTTAGTGCAATTTTTTGCTTTTTGAATAAAAAAACTGATTCTTCGCGCTTTTCAACATAAAAAAGCTCTCTTGTGAATTTTCGTTATAGTTAGCCGTTTTTGAGATATTTCGATTTTTAAGTTTCGATGCATTTTTAATTATTTATGGGAAAATAATATTTTTTTTACATTTTCGATTTGAGCATTACAAGTAATTAAGATGATCGTTTAGATTGTGTTTTTAAACACAGCAATAATTCCTAACTCCAAATAAACACAAAAAACAGAATATTAATTTGTTTAATTTTCCAATATTATTTTTAACAAATTAAATTAATTATTTACAACTAAAATGCATTGGATAGTTAGGACAAACATACAAAATCTAAAGTAGTTGCTCGAAATGTAAACCCAATTGTTCAATACACAATTCACATCTACGAATGATCGAACGTGGTATAGCATTATTCAAATAAGGCCTTATTTCATCACATACATTCCTGATTCTGTCTATTAGCATATCTCTTGTGGTTACGGGAGTCTGGTACACTTTTTCTTTTAGAAATCCCCACACAAAGAAATCTAATGGATTTAGGTCAGGGGATCGTGGAGGCCAGGCGACTGGTCCTCCACGGCCGATCCATCTTTCTGGATAACTTTCGTTCAGCCAGTTTCTAACTATTCTCGAATAATGAGCTGGACAACCATCAAGCTGGAACCAGGCCAATCTTCTTAAATCTAACATAACATCATCCCTCATATTTGCATGTTCAGCCTTTAAAAATTCCAAGAAGGTCGCAGCATTTAACCTTGCAGGCAAAAGGTAGGGTCCAAATAGTCGATTACGGTAGATACCAATCCACACGTTCACACTAAATTCATGCTGAAAATTTCTTTCCCGAACTGCATGCGGATTTTCGTGCGACCAAATATGTTGATTATGAAAATTTACCACTCCACGTCTAGTGAAGCATGACTCATCGGTCCATAAAACTTTACTTAAAAAGTCCCTATTATTATCAGTTCTATCAAGAATCCACTGACAAAATGTGATTCTTCGTTCTCCGTCCCCTGGCTGTTTCAACAGACAACAAAACTAACTGTCAACTAATTGACGTTTAACCTTAATCTGCTTTCAATTTCAAAAATATTTGCAGGCACAGACTACTTCTGAAAATTATCTAGATACTGACTTTTTAACGTTATTTTATCATAAATAATTAAAAATGCATCGAACCTTAAAAATCGAAATATCACAAAAACGGCTAACTATAACGAAAATTCACAAGAGAGCTTTTTTATGTTGAAAAGTGCGAAGAATCAATTTTTTTATTCAAAAAGCAAAAAATTGCACTAATTAGCTACAAATAATTACTCTTGTGTTTTTTTCTAGAGTGAAACTCTAGGGAAAAAAATAACACTTGAAATCCGGTGCTGTGTATGATTTTTGGTTACGACTTGTGAATCACCCTGTATACGCAGATTGAGCTTTGGAGTTATCCGATTAATAATATCCTACTGTAAAAGTACCTAAAATTCGAAACATCGATTGCAATTTGCCGTTATTCCAGACAAGAAATCGATATTTCAAAAATGGAACTGGAATCAACGTCAAAAATGTACATACAGCGTGTTTCAGTTTATTGTTGCATAACTTTAAGATTCGATAGAACTTTTAAAATTAATGCATAAAGTCTATATAAACATGGGTCGAAAAATGCCTGGCTTCCGAAATACAGGGTGTTTAAATTTACTTTCTAAAATAGTTTTTTTTTTTAATATTTCGAACAATATTTGATGTATAACAGTGAAAATTGGTATACAAGGGTTTTTTTATATGAAAAAACGTACCATGGTCATAGTTATACGTACAGTAGCCACTAGAGGGCGCTCTCTACTGTACCTGTAGTGTATTAAAATGACCGAAAAATTTTTCTTAGTGCAATTTTTTGCTTTTTGAATAAAAAAACTGATTCTTCGCACTTTTCAACATAAAAAAGCTATCTTAAAAATTTTCGTTATAGTTAGCCGTTTTTGAGATATTTCGATTTTTAAGGTTCGATGCATTTTTAATTATTTATGATAAAATAACGTTAAAAAGTCAGTATCTCGATAATTTTTAGAAGTAGGCTGTGCATGCAAATATTTTTGAAATTGAAAGCAGAATAAGGTTAAACGTCAATTAGTTGACAATTAGTTTTGTTGTCTGTTGAAACCTGAAACGTATTTTTGCAATTGTGAATGCACGAAATTTAGTTTCTTTTACCTGTTTTTTTTTTTTTTTGGTAAGTTTTATAAAAATGCCATTTTTATTCTCCAATCAAGAGTTAGCGGATATTCATTTTGTGTATGGCTTTAAATCGAAACGCAGCAGAAGCAGCCAGAGAATACGCACGAAGATTTCCAAACAGACGACATCCAACTCGCTCAGTATTTGTAAGAGTGCATCGCCAAATAATTGAAAATGGTTTTGGAAATCTCCAAAAGGATCAAAACATAAATGTTCGTCAGCGCAGATTTACCCGTATGATTCTGCGTGAGTTTGATAGAGATCCGACCACAAGTGTTAGGAGAGTTTCTGGTGCCTTGGGAATTTCAGCAAGCCATGTTCACCGTGTTCTTAGAAATTACCATAGACGTCCTTACCATTTGCAACCTGTGCAAGGACTACGGCCAGTGGGCGGAGAACGAAGAATCACATTTTGTCAGTGGATTCTTGATAGAACTGATAATAATAGGGAGTTTTTTAGTAACGTTTTATGGACCGATGAGTCATGCTTCACTAGACGTGGAGTGGTAAATTTTCATAATCAACATATTTGGTCGCATGAAAATCCGCATGCAGTTCGGGAAAGAAATGTTCAGCATGAATTTAGTGTGAACGTGTGGATTGGTATCTACCGTAATCGACTATTTGGACCCTACCTTTTGCCTGCAAGGTTAAATGCTGCGACCTTCTTGGAATTTTTAAAGGCTGAACATGCAAATATGTGGGATGATGTTATGTTAGATTTAAGAAGATTGGCCGGGTTCCAGCTTGATGGTTGTCCAGCTCATTGTTCGAGAATAGTTAGAAACTGGCTGGACGAAAATTATCCAGAAAGATGGATCGGCCGATCCCCTGACCTAAATCCATTAGATTTCTTTGTCTGGGGATTTCTAAAAGAAAAAGTGTACCAGACTCCCGTAACCACAAGAGATATGCTAATAGACAGAATCAGGAATGCCTGTGATGAAATAAGGCCTTATTTGAATAATGCTATACCACGTTCGATCATTCGTAGATGTGAATTGTGTATTGAACAATTGGGTTTACATTTCGAGAAACTACTTTAGATTTTGTATGTTTGTCCTAACTATCCAATAGCATTTTAGTTGTAAATAATTAATTTAATTTGTTAAAAATAATATTTAAAAATTAAACAAATTAATATTCTGTTTTTCTGTGTTTATTTGGAGTTAGGAATTATTGCTGTGTTTAAAAACACAATCTAAACGATCATCTTAATTACTTGTAATGCCCAAATCGAAAATGTAAAAAAATATTAATTTCCCATAAATAATTAAAAATGCATCGAACCTTAAAAATCGAAATATCTCAAAAAGGGCTAACTATAACGAAAACTCACAGGAGAGCTTTTTTATGCAGAAAAGTGCGAAGAATCAGTTTTTTTATTCAAAAAGCAAAAAATTGTACTAAGAAAAAATTTTCGGTCATTCTAATATACTACAGGTTCAGTAGAGAGCGCTTTCTAGCAGCTACAGTAAAACTATACCCATGGTTCGTTTTGTCGTACCAAAAAACCCTTGTATACCAATTTTCACTATTATAAATCAAATATTGTTCGAAATATTTAAAAGAACTATTTTAGAAAGTAAATTTAAACACCCTGTATTTCGGAAGCCACGCATTTTTCGACCCATGTTTATATAGACTTTATGCATTAATTTTAAAAGTTCTATCGAATCTTAAAGTTATGCAACAATAAACTGAAACACCCTGTATACAATGGATGACTAGGTAAACCATATAATCCTTCCTTAATCAAAAACGTCAAACATTGAAGAACATCAGCAAAAGTGCGGTTTTTCCTATTTGCTGCTAAACATAAAGGGATGGATACAAATACATACATTGAGCTTTTCGGTTAGGCAACTTAAGACGTCATACGTTTAAAATGTTAATAATCGGGGTAAATCGGTGAAACCGCGATTTTTTTCCTACTTTTGGCGATTTTTCGGAGAAAAGTGCATGATCTTATCAGTGGTCCGGAAGAAAACGCAACAGAGCACTGATATACAGTAGATTTCTAAGCTTGCAAAGTTCTCTTTACAAAAAATTCGAAAAAAATAAAAAATATTTCTTCTCAAACCGAGTTCCATAAATCTATAAAAAATCACGGTTATGCAGGATATAACGATATAGTATCGGTAACTTTTTTAACTTTTTGTGTCCAAAATTGTGCCCGTAAAAAAAGTATATGTAGTCTTTGAGGTTAGATGCACCTAGGGGCGACCTACCGATCTGAAAGTTTCGCTAAGATAATTTAACTCAATATGCCTTAATTTGGATTTATTCAGATTTGGAGACCTTTGGGGGCAATTTTCATACGTAATTTCGCCTATACCTTTTGTATCCAATGTGACTGACACATACATATATGCTTTCACAATTGCCTGGATTTTGAATAGTCGGACTGGAGGTACAGCCGCCTTGCGGATTCTTATGTAACGGTCACTGTTTACAAGATAATCACCTCTACTTACGGAATTCCAAGAAATTTGTGGAATCGGTTCTGTTCCCGACAACTCTTCGTAGGTCTACGCTGAGACCCAGCTTATTGTTTTTCTTGATATACATCATAGCAACATCTATTGCTTTCTCTGCCACTTCATTCCCTTCTTCATTCACAAACACTACGAAAAGTGAAAGAACACTTTAATTGCCGAAACCAGCCGTCGAACCATCCCACAACGTGGAGTGAAAATTTAGAAAAGCTTCAGGTAAGATTCATTTTGTACCACATGAAATAAGCACAAGGGGGGTCTCGACCACTAATATTTTCTAACCTTATACAAAATTCCAATAGTGAAAGGGATCTTAGTTTGTGAAAAAAAACGTTATTGTATCCTTGCTATATTGCTAGTTAGTGCAACGACAAACAGACATGTCCTACTCTCCTCTACTATCAGGAGATTTACACCATGGTTGAGGCCGCCCATTGCTGCAGATCGTCCAACACGTACTTCTTTATGCCCACAAAGATATACATGTCAATGTTATGTTGAAAGACTTGATTTTGTTATTTGGCAATAAAACGTTTCTTTCTTAGATTTCATACTTTAATCGCATTGGGGGACCTCATTAGCCACGTCACTTCATGAAGTCAATATAAACCAAGCCATGTAGAACAGAATATACTCTCGGTCGGCCCCATCCCCCCTGAATATGAATCCTAGGACCGCCACTGTGTCCCTGCTAAACGGGTTAGTCCACGCTACGCCATTGTGTACAATAATTTATGCCTTTGTAAGATTTTCTGACGAAGAACTACATCACATTGGATAGTCAACGACGCACATACGTATACGCGTGTGTTGAAAATATTCGAAGTTTTAAGGGGAAAGCAATGATATGTGAAATATGTCTAATAGGTGCGTTAGATTACTAGGCTTAGAATTGTATGAATGTATACTAAGTGACAGATAAATCCGAACACCCAGTTTAAATGGTTTTATTTTAATAAAATTTTGTATAAGTACTTAATGAAGCATACTAAGTAAATGATAAAAATTTCAAAATGATTGCACTGCTTTAAAGCCCTTTGACCTTTAATAATGTGTGGATGCTACGCATTCTCCAACGCGCCTAGGCATGCTTCTGATCAGGTGGTCAATGTCCTCCTGTGGTATCTCATTCCAGGCAACCACCAACTCCTCTCGAAGTGCTTCTAGAGTCTGAGGAGGACGTTGCAAATTGAGCAATCTCATACCCATCATATCCCACACGTGCTCAATTGGGGATAAGTCGGGAGATCTTGGTGGCCATGGTAACAATGTGACATCATTATGTTGAAAGAAGTCTATTGTGACTCTTGCAACATGTGGTCGGGCATTATCTTGTTGGAAAGTTGGATCTGCCAGGGTGTCAAGATAGGGTAAAAGATGGGGTTCTGGAACTCCGTGGATATAACGCTGCGCGCTCATGTTACCTCTGATGAAGATTAAAGGTGACCTGGAACCATAAGCTATAGCACCCCAAACCATAACTCCAACAGTGTGATGAACATGTCTTTCAACAAAAAACTGTGGATTCCTCCTTTCACCACGTCGCCTTCTAACCCTGGCACGACCATCGTGCATGCCTAAACAAAATCGAGACTCGTTACTAAAGACAATACTGTTCCATTCCTGATCCCAGAGTGACCGTTGTCTGCACCACTCAAGGCGATTACGTCGGTGTTCTCGAGTTAAAGGGAGGACCCAGTGTGGGAGGTATGAAAACAAGCCAAAACTTCTCATTCGTCGGTAAACACTTCGCATGCCAATAGGTCTTCCGTGTTCCGCAAACCATTCATTTGCAATGGACCTGGTAGTGGAGGAACGGTCCCTTAAGGCCAATAATCTTAGGCGGCGATCTTCACAGTCTGTTGTTCTACGGCAGCGTCCAGTGCCCCTTGCTCTTTGCGTACGGCCTTCTCGAAGCCATGCCTGACAACACCTAACCACAGTGTCTACACTTCTTTGCACTCTAACTGCAATTGCCCGAAAAGAAAGTCCAGCTTCCCGAAGTCCCACTATACGGCCCGTATCAAACTCACTAAGTTGACGAAATCGTACATGTCTCCGTACTTTAGGCATCGTAACCGATCGTAAAGGATGTCAAGAACCAAAATCCGCCAACGTTAATTCTTTAGTGAATTAAAAAAAAACAGTATAAAAACCGGAATGTCCAACTGATAAGGCTGAATTTTTTTTCACTTGTTATTTACAGTAAGATAAATACATTCACCAACTTTTATTAAAATAAAACCATTTAAACTGGGTGTTCGGATTTATATGTCACTTAGTATATTAGCATCAAAAAATTGAGACGTACCCTCCCCTCTCCGTACAACTTCCAACCCCCCATTTTTAGCCCCTACAAAAATGTTTCAAAAAATGATGAATATCCTCTAAAACCTCAAGCAGCGAAGTTTGAGCGATTTTAATCCTTTTTGTCTTTTGCTCATAGCTCCGCCACCACTGAACAGATTTTCAAAAACTACAAAGCTTTTTCGTTCCTGGCATAGTTGTAACCTTGTGTGAAAATTTCATCAAAATTTGCGGTCAGTCCCACAGACAGGCAGATTGACAGACTTGTGATTTTATGAATAGGTGATATTAGCATAATCTTGAAGCTTATAGCTTTTAAAAAACCAATGGTAACCACAAAAATTCAATATTGTTTGGGATCATACTACATAATGCCGGTATTTTTGAAAACCAATGCTTGAAGCAATAAGGAAAAAACTAAGCGTCGTAAAATCATCATTTTTTGCATTTTTATTTTCTTTCCCTTTTCAAGATTGCTTCTCCATATCGTATGAAAATTGATTTCTACAATTTGTTATCTGTTGGATACATTTTTGTTGTATCCAAAATATTTTATTGCTGTTCAGAATGTTGAGGATAGACTTATTAATGCGTGAGATATTTCAGGTCCATCTACTTGATGTCATTTAGTATCGTTATTTCAATTCCTTTCTTTGGATGGGTATATAATTATATCCTTGTGTATCCCTTAGAGGAAAAGTGGAATAAGTTTATGATGATTATCGATCATTGGAAAATGTAAATGAAGGTGCCTTATGAGCAACATAGTGCTTTGTGTGATCCTACACCCCTCTTGTCACACTAAAAAATACTTACAAACGTTGATATTTTGTGTTGTTTGACCATCGCCATCCCAAATCCAATAATTGAAAGTCAAAATTATGAAAATTAGCCTATCTACGGAAAACATCGTGATGTGCGTGTAACAGCTAGGGGTAAAGTGTCGGAAATAAGCTTGGTGATCGATATTTTTTGTATCTACGCTAAGAGTACATGAGCGCCGTCAAGCACCGTGAGTTCTATTTTTTTAAACTATATCGCTATGACAAAAAGAATCGCCCAAAATAAAAAAATACAAAGCAACACACATTTTTGAGAAAATGTTTTTGTTGTAGAGAAATACGATTTCCATTTTCTTTCAAGCACTAATGGAATCTGTCCATTTATACGAGCCCCTTCCCACTTCAGTTGGCCCACTTCAAGATTTGTACCAATATATGCCTTTATAAACTAAACATGACGAAACTATTTACTTCTATAACAATTTATTTTCTCAAAAACATTTTAGATACACTCTAGTCGTAAAAAATACATATTTGAAATCACTTAGACCTATAACTAATAGAACATCTGAACAAATAAACAATGTGCGAATAAATGCGCGAAGTTAACAAAGCAACAATTGAAAGATTACCATTGGGTAACATCACCTTTATTTTTTATTACGGCTGAAAATAACCAAGTTTTGTCAAATTTTTTTTTGTAAAACAATCCCATATTTCTTAAAGCTTTTGTCGAGCAGGAACCTTTTTCATCTCGTGCCACAAAGTTTCAATAGGTGACAGATCTGGACTGCTAGAAACCCATTTCAAAAGTGGTACATTACTTCCTTCCATCCTTTTTTGAGGTATGGCACGCTGCACCATCTTGCTGAAACACAAAATCTTTGCCGGATGTTAAACATTCTTCCCTCACTGGTAAAAGCGATTCTTCTAAAATTGCCAAATATTTGTTTGTATCCACATTTCCATCAATAAAATGAAGTTTTCCTACTCCTTTTGATGACATACTGCCCCAGACCATAATGGATGCTGGAAATTTCACTTTTCTCTTCAGACTGTCAACATGGAATGCTTCATTTTTTTTGCGATTAACTCTACTGCAACTGTCAAACTTCGAATCGGGCCTCATCACTCCATTGTATTGCACACCATTGTTGAGGTGTCCATTGTCTTATGTTCTTTAGCCCATCTAAGCCGATTTTTCTTTTGCAGTGGAGTTGATAGTGGCTTTTCTTTGGCTATAAACAAGTTGTGCAACTTTAGGGTTTTTACTTCACTTTTTTTATAAGAAAACTTACATTGCAAGTGCTAAATCCCAGTTTGTGGGCCTCTCTATGAGTTGTGGACCTCGAAATTCTCCTTCCAACAGCGTCACTCCACAGAGCACTTAATTGTAAATAATTGGCACGCCTGTTTTTCACGATTATTCTTCTTAATCCTCTTCGGTCGGCATTTGTGATATTACTTTTTTTCACATATCGTGGCTTAATATTAACTGAACCAGTTACGTTATATCTTCTAGGTTGATATGCTGTAATTGCAACATGTGTTATTTTTATGCTGCAAATTTGATTAGGAAGTGATAAAGTTGGTGTTTTCTAGGATATATTATCAAAATATTCATTGTTAATATTTTAAACCTATAACACCATGCTACATTTTTATTATTTGTGTTTGATAAGAAAAAAACTAAGATTTCAATAGTTGGGCCAACTGAAGTGAGAAGGGGCTCGTATAACACACTGACGCACAGAAAGTTCAATTTCGCTTGTTTTGCGAGGAATATTTTCTTTCAAATCAGTGATATTATGCAGGGCAGAGCGGCTGCTATGAGGATCCCAAAGAAACTTGCTAATCCTATTTTTGAACTGCCTAAGGTTAGTAGATCGGGCAAAATTCTTCTCTTGTAGATTATTCCACCATCTCGACGCCCTAGGGGCAAAGAAGCGGTCGTATCAGCTAGTTCTGGATGTACCAGCAGTTGCCGCTATTGACGAGATGTGGTCGTGTCCGATTTAGAGCCGTATCGTCAGTCGTTCCTACAATTGTAGGTCGCGTTTATGGCCTCCTTGATTTTCATAGTATTTTTTCTCCTTCAAAAAGGCTGGGATATTTCTTGATTTCTACTGTTCCGTGTCAACGCTCTCCTTATTATGTTTTCTTTTTGAATTGTAGGAAATTTCAAGCTGATAAAACAGATGATAAAAATCAAAAGCATGAACAATGTGATGAAAATAGGTATTTGTGACATAACCTCAAAATAGAGCGCCACTCTGAAGGTATGAATAAAATTAATGTTATGGATATTTTGTGTCGGAAGGAATTCAAATTGACAACTGTCAGCTCAATAAAACTAAAAATTTCTAAAAATCTCACTATGCTCAAATTTCTGCCGAACGGATTATTAGAATGACACATCCCAGTTTGGAAGGTCATTTTTAGTGTATGGAATTTTTTTTCGGAATAAGTCATATACTATGGAGCATAATGCTTTCCAGAAACAGAAGTAATGAAGAAATGAAGAAGTTTCCAAGAAATTTACATTTTTTCCTAACCTAAACTATGAGTGCGTCTCCCAACTGGACTGTTCGATGCCTCTATAGGTTATTCTCCTGAAAAAAAATTGAGCCCGCCAAGCCAGATTATGGAATTTTAGGTTTGACCCATATATAGAATCCAGTTGGTGTAGGCTTATCACTTGATAACCACTCCAAAATGCAATCAAGCTACCAACTATATGTCATATAGCTTTACTGTAATAAGTGTTATGTACTATAATGCAACATAAAAGTTACAGATTGCTACAAATGAAAAACTGAGAATCGACGTGTTCTTAAATTTAAAATGGGTGACTTCCCCCTTGTACCCCCAAACGACACCAACGCTACGGAAGACAAACGAAAACCGCAAATTGAGCTTTCCGTTTAGTTGCTAGGCGAGATCGTCAATGTATACACACATCACATTTATCAATCTTTCAGACATCATATATGCAATGTGTGTAAATATGTAGGTACGCGTGGATAGACAGACAATAAAAAGCTACTTTAATGTGTAGTCTTCTTTATGGTGACACAAACAACCCTGACCCACACGCGTGGTTACTCATAGCTAAATTCTAACGATTTCGTTCAGGAAGGAAATCGATCAAGAATGTAGCCAAAGATTACAGAAAAGCTGACACAAAAAAAAGAACTCGGTATAACCGAATCCGCATTTTTGTATATGATTGGAGGATTGTTTCACTTGAATATGAGAAGTTTTGAAGTCAGCTTTTCATCCCCACTCATATCAATTTTAGAATAATTTGGTACAGTTTAATATTTTAAAGATATTCCGCCTTAACAAATAAGAGTTGAATGAACGAATCAGACAGGGCCGAATCTTAAAAATATTTTTGTAGGGTCCATATGACGACTTTAAAACTACCCGTTCAAAAAAGTGTTGGGGAGCTCAGGATTCATGTTCAAAATGTTTAAAATTGAATAGCGGTGGGATCAACGATTCCAAAATTAAATGGCAGGGAAGGATCGTCTGCAAATTAAAAGAACATTCGATCTTTTTTCAACTCGGGGAGATGTTCAGACCCCCAGGACACCCCTCCTGGATCCGCCGCTGGAATTAAATGAAAGCTGGAAGCAATTCTGCAACCTACAGAGGCCAGCTCGTAGGCCGAAACATTTATCTCAGCTCTGCTCTATGTCTCAATCTCCGCCCTCCTCGCGAAGTTGAGTATACCTTTGAGCTCCAACTCCATATTCTGAGGATCTAAAATATTGGACCCCCACTGTGTGTGTTATGGTCAGACAACAGTACCACCAGTACCCTTTAGGTTGTCTCTTCCACGAGATAAGCGAAAAAGTCCTTACTTAGCACTACTAGCGCTAGGCCCTAACATGGGCTCCCGCGCCTGACGGAGATGCCTAGGGATACTTCTCCACTGTTGTCTAGATTTCCACCCCTCCGGTTCCGGTTAGAGTTACTAAGAAAAATAAACGTTTTTTCTATAAAAGATAAAATCAGAGACCAGAGAGACCATCTGACCCCTAGAATCCCACTCCTCTGTCGTCGGATACTACATATTGAATTTGCGGCTAAAGCAATACTTAGGAGTGATCAGTCACCCCTAGTAAGATAATTACATCCAGTTTTGATGGAAGAGCGAGCTTTGCAAAGAAGCCATTGATTTTGGTTTGTCGAAGTTCAGACCATCGATGACATAATCGAACACCAATATCAGTTCAGGGATTGCATCTACTTTTTGCCATATAGCCACCTCACTCCGTTCAAGAAACAGATAATACTCAGGTTTGAGTATTCTTCCATGTCAGCACCCGTAACTTCGGTTATCGCCGAACAGACAAAAGACATAAACGGAGTCAGCAAATATTTTCCCCAGAAGAAACAGTCTCCGAGCCCTTTCCAGTCAGTATGTACAACTGTACTTCATGGGTGAGTTTTTGTTCTCAGGAAGGAATGAAGACTGAACAGCTGTACGGTAGGAGCCCCAATGCATGAGCAAGACGTCAGGAAGAGCTCGAGGATCTAGCAGACGTAATGCAAAGAAGGAAAGTACCTAGTTTTGTTTCGTTTTGGACATGGACATTAAATCACTAAGAAGGATCTAAATATGATATTGATGCATTCCTCTTTCACTGTTACCGCTTGTCTCTTGCTACCCCCGCTCTTCAAAAAGTTTTTGGGCCAGTAACACGTTCACTAAAGTTATCTCTCGCTGATTATCGCCCTCCCCCTGAGAAAAATTATTGCGGGTGACCATGGGACCAATTTTTCGATGGGAGTTCAATTAAAGATATATTATTGCTTGTATCCTTGTTATTGATTTTATTATAATCGGGCGGAAAAGTGTATTTTATGAATGAATATTCCGGACGTTAGGTACCTCCTTTCAGACCACGGCATTGAATAAATCTATCTAATTTAGTATAAATATGCTGACCTATCGCGACTAAAGGGAATGTATTTATTTATTTGTTACTAGGTAATGGCGCAAGTATCCGCACTACCGCTGATAAAATATAGTACGGTCAATGGTTTTCTATTTTTAACTCTACCCAGCATACATACAGTTTTGTATGTATCTCTCGCGTATGCAGCGTACTAAGCTAGCTTAACACCCTACATACATACATAACTATTATTTCACCTAAATTGTGTGAATCGGTTCTTGACACATCTCTAGCAAATGTATCGATTTTTTGCCGTCCTGTACCTGACAACTAGAAACGTCAACCTTGACACTCCTGTCTAGAATTTTGACACATTTCAGCTGTTGGGGTTGTAGGATATGGGGGCCGCGCCGTAAAAAATAAATATTTCCAAAAATGGATCAAAACGGGGCCGAATCCGAAGCTCCCGCCGATGAAAAAGTATGTCGAACGAAAGTAGTCATCGTCGGTGCAGGCATGGCCGGTCTGTCAGCTGCCTACCATTTATCCATGAACAATTTTAAGGATTTTAAAGTGTTGGAGGCGCGAGGGCGTATTGGAGGACGGATTGTTCAGATACCGATGGGCAGCGAGAAGGTTGAATTAGGTGCTAACTGGATTCATGGAGTTCTAGGTACGTACCTGTGATTGATGATACATTAAAATTATCAATTTTCGTAACTTATACTGCGATAAACAAATGCTTATGAGTCTATACAGTGTCTTGCACAAGAATCTCAATCAATAGAAATGATCAGTAAAATTAAGATATATTAAAATTGCATGTGTCTGTATTTTTGTATCCTTATGTAATCCAGGTATTATCAGCTAGGCAGTGCCTTTCAGAGAAATGCTGTGTCATCTACATGGGCATTCTTTTTACTAATTGAGCAGCAATTTAGGCATACTTATTATCAGTGTACAAAATGATTCACAGTGGTATAATACCAAAAAACGAAACACTAGAGTTCATACATAGAGTCAAATATTATGGATTATTTTCAAAAAGTGATTGAGAACAATTATGTATTATTACACAATTCATGTGTAGCAGTAGCATTAGGGGTTGGCTTGCACTGTGTGCAATTTCCACAGGGAAGTTCAGCCCCACAAGTGATACAGTTGAGACAATATGTTTACTTATTACAAAAAACATGAACTGATTTGTACTTTATTCAGATTAGTAGAATAATAATAATAAATGACTTTCATTTAGGGAGAAATTTAGCTACAAGCTATAGGTACCACCACTTACCTTTGAAAAACTAGCACTAGGATATTGAAAAGAATTTAAAAAAAATTATTCCAAAGCTTAAATGATTATTACAAATTGAATACAGCATAGACATGTGTAAGTCAAATCTGACTTGAAATAAAATAAAAAAACAGCAGAGACTAACATCAAACAACAAAATAAAAGTTTTAAAATGTATAGTGGACAAATTAATCCACTCTATAGAAGTGACCAGATTTTAAAACACTTTTCACATTTTGTTTATATTTGTTGACATGCATGTCTGATGCTTTTTGGAAGGTAATTTAATTGAAAATCAATCTACAACATGAATTTTGAATTTTTTGTAAATGAATCTAGAAATGGATAGTACACTAAGTTGCAGTAGGGGATTTTTGACATTCTTAAAGATTCTCATATAATTTGTTTAGCTTTAAAATCAAGTATTTCTTCATTCAAGTACTACATATCTTAGTTACATCATTCACATGAGAAATAAATTTGAGAATTTCATATATAAACAAACCTTAAGTTTTTAACTGACTCTAAATGTACCAGTTTCTAAACATTTTCTGTCACTTTGGCAACATTGTCTTGGTAGATGCCAAGCCATCTACAGGGTGACTTTGAAGTTGAGTCATTAATTTTCAGATAATGATTGTAGAAGGAAGATAAACCAAAATATGTGTGTAAAAATAAAAAAAAAATAAAAAAAAATGTTACCTTGTTTTATAAAGTATCCTCCCGACAAGTATTTCAGTGCGGACCTGTATTTGATCGTGCGGTCTTGGAGCACCGGCATGCCCTCCCCTGTGAGGTCTTAAGTCACCTGATTCACGAGCCCTTTGTACTACATTAACAAAGGCACGAGGGGTTGGTTGCACTCGATTGGGAAACCGATCCGCATAAATTCGTGATGCCGCGTAAATAAGAATCATGTCCACAAGTTCAGCATTTTCGTAAACATATGCCATTTTTGATTTCGTTTGAGCCACGCAACAGACACCACTATTCACTCACGCGTTACCGACTGACACTGACTGTATACAACTGAATAAAATAATTGTAAAAACACCGTTCCAAATTCTTTCGCTTTTTTGTTTCCGATGCGATGAACCGATAAGGCGGATTATATCCGTTGTTGCCGAACACGAGCACATAATATTATTATTGAGACAGGGCGGTACTCAAACTTCCAAAGGGCTATAACTTTGTTACTTTAATTTTACCAGAAAAATGGTAAAGGAAAAATACATTTATTTTGATCAGATCTACTCACTGTTAAAATAAATGACTCAACTTCGAAGTGCCAATAGCCAAACCAAGGGCGCGTCCTTGAAAAGAAATATATGGCTTTGCACAAAATGAAAATACTCATTTTTAGTTGTCTGTGGCTACAAACGAAATTTTCAAGTACTCAGTTTGGCAGTGCTGAATACGAATATGACGCTTCAAATTGCCGTGAAGTAATACGGGAGCATATTTGAGGTGAGCTTGCTCGAGTCCCGCGGATAGCTCTATCGTCAACTTGACACTGGATTTAGAATTTACCTAGGAGACAAATTCTCGTTTCGATTACAGATACGGAAATGTTTTTGAAGATTTTATCATGAGAAAGCTGAATATATCATAGGACGTTACAGAACAAAACTTATACTTATACTTAACTTGATATACTCAGGTAACTTAAGATGCTGAATACAAATATTATCTGAAAATCTTGAAATGACAAAATTTGAAGCAGAAAATCAGTCATCTGGGAAACCCCAACGTTGTTATCATTTAACTACTATCGGATTCTGAATCTACGCACTCGATTTATCCAGAAAATGAGGTTTCGTTTACAACACAGATATGCAAGATTTTATCAAAATTTCATTATGAGAACCCTCAAAAGATTATAGAACAAACTAATGAAGCTTGACATACTTAGGTAATTTAGGGCGCTGGATGCAAATATGACAGTAAATAAATCTTGAACTGTCATGGGAGCAAATTCAGAGTAGAAGATGCATCGCAGAGCACCCCGGCACGGGTATCACGTATCTTGAAAAGTGACATTATGCCAATTTTTTTTGACATTATTCTGTTTTTTTTTTGACATTATGTAGGTTTTTTATAAGATATTAACTTAGCACTTAATTGTACGTGTTGCCTAAACGTCATGAGGCTTGTTATTAATCTTTGACTCTGATGTGATGTAAAATCTGCTTCTGAGATGGCATTACTGGAGGTCTAAGCTGTAAGTTGTATGTGTTGTCGATAATTACATTGGGTTCTTGTCTCAAATACACTTAATTAGTTGCGCATCCACTTTTTCTTATCCATTCTGGAAATTACATATACAAATTTGCTGAATTTCAAAAATGAGAGTGATAAGAAATAATTATATTCATTGTACACTGTCGAATTACAAGCCATATACATGCTAACAGTAATTACACACAACGCGGGCGCGGTGATGATTTCCCGAAATTCTCCTCAGTTTTTCGTAATTTATAACTTTGAACATAATCTCTCTTCAGAAAGCACAACATATAAATAACCCGTCATATTCAGAATATTCAGTAATGATTTTCTCACACAGCAAATATCACTGATTTTATACACATGCAGACCAATACACATAATCATCCAGATGCGATCTTGCTATTCGACCAACTTTCTTATCAGAGATAAAAACTACAGACACTGATCACTCAGCCTCACAAAACTATGCAACCAATAATGCGTGTAGTTTAGTTGAGTGATTCCTCCATAGATGGACGTTCACAACGATTCTAGTGAGCAAACGTGGAATGACTATTTGCGCCCTAAAAAGTACCTAGTCTGCAACTTGGCATCTTATAGGGTTTTTTTGACGTTTTGTAGGTTTTTTACATGATACCCGTGCCGGTTCTATGTTCAATTTGACGTAGATCCAGAATTCCAAAAATAGGTATTATAATATAATTTATCGTGGAAAATTTGTACACTCAGGTAATTTGAGACACGGAATTCAAATATGGCCATAAAAAAAGTTCTAAAGCATGGTGCCTTTATGAAAGAAAATGAGGTGTCCTTTTCCATCAAAATTCTGTCTCACGCTAATTTTGTTGCGTTGTATTTATTCATGGTATTATAACTACTGCTGTTAGTACCAAGAAAGAAATATCCATTGTTTTCTTATACATATTCAGATACAGTATGTCAACTGTTAAAGAACCTATATAACATTTAACAGGTAATCCTGTGTATGAACTAGCAATGCAACATGGACTAGTGGATATAATGGCTTACCCAAAACCACACAAGGTCATCGCAGCAACTGAACAAGGCAAACAAGTTCCATTCCAAACCCTGAATGAAATCTACGAAGCTTACCTGTGTTTCCTGAGACGATGCGAAGAATATTTCATTTCACAATACTCACCACCAGATGGCATTGACAGCGTTGGTGAGCACATCAAACTTGAGATGACCCTATATTTACACAAAATAGCCAACCCTGCGGAAAGACATTTACGAGAACTGCTTTTTGACTGTCTGCTGAAAAGAGAAACCTGCATTTCTGGTTGTGATGACATGAATGAAATTGACCTTCTGGAGTTAGGTAGCTATACTGAGCTCCAAGGAGGAAACATTGTACTGCCTAAGGGATACAGTTCAATTTTGGAACCACTCAAAAAAGCCATTCCCGAGGAAAATCTGTTGGTGAGGAGAGCGGTGAAGACTATTAAGTGGAATTCTGGGAAAAAGGTGAGTTTGTAGCAAGGTCCCAGGCTTGGTCTCTTGGACAAGATCCAAACTCTATTGATTGATATCTGATTATGTAAAAAATCGCACTTTACTATGTCTTATTTTGAAAGGAGATATTATGTTGCAGAATACATAAAGTCTTGGGGAAATTGGCGAGACTGTCAGATATTCGTGAACGTGACTGGTAGAAAGCGGGTTTCATCATTGCTCCTGTATGAGATATAGATGGTGTGGCAAATAAGTTCCGGGAATTTCCGAATAAAAAAACAAGCAAACAGATTTCGCGAAGGATTGTATCAATGACCTCCAGAATAGTATCGTTTTCTATTCGGATCATGGTGGACCTTCTTTGAGCTCCTTTACGCCGTTACGAAGAAATTCCTTGACCTTGAGATGAGATTCCATCTAAGGGGACAAATAGTGCCAATGAGGGAACTATTGGATGGGTGCGCTGATATTGGAAATCACGTTTTCTCCAAAAACTTTTGCACAATGAACGAGGATCGGGTTTGAACTTTTGGCACCATCTTTGCAAAAATCTTTCGCATGTTCAACTTGTCGTGTAACATGTCGCGAACTGTTTCTTTGCTCATGTTTAGCTCGCAACACCAGTCATGAATGTAGTAGTCGAAAAATTAGCTTTAGAATGGTCGATCAGACCAATCATTTGTGTAGTTTTGAAAATTGGTAGAGCTATACCTTGAGGTGTCTAGATCAATATACTAAAAGTCATCGACGGAGCGAAATGATTCGGCGGTGTGAGAATGGGGAAATTACCTTATTTGCGGTTTTTGATCTCTAATTTAACAAATTTCTATTTCAGCCTTGGATACACATATTTAGACGTATTGGGACAGATGTTGACGAATGACACATTTTTGCTAGTTCCAGACTTGTAAATTCCAGGAACTTAATCGCCACACCTCGTGTGATTCCTGCTGTATACAACTAATTCTGTTTTCGTACCGAAAAAATCCGTTAACTTAAATAGCTTTAACATCAAAATTTGTTCAGTTGGTCACTGATTCTTCTTTATTAAGTCCACTTGGTTTTATTCGCTCTTTTGAATTATTTTTTTTCATTTTCCAGTCAAGTCGAGCGAATACGAGTAGCGAAAAAGAATCAGCTGACAGTGATTCGGGTGACTCTGATAGAACTGTCGTCGACTGTACAACCAGTCGCGAGTCAAGTTGTGAAAAGACGTTAGATAAGCATGACGTAGAAGTGATATGTGAGAATGGCGAGAGGTATTTAGCTGACCATGTGATATGTACATTACCTTTAGGAGTTTTGAAGCTTAGTGCAAAAGACATGTTTAAACCTTCTTTACCTGTATATAAGTTGGAGGCCATTGATAGGTAAGTTTCCTTTACACCCTAACCGAATCCAAAATAGCATGACACTAAGACTCTGTAGTAAAGGTAAAGAGAAGACTGTGATACAAGGCGAATAAATTATATGGAGATAAGAGGTGTAACCAAAAACATGGCGTCCACAAAACAGCTGATGGCGTCTGAACACGTGCTGTTTTTATTTGGCCAGAGGTAAATGCTGTGATGCCAGATAGATAATCCTTTTTATTTACAATATTCACAATATTAGGGATTTTTGAATTGATCTTTTTTGTCGGCGATATCACAAGCGAAAGATGCCATACTGACAATGTTTCTTACACTCCCTCCCAACTTTCGAGTATCACGTGGGTAGTACAGGCTGTGTTTACATCTATACTATCCTGGTTTTGGATACAGTTTACGTGTTACCAACTCTCGTTTAGGATTCGAGTCTATTGTTGAGGATTAATCGATTCTTGTGAAGCAGATTTCGGATAAACATATTCTCTTTATGTAGTTTCCAAAATATATTGAATGAAGAATGCTATTTCAGGTTACTATTTGGAACTGTAGATAAAATCTTACTTGAATATGAAAGACCTTTTCTCAACCCGAGTATAACAGAAGTATTATTTTTATGGGAAAACGATTTTGACAAGAATGACATTAGCAAGAACTGGTACAAAAAGATATATTCATTCTCGAAAGTTACCGATACAATAGTTTTGGGTTGGATATCGGGTAAAGAAGCGGAATATATGGAAACATTGCCAAATGATGTTATTATGGACACGTGTACAATGATTTTGAGGAAGTTCTTGAACGACCCCTTCATTCCAAAGCCAAAGAACTGTGTTTGGTAAGTCTCACAATGGTTTGACGCACTTATATACTATAACCTTTTAGTCGAATAATATGGCGGTCTCAAAACATCAAAACCAGCTTATAAAAGTATGTTTGATTGATCAAATTGAGCGATAAATTAACAAATTCATTCGCTAAGTACTAATATACAAATTAGAAAAAAGCGTATTTTTGATGTTTTTCAACATTGGTCCCACTTTGCAGCACTAGCTGGCACAGTCAGCCTTTCACAAGAGGTTCTTATACAGCCATAGCAGTAGGAGCGTCACAATTAGATATAGAATATCTAGCACAACCAATTTACAAAGACGAAAAAGAAATCAAGGTAAGTTGTTCTTTATTTGTATTTTATGTACAGAATCGACAGAAAGTCATAACGGTCCCGTATTTAATGTGTACGAGTGAGATAGAGAGAAAAACACGTATGTCAGAGCGAGAGTGTGATTGAAGTTTGACTTACATCAAAGACGACCACCGACGATATATTGGGAATAAACACTGCCGTCCATTCATGGTTATATAGTTTATTCACTGAAACAAAGCAGTAACGTCATATTTAGTAAATTTGACTGCCAACCTTACTGCAAAATAGATCCTAAATTGGTATGTATTGTTTGAATTCCCCGGGTACAGTTTTCTGTGTTGTGACATTGTCGCAAAGCTTGTCAGGTAATTACGCCAACGGCTGTTGTTTATTTTGGCTTATTTTCGTTCTTTTGCATCAATATTTGCATTATTTTATAAAAACCAACTGTTGTTTTTCAAAACTTTGAGATGCCTTTTAAGCATTTTGCTAAAATGCCGAAACCTCTGGGTCGACAAGCAAAATAATTCGACATTTCTTTGACGAAATATTTTGAGACCGAACGAGATCATAGAGCTCCATTATTGCCTTTTCGGTCCGTAAGAGAGATGTTAGGTAGTAAATAGAATTTATACTAGCTCGAATGTTAACAAACCATGGTTTTGTAGCTATGATAACTTTCAATTCTTTAAAGTTTTCCGCATGTCAAAGAAAACATTTATTGATTTAGCAGAAATGATGAAAAAAGATATTAGCAAAACCGTATACAGGTGGACATCATCCAGTGAGTTAAATGGCCATATTTTAATATTCTTGTGGTATATGGCTACACAGGATACTTTGTTAAACATAGGAACTAGATTGAAAGTGTTCCCAACATCAGTAACGAGTATAACTAATAAGGTGCTCCACTTTATGCTAACACTGAAGTCAGCCTGTATCAAGTTTCCCAAAAATGAAGCTGAAGTACAATAACAATATCCAATACCCGGCAAAATTCTAACTTGTCACATTTCAAATAATAACCAGAAATATAAAACTACTCCTGAGTTGGGTAAATACCACAATTTTGCGGTGATAACTGTGACATATAACAGCTGATTCATGACGACACGGATCTTATAACCAAACTGATAACCACACTCGCTTGAACGGATCGATAAATACCATTTTCATTTGGTTATAAGCTTGAATTTGATTTTCGTATTTCACGAGTATCCATCACGTCTACTGAGGTGAATCTGCAAGTGACATCTTGGTACTAATCTGTAACATTGGCAATAAAGAATTATGTGAGATCTGTCGATTTGGAGAATCTTGTAATTTCACTAAATAATCAGCCGCTATTCTACCGTAATGGATACTCGAATGCTTCTTTCAGTAGCTGGTATAACCGATATTGTCAGGTGTCTGTTGTACTCGCGTAGATAAAAGTTAATTCTTCTTTTCAGCCTGTAATGTTATTTGCTGGCGAACACACACACAGCAACTTTTACTCAACAGTGCATGGTGCGTACTTGAGCGGTCGTACTTCCGCGCAGATCGTCATGACAGCTGAGGAACCGAAAGAAATCGTAGTTGACTGTGAGGACGCGACAGACCTCAGTTCGTGGGTGCAGGGCATTTGTCTAGAATAGGTTTTTATTCAACAGTTTGTAAAAAGGCTTATTTAAAAGTATGTGTCCACATGTCCGCATCGCACCAACCATTTTAAGTATTTGCGTACCTGGCAGAATAAAAATGAACTCACACAGTCGATATAGTAGATGGTGATGATAAGAAAATTTGCTGCCCTCCGTTCTGCAAGCACGTAAACTTTCACTAAAACCTGTTCCTTGTCCCTTAGAAAAATTCCTGCGGGCGCCCATTGACACACTTTTATTAAATAACAATTTGATGCAGACCTGTGAACGCATACCTCAATTGGATGGTCCTATCTGATCATCAATCTGTTAATTGATTTATGAATTGTCAAATAACAAGGTACTGGTACCACAGAGAAACTTCCAATAATGGAGCAGAACTATGTTTTTTAGAACGAGAAATTTATAAATATATCCACAAAATACAAACTGTTGGGGTTGTCCTTTAATAGTAATTTGCTTAAATATTCTTAACAAACACGGTTTTTACAGAAGTATTTAACGCATGGTATACCTATTGGTGAACAAAAAGAACAATAGAAGAGTAATGTAAATTGTTTATAACTTAAAAATAAATTTTATTTTTTGGGTGGTTCTATTTATGTGCAAGATTAAAAGTAGTTAGATCAGAGACAATCACAGGATAGGCTCCAGAAGTTTGTGCCTGTGAAATATTTTTTACAATGATTTGACATCAAAGATCTAACTTGTAAAAAGAATTTTGGTAACTTATTGCATAAAAAAAAACCTCATCAGTTGGTGGAGTATAAAAATTGAATTATTCTTTTTTCAATTATTTATAAGCTGTATTAGTATTTGTAGTGCAAATTTTCACTGTTGATATTTTGAATATGTTTTAAAGAAGCAGATTTCATTGAAAATTTGTCACAAACATTGATTTTTTTGTTAATCAGCACTGCTCAAATGCAAACAATCCTTGTTGTATTATAACACCATTCACAAATGAAAAGGAGTCGCGTATTTTTAAGTTTAAACTTGACTGCTGAAATGTTTTATTAAATTCATTTATATTCTGTATTAAAACTCGAAAATCAGTGCAAAAGTCTACAGACATATCTAATAATTCATTTCAAAAGTGTTCACTACTGGATATAGTAGAACATTTCATTAGTCTAAAGCAGTATTTTGGTTACTGTATATAGTATCACAACCTACAGTTTCTTATGCTTAAGAAGTATTTGTTACCTTTATATTGTTAATTTTTGTAAGTAAAATGCTTATGCTAGTCATTTTGGAGTATATTGTTTTAATAAACAAACAAAACTAAAACTTTTTATTTATTCCATACCAGGTACTCTATACAAAAAATATCCATCATGATCATAGTAACAATCATTTAATTTATATATACAGTGTTTTTTTACTTTGTCCTTAGGTATCACTATTCTCTCAGGGTATATCAAATGGCTATAATCACGCTCTGACTTTTTCACTAGACTTCCACCAGAAGACTTATATTTATTCTTTGATATTGCAACAACGTCTTCTGGTCGCAATACTTGTGTAACAATCTCTTGAGCAGAACTATGTGTTTCCAAACTCTTCAAAATTAGTTTTTCATCTTCATCTACTTTTTTTCCCCTATTGGCTTTATGCTCAATATTTCTCTGTAGCTCTTTGAAGGTGACTAATGAATTTTTATTTGTAACTTTTCCTATGATCCCAGAGTCTGGATTGTCAGGATCAGGTTTGATGTTAAGTTGATCCATATCCACATTTATGCTCTCTTCAATTTTCTTGTTTTTCTGTTTTAATGCCTCATAACTTGTTATAATATCTGAAAACTCATTACTTGCTAACGTTTTCTTTTCAATAAGAACTTCCTTTATATTTTGTTGTGACAAAGTGGATGGGTTGAAATTCAAAGATCTATTAGAAAATTTGTTTAAATGTTCTGTCAATTCCCCAGGTAAATATTTCATTTGTCCTTTTTTGAACAGTTCCCAATTGTGTTGGACAGACTCGTCATGATTTTGTATTTTTGTCTGTACCTTTGTATATTTGGCCCTTAGAACTTTCTGAAAATAAATATTGTGAAAACTGTAATATTTTACAATATATAATTTTAACTTTAGTCTAATCATATTAGCAAATTTCCCCAAAATAATTGTGAAGTCTGGTTTGATTGGTGCAAGTTGTTCAAGGGGGTATTTAAAACATGGACGCACAAAATGGGTACAACCAAGTTTTGTGGGAGAACTTTTTATTTGACAACAAAGAATGAGAAAACGTCTTTTTGGGATACAATCGAAAGTGTTGACAGGAACGAAAAAGCTTTTCATAAAAGATTTTTAGGTATTTATGAGACCTTCAAAATGAGACCACACGTAAAACGATCAGATTAATAGCAAAAATGTTATGGCTGAGAAACGAGGCAAAATGCAGGTTTTGGCACTTGTTGGTAATGCGACGATAATTTCACGCAACTACTTGAAATTCTTCAAATACATAGGATTCATACTTCTAAATAGCAACAACAAAATTGGAGTATATTGGTCGAGTACGAAATGTTTGAATTTGTTTAGAAAAAAAAACGTAAGCCATCCTTTTTTGCAAAAAAATAAAATTTATTTTCCGGAGTGATTTGCGATTGATATCGGCAAGGTAAACTAGTGTATTTTGCTATAAAATGCCATATGAACTAACCCTGCATATTGCTCAATAAACTAGTGGTGATGGCTGGAAAACTGGTATTTTGGGATAAGCAATTATAGTAGTAGTTCTAAAAACTACTTTACCAGTCTACTCCAATTTAGTTGTGGTTATTTAGAGGTATGAATTTGAAGAATTTCAAGCATCACCAATAAGTGACTTATTTATATGACAGAAAACAGTACATAAAGCTTGGAGACATTGATAGTGAATGGATATCTAGCACCTACGGAGGACCACAGGGGTCAGTTCTTGGACGCTAGAAAAAGTGTCATATTTGGGATTACTAATAGATGAAAATTTAAATTGGTCACTACACTTAAATGGAATTTCTGATTAAATAGTTTCAATGCTATCTGCCTTATATAAGAGTAGAGATTATTTGTCCAACAAAAGCAAATTTCAAATTTATAATGCCTCCTCTCTCACACATTTTAGGTACCTCTTGCCAGTATGGGGTATGTGCCGTGAAGTTAATTTTAATAACCTAAAGTTTTGCAAAATATAATTCTGAAAATTCTGATTGGCTTACAAGTTCTAATACACTTTATTCAAATTTAAACAAATTAAGAGTGTTATTAGAGGTGGAACCATGTAAACTTGTTTATAAAATTATAAATAATCTACAAAAAACTAACATAAATATTAGGTTCTACCATAACGTGCATTATCACCAGACAAGATCACAAAATAATGTTTATCAAATTTCCACAAGAACTAATATAGGTTTAAAAAATTATCAGACTCAATTAAAAAATTTTATAATTTACCTCATTGTATAAAAGATTCAAATAACTATATTAGTTTTGTAAGAGAAATGTTAATGAATTTATTTGTTGAAATTATGAGCAACATTGCAGTGTACCTATAGTACATAGATATTGATTATTGTTTTGTTATTCTCGGGGACAGTGTTTGCAAGCATTGATTGGGGAATTATGGTTAAAACTGGTTATACATTTTGTATTATTGTGTTTTGAAACATTATTTAAAAAAAAGTGCCAAAACCTGCAGTTTGCCTTGGTTTTCAACCATAACTTTTTTGCTATTAGTTGGATCTTTTTACGTGTGGTCCCATTTTGTAGGTCTCATAAATACCTAAAAATCTTGTATAGAGTTTTTTGGTTCCTGCCAACACTTTCAATCCCAAAAAATGCCTTTTCTCATTATTTGTTGTTGAATAAAAAGTTTTCCCACAAAAATTGGTGCACCCATTTTATGCATGCATGTTTTAAATACCCCCTTGAACAACTTGCAGCAATAAAACCAGACCTTACAATTATTTCACAAACCAGGGCTATGTTCGTCTAGTATGACTAGACTACTGGTACAAGTTGGAAATATATAATTCAAAGATGCTGTTATAGCTCAACTTTTCAATGTTGATATTATATAAAATCAATACTTCCATTATTTATTATATTAGATTAACACATTGACTGCCACAGCAATATGAAGGATTTATGTACCAGAAGTCAACTATGGTGGATATCAATAGTCAAATGCTTAAAGGATTTTTTTTCTTTTGAAAAAAATGGTACAAATAATCTTCTAGTTGGCTTATGAAACTGAACTCTTCAACATATTCTAACATGGTGCTTGAATCAGAGTCAGATATGTGGTATGTTTCAATTTTCTGTTTGTTTAAATGACACCTTCCTGAGATATTTACACTTACTCTTCAGCCTTTATTGTTAAAATCAATTTGTGAAGAAGCATCAAGATATCTCAAAGTTGACAGCCCAGGTAGGATAATAACCTACAAGGTATCTAGTGGTTGGCAGTCAATGTGCTAAGCATGGTAGGTACAAGTAGCAAACAATTCATACCTTAATAGTTTCAGGCAATGCAGGAAAGCTTTCTGCAAGCTTTTCAACTGTCCATTCTTCTGGATCAGAACTGTGTAAGTACTTTATCTGCTCTTTATCAGCCCATGTCAAGAAATTTGGAAAGACCTGCTTGAAATATTTGCGCTTCAGAATATTGTATTCTAATTTTTCCATTTCCAGCTCCATATCCCTTTCAAACTGCTTGTGAGATTTATGAACATTCATAAAATCTGATTCAAGAGACTCAAAGTCTTCTTCATTCGCTTCAGGTGAATCCAGGACCTTTTTTCTTTTCTGTATACCAGGATCCAATTTCAATTTTCTGCTGTAATTTCGGAGTAACGGTTTCATAGTTTGAATTGTTGAAACTGATCTAACTGTGAACATTCTGCTGCACTTGTTACTAGACTGATATTAATACGGAATAATTCTAAAAGAGAATATTTATTTACTGGGTGGCTGGGCCACAAAAATCTCCAAATGTCAGGTTATGTGACTTACATAACCTATTTCACCAGTATCCATCACGGTAGAATGACAGCTGATTATCTAGTAATTTTTCAAAACTCCCCATATCGGCACAGGACAATTCTGACGGATTCGTCAACGCCAGGTAGACAGAGCCGAATTTTGTATTGGTTTTTTTGTACGCCACAGATTGATTTTGTACTTGCTAAAAGCTCTTTTATTTAGAAAAGTCTATTTGCATAAAACAAAACGCCACAAACATGTTTTACTAGATTCATACTCGATCCATTATTGCCAACATTGCAGACTAACACAAAAATGTCACTTGCTGATCAGCTGTTAACCTCAGTAGACGTCAAAGCGTGATAAATAATTCTGAAATAGGGTAAAAATGTGATCATGCCATTGGCATAAGTGGATTATGTACAGCCACAGAACACTGATGATCATGTCAAAAGCTTGACTTAGTTCGATTAACTAATGAAGAAAGGAAAAACTTATCATTTGCTCGTCAAGTCACGCCTCGTCCTCACTTATCTAATTTGAAATGTTCTTAAAAAAGAAGCTCTATTTTTTCAAAGGTATTCAACAGAAAAAAATAACTACAATGTGACTTCAATATGGATATGTCTTCATTTGTTTATGAATAAACTAAATAAAAAATACATCAACAAGTCAAATCACAAGTAACAGAAGTCTTGTTCTTGCAGGTGAGGGGCAACACCACATCTAACTGTAAACGGTATTTCACACTACTAATGCCAAGCTCAATTCAACAGCTGCACACTTCTATTTAATCCCATTTTGACTTCTTCTTCATAAACTCCTCAGTACCATCAGGTTTAACAGCAGCATAATAGCCTAGTTCTTCATATTTACTTCGCATGTAGGCAATGTATCCTGCACATCCCGCGATTGCTATCAATCCTAATCCCATTATCACAGCATTCTGCAAGAGAAAATGATGTTTTATTTTTTGTTATTGGACTGAATTATGAAAACACTTACTGGCTTAGAGTATAGTTCAAAGTTTATAGTTCTAAACAAAGTTGTAGTTCTTATAGATCTCAAACCATCTCCAGGAGCAGACGGCTTTGTTTCTTTTTCTTGCATATTTACTAACACCAATTATTACATAACCTAAAAATTTTGAAATATGAAAATGAATATGACATTTCGAATCTAGGTTTTGTGGTGTAGTTTTGTGTTTTATGATTGTTTCGATTTCTGAATTATTGTTCTGTGGCATTTATTTATAGTAAAATGGCCGACGAACTGGTTTCCCAAGTTTCTCTAGATTTTTCAAAAATGAAGGTACGTGTGTATTAATTTAAAATAGAAGCCTCATTTTTCAACCAGCTCTTTCGCCTGGGTTCTGGAAATCTGAGAAGTGTTCTCTCTTATTTATTGATTATTTAGAGGTTAGGTGATACATTTTGTTTTCAGGTTCCCGATTTAAAAAAAGAACTGAAAATGCGTGGTCTCAGCACATCGGGCAACAAAACGGAGCTTATTGAAAGACTTCAACGAGCGCTGAAGTCGTCCGATAACGGTGGTACTGAGTGTGTGGATGATCTCGAAGAAGATCTTTTAAATGTAAGGTTTAGGATGGTAAACCTGATGATCAATAGTATTCATTTCATTTTTGTAGGATGATGACGATGATCACATTGATGCTAACGAGTCTGTTCTGGAAAATGTGTTGGAGGACTCGATAACATCACAGAAAAGGAAACTTGAGGAAGTTAAAATGAAGCCAGAAAGTAAATCGGATGCACCTCCTCCACCAAAAAAAGTTATTCTCAACCGAAATAACAGTTGTAGTTTAGAGACAACAAAGCCAGTTGCTGTTAACAAAGTACCAGAGCAAAAAGTAGAAAGTAAGAATGGCGGCACCAAGCCAGAAGATAGTAACGATGACAAAAGTGCAAAAACTGTTATAAAACTATCACAATTGACTGCTAAGGAGGTACGATAATTTACACTAGAGCACACAAATGGGTAGAAGGGTAGTTATTCCACTCTAGAAGTCTTGTCAAACAAATATCAGTTCAAAAAATTAGGTCTGCATATATTTTTAAATAATGATGCTTATTTTGTTTTATAACAGAAAAAATTTTTAAATTTATATTTATGTTCAAATGTCATTTGACTTCAATTTTTTTTGTGAGTAAATGCAAGGCAATGATAGGTGACAAGAACATAATTCTGTAGATATTTAAAATCAGCTATGTATTTACCTTATATGAACTGTTTCCTCAAATTATAGGAAAATAGCTATATAAATTCTATTATTGGTTATAGAGACTTGAAATGAGAACAAAGAAATTTGGGGTATTAGCAGTTACCCCTGATATAAAGAAAGCAGTTAGAGCAGAAAGATTCGGATTAAGTGATAATTCTGCAAGCAGTATTACAACTGGCAATACAGTAAGTATTTTTTAGAATAGATCGTCATGTAAGAAAATAAACAATAGTTTTAATTATGGTATTATCAAAATGCCATTGCTATTTCTTATAAGGATTGAAAACTACGGTGTTGCTATTTTATTTCCATTAACCAAAAATATAGAAACATTGCATAAGTATTGGGTTTTCCAATAGGGACTTGACAACTTTTAACTTTAACTGTGTACTCAACTTTAAATCGATTACTGAACTGTCAATGTCAAAACATACAGTAAAGAAAACATTTTCATCATGGTGGGGTACATGAACAAACATCACTTACAAATAATTAATATTCACTACCGAAATTCAGAGTCTGTAACTGCAACTTTAAGAGTGTTAACGCCAATTTTAGGTTGTAATTCTCGTCCCAGTAGACAAGCAATTCATAGTCTATTAAAAGTATTTATTTGCTGCTGGATGTTCCCGTGTCAGTGAGACAATAGATTGGTTGAAGTGCTGAGAATATTTTGCGGGCGTTCAAGCTTTCGTCGCAAACGAACATAACACAGCATTCTCAAGAATTGGGCATCGCTCAGACCACACTATGGCGAATTTTGCTAAGAGATCTTTGCCTGCATTCTTATAAGATCAAGTTGACACAAGAACTAAAATCGTTCGATCACATGAACCGACGTACGTTCTCGAATTGGGCTCTAGAAATGTTGCAAGTAAATGACCAATTTCATCGCAAAATCATCTTCAGCGATGAGCCTCATTTTTTTGCTAAATGGTGCTTCCTCAACAAACAGATTATGCGTTATTGGTTCTGTGAAAACCCTGATGTGCTTCAAGAAACACTACTTCATCCACAAAAAATAACTGCATGGTGTGGTTTTCATGTAGTGTCATTGGACCGTTTTTTTTTTTCGTGGATGAAAACGACCGTCACGTTACAGTTAACCGAGATCGCTACAGAGACATGTTGCAACGTTATTTTTTTGGTCAATTGCATGGGCTAGACATTAATGATATGTGGTTTCAACAAGACAGTGAACCTGTTATATCAAGAAATAGTCCTGTCGAATGGCCGCCTAGATCGTGTGATTTAACACCTCTAGACTTTTTTTTGTGAGGCTACATTAAATTTTTGGTCTATGCCAACAAGCCGGCGTCGTTAGAGGAGCTCAGAGCCAATATTGAAAGAGAGATAGCGGCCTTTTCTGTCGTAATATGTGGCCGAATAATTGAAAATTGGGTTCAACGAATCGATCGCTGCGAACGTGCCCGTGGTGGACATATGAACGAAGTCCAATTCCGTACATAAATGTTTTGAGTATACTTCATTCCATTAATAAAATTTTCGAGATATCTCAAATGTTTTGCGTTTTATTTAAAAAGAAAGTTGTCAAGACCTTATTTTTTTTATACTTCAACCACCACGAAGGCCTAAGGCCTAAACACCTATGGGGTACCATGGGGCTATAGGGGGATACAGGGGAAAGGGGGGCCGCCACACCGACTCTGGCGAGGGAACACGTGTGCATGCAACATGCACACATTCTGGCCCCGCCTACGAAATCCGCCGGGTGGTACCTCTGTGTTCGACAGTCAAAGACCGTCTACCACCTACAGACACTCACAACATCCATAGCCAAGGGAAAAATTTCTCTTGGGACTGGATTCGAACCCCCCCAGCGCGCGGCGGTTGATCAGGACACCGAAGAGTCTACTACTGCGCCACCGCAGCTGCCTTAATGGAAAACCTTTTAGTTTCGTCACCTTTATGGCTATTATTTTCTGTCAGCATAGGGTGGATGAGGCAATTTATTTTGAAATGTATATACTCTTTTTCAGTTCTTTACGAACAAGATAATCAAACCATTTAATTTTCTTTAGGCTCCAAGTGTTGATGTTTTACAAAAAAGAGCTGCTAGATTTGGTGTATCAGTATCGAGTGCTTTGTCAAGTTTAGAGAATCAAGACAAACTAGAGAAAAGAAAAGCAAGGTTTGGAACTGCTTCTGTTACAAATGGTACTACTACAGTGACTGCATCAGATAAGGCAAAAGAAAGAATAGAAAGATTCAAGCAACCAGTATCATAATTTCTTGGTGTATAAAAAGTGAGATAGGTTTGTAAGACTGTTATGTTTTTCTATCACTAAATCATTATTGTAAGAATCACAACTTGTGATCATCACAAGCCAGTTATTTTTTTTTTTGTAAATTTGTTTTGTACTTTCATTGTCTCTAAATCTGTGTATTCTAAACAACGTACATTGATAACTTAATTTTTTTTATAAATATCTATATTAGATGCCAGCAACTATATCTGTTAATTAGAAGTTTTTACTTTGTGAGTCACCACACTCCAGGGGTTATGTTTTTTGTATTTAATAATTTTCATAGTTAAAAATAACTACAGTCCTAATTATAATGGTAATCAACTTTTCTAGTAGAGCATGTACAATAAATGATGTTTATGGTTGATGAAAATAATGATAAAACAAATGTGTAAAAATATGAACTTTCATAAAATAATTCAGTCTTAAAATTGTATGGAACTGATGTTTGTATAGAAAACTGTACAAATGAATAGGGTATAAAATGTGTTAAGTGTAGAATGTTTATTTTTTACATTTTATAGAAATTACGATTTTGATTCTTCTTTTTTATCAGATGTATTTATTTGCAGTAGAAATGAATTTTTCACAATAATGCGTTTTAGTTTCCTGTAGACCTTTATGAAGACTGCTTTGAACTAGGGTAAGAAACCAAAATATTGGATGGATGCTGTTAGCCATTAAGCCTCAAAAACAAGTCTTAATGCAGCAATTATCTGCAGAACCCTTTTTTGCAGGTTCAAGAAGATATTTTCGACAGATGACAAATGTTGTTTTCTAGTTTAAAAGCATTACAAAATTGAAATATGTCTATAGCCCATTCATTAGAAAATACAATGTGGCTAGACATAGTTTGATTCAATATACAGGGTGTCTGCAAAGTTGAGGTTTTCCTTCACACGACGCGTGAGAAAATAAGCGGACTTTTTTAGTAAAACTCAATCAAACCTGAGCTAAACCGAAGCCGGTCTGATCCCTCGATCACATCCACCGCGCCATAGTAGTTATACGACTACGATGTAAATACGCTAGTATGCAACCTAGACGCCGGTAGTGTAGGTCAACAAACCATTACATTGGTAACTGATTGCCGTTCAAAATATAAAAAATGGTACACTCATACCCCAACAGCGAACTAGTCGACATGCTGTTAATTTGCGGTGAGTGTCTTCACAATTCGACCGAGGCTTCGCGAGCTTATGCAGATCGCTTTTCCAGACGTCATCAATGCCCCGTAGATTTGTTTACCTTGTGCGGAGACTCAGGGACACGGCTCGTTTGGAGGAATGTCGAGGTCGGCAAAGTGGGAGACCTAGGCAACCCCAAATGGTGCAAACTGAGGAAGAAGTACCGAATCTCGTAGGCGAGAATCCTTCAACAAGCTAGACAAGTGCAAGTGTCGAAGACTAAAGTGTGGCAAACACTGCATGATGAGGGATTGTACCCGATTCACGTGCAGCGTGCGGTTTTGTAAGTGGTTGTTGCACCAAAATGACAATAATCCGGACTTTTTGAAGTGCATATTAGTCACATACGAATCCACGTTCATGCGTAACGGGGTGAATAACTTCAGCAATACTCATGTGTGGTCAGTAGAAAATGCTCACGCTGTCCGTCGGTCACACTTTCAACAAACATTTTCTGTGAATGTTTGGGCTGGCTTGGTAAACGGCATGCTCATTGGACCATTTATTCTCCCGAATCGGTTGGACAATACCTAGGTTTTTACAGGACATTTTACCAAGCCTGCTAGAAGATGTGCCTTTGAGTGTAAGACGATCAATGTGGTTTCTCCATGACGGTGCACCGCCCCATTTTAGACGCGAAGTGCGCGAGTTCTTAAATGAATCATTTCCGAATAGGTGGATCGCACGTAATGGACCCGTAGCATGGCCTCAGCGATCTCCAGACTTAACACGGTGTGACTTTTTTCTTGGGGGCGAAATGAAACGCTTTGTGTACAAAACTGAGGTGCACACGGTTAACGAATTACGTCTGATAATTGAGCAAGCTGCTGCATTCATTCGGGGAAGGGACTCCACTCTAAAAGCCAGCACCGTTGCTTGGCTACGCACGCACATGTGTTTTCGAATCCAACGGCGACAACTTCGAACAGTACTTATAAAATACGTTCACCAAGAAAAAGTAAAACCGACGTCATATTTTCGATCTCTTGTTTGTTATTGTTGTTACATGTGCTCCTCGGATTTTACGACAGAGCCGTACTTGGAATTTCAATTCAATTGAACTGTGAGTACTTTTTCATTATTTTTTTTTTACTTGTTCGCTCACGTTTCACCACACATTAGCCTTGTTATATCAAACGTAGTTTTGTCTGAACAGGAAAACCCCAACTTAAAAGTGAAAGCAATGGAACTTTTACGGATCCTTTTAAGAAATCATGCAAAAACGTTGCTTACACTTCAAAGAAAGTAGATAACATTTTACTTTGCAGCGTGAAAATTTCTTTCGTGTATTTTTCAGAAAAATTGTTCATTTAAAATGTATTTCACTATAGGAATGTCCAAAGATTTATTTTTCTATTTTTAAAGGTAAAATAACGCTTGATTCGATATATTTTGTGACCCATCACAAAATATCTAAATAAATATTCATGGCTATTCCTCCATGCTATAGAACACTGACCACTCGCCAGTACTTGTGGTCTAATGTTCTGCAGTCCTAGTCAAAATGTTTAGCCATTCGTTATTATACCAAGTATGTCACAACGAACGCTTACTTATTCACTGTAGTATAACTCAAATTTACATCCAGTTCATCTAATATTTGTAAATGTCTATTTTACTATTTTGTGTATCTCGTCTCGTGTATACATCTGAACAGCTTCCTAATTATTTCTATGCAAATAAAATGTTTTATTGCTGTGATAATTGAATGTTACATAAGCATTATAAGAACGTCATAGTGTATTGCTTATTAAAATTGTCAACACATTAGAAATTTAATAAAACCATATTCAGAACCACATTTTGTACTTTCTTATACGGTCATTCGAATAAACCCGCTTTTAGGGTTTTATAGATTTTTATGAGAGCGTTTATCGCCCTACGTGAAATTCAAGCGTAAAAGGTGTAGCGCGCTAGGGGCTCTAAAGGTGCACACTCAATGAGGGGAAAGGAAACGAAGAGAAAGCGAAATAACTCTGCCTTTAGGGGGCGGGGCCTTGACAAGAAAAATTGTATACATTGCTATGTAACAATTATTGCAAGACCTGAATTGTAAGACGTTCGCTTTTTTTTGATGTGCTGGACAATTCCCAGTTTTCTGGGAAAGTGCCAAATTCGTAAGATATCTGGAAGAGACGCGTAAGAACTAGAGCAAGCTCCTCTTATTCAGTACAACAGCAGTAATTAAATTCGAACCAGAACCTTTTTTTTATGTCACAGGGTCATTTCATCAGAAACGATGCTTAAGTGCTGAAGCATTCAGCCGTCGCTCTTCAATATTTAATCACTAGTAGATCCCTCTCGGAGAGATCTACGACCGGATAAAAGTCAGGTCAAAAATAGAGTAACATTTCAAGTGGAAGAGATAAGTAATTTCACCGTACTATATGGGTGCCGGCAAATGCAGCCGTTGCCCGGCAGCAAATGCATACAGATAGATCGATCTCGTGTTTGATGTTAAGTATCGGTCAAGTTACTTAATGGCCCTAGGCCGTAAAGAAAATGTGAGCATTGATCAACTTATTTTATATGAATATAGGTAATCATATAATGTATTCTGGCGTCCAAAAAGGCTGTGAAAGGTACTACCGCCATCTATGAGACAGTAGCAGAATACAAAAATAATTTTAGTAATCTACTTTGAAACAAGAAAAAAATCGTTCGCACGAGGATCTTCAATCTCTCGCTCTTTGGCCTCTTTAATGCATATTTTCATAGGGTAACTTATTGTGGAATAAGTTAGTCAATATCTAAATGTCTACCCATTTGAAATAGGCATTAGATAGGCTGTAAAAATAAAGGATTCAAGATCCTAGCGCCATCTATGAAAGGGTAGCAGAATCAAACGCTTAACTCTTTTCAAAATATTTCTAAATTAATTTTTGTGCTTTGTTTCTCTTTCATAGAAATGGCGATAGTATCTTTCAAATCTCTTTTAGAACGCCAGAGTATAGTATGGTTGGCTATATAATATACGCTGTAAGACTCAACGCCCAGAAAATCTATTCTTAAACTATATTTCACCAGCCGGTCGTGGAAAAAAACTATTGATTCCTATGTGGAAAGCACTTAAACTTCACCGTACGTTTTATCAGTCTTTGGAAATGTTGGTATATTTTATAACCAAATTATTATTGTGAATTTAAGTATAACAACAGAAAAATCTAAATTCATGTCAATACTTTCTTTATACTCAGGCATTTCCAAGACGAATTGTTAGCAGACTATTTTTTCTAACTAGTGTGATTTGCTGGTAAAATATGTCGCGCTTCAATATTTGCTTTAATCGTCCGGACTATAACGTTCTGTTTTGATGATCGTATCACCCTGTAGCCGTCGAAACATTCACCTCAACGGCGGCAACGTTGTCCGTGTCACGCCGCGCCGCGTCTGGGTCGCGTTTCTCAGTTCGCAGACTCAGACCAGTTGAGTAGTTTCGTTTAGTTTGCTCGTTTTCCGTTGTGAATATCGTTGGTATCTCCACCGTGGTGTGCACTAGGCCAGACTTCGTGAATTCGCTTCTCGTTTCCGCTGCCTGGTAGTTGCCAGGTCCCCGGCTCGTCACCAAGGGCGAATTCGCCGCCCTTTCGCGATGGCCATCTCCAAACAGCAACAGCAAAATGATGAAAAAGACAACGGGGGCGAATTTCAGTTCTATACACCTGAGCAGCTCACAAGATGGGAAAAGTTCCGCAGGGCGATCTACGATCCTCAAAACAATCAGATCTTAGGCAGGACGCCCAAAAGTTGGGGTGAGTTTCTGTTTTTGCCTCTGATAGTTTCTTGGTGGTGTTTTTTGACGGATTGTTTCACGACCACAGACCTAATCAAAACTGACATAGACGTCAATACATATATGAAGAGCAACTTGATTACTTAACTTTTTATTTTTTAGATTTTCTCTTTTCTATATATACGTAATATAAGTCTTCAACTGAGAATGAAGCACAGAAATTATGAGGTAACGTTTTTCAGAGGATTTATATGGCAATATTTGCAGAAAAATTTAAGTTATGAAATACATCCTGGAACTGATTCATTGGGATTTACGTAGACACATCATATACACACTATTTCTGCTCGTGCTACGTATTTTTGGCAATATTCCACGTGCATATACATCAGCCGATCAGTTTCGTCATTGGCGGATTATTTCTGGATAAAATAAATGTAGTTATACCTATTGCGGCTCATCTGAAGTTGTTCGATGCTTTGGGCGATGAACAAATTGAATTTGGAGTTTGGACAATTTCCTTAATGATCAAAAAATTATCAATTATATAGGTACCTTTTTTGTTATTTTATGTCTCAATTGAACACAATAGCTACCTTGTTCGTTGGGTAATGAAAAATGATTATATCAGCATATTTTCTGTACAATTATGAGCCAAAAATCCATAAATCTACACAGTTGCCTTACACACTTATTTATCATTGGTAGTTAATGATAAACAAAAAACGGAACACAGACCACAAAATATGTACCTATATATCATGAATTTTTGGGCAGTCAAGGGCCTAGCATGTAGCTGCAGTTCAGTTGAACTAAAATGGTGAGAGTTTCTTTAAGTGTGGATTTGTCAGTTAAAAATAAGTTCATATGCATATGAGGGTATACGAACATTTTTTGATGTTTGTATATTTATATGCTCCCAACTCTGTTAATGCTATACACCTATTCGCCACATTAAGATTTCCACGAACATTTGTCTCTAAAACTTGTTTAGAATCTGCGTTCTCCTGTTATCCAAGCACACCGCTCGGCGTACCGGTCCAGCTAACTAATCTATCGGTACTGCAGCGCACAAAACATATACATACATAGTATGGACGTGGACGATAACTCGCTGCAGTTGTATCGCAGTGGGCGCTTCCACGCAGATGTGGGAAGAGACAACGTTGCCATATGGACACTAACGACCGGTAGATCAAGGAAATAATGTCTATGGACTAATCGAATGGGCAAGTTTGACTGCCTTGATCGCTTTAATTTCCCTGATGTTCGTAACTGAATTTTCTCAGAGGATTTAAATTGCGATGAACTTAATCCTTTATAAACTGACGGTGGCGTTGAATGGAAAATGTAGTGTTAACCTACTTGACGCCATTTGTGACCTCTCATACCTATTTCAAATGGGCACTTCAGATGGACTTTGGGTGGACTATGTTGATCAATGCCTGACAGTAGTAGAACGCAACATTACTCCTTTTTTGATTCCGAAACACTGTATATGGTTGGCTATCTTCAGGTACAACACGATCATCAATGGTAAAACACTGAATTAAATATGTACCTATCCTATAAATAATCCATACTTCACCATTTGAAAGGCATGACTTAAAAATTAGCACACACCATTCTTTCGATTTTTTGAAACTCGTTTTCGAAAGAAATGGAAACATTTGATGTAAGTGTATAACAGCAGAGCTCATACTGTTTATTTTGGAAATATACCCAGCTGCGGCAACAATACGTTATAAATATTCGCTTAGTTTACTAGAAGATGAAAATCATTCATGTGTTGTTCCTATTGATTATTACTTATCTACAAAACGTAAGCTATATTTATCCGAATAATCTGCTTAGTGCGAATGGATTCGCGAATAAAGAGCTTTAACAAGCTCTTTGCCAAAATGAAAGCAACAAGTGTAAACTTTCCAGAAGTATCAATTATTATAACTTCTGTATCCTTCATGTGATGGATTTATTCGTGATGAAACACGTTTTGGCTCATATCCAGCAATTTAGCGTTTTCGAAAGGAAGTATATTGGTTTTATTTTACGTGGAAAAAATGGCGTTAGGTAGGCAGATTCTGCACTTCCCACGCAAGGCCGTCATCGGTTCATAAAGCACAAATTATATACCATCTTAGAAAAACATTAGCTAAGAACAGAAACAGAAAAGTCAAAGGGATCAAGTTAATCAAACAGGCGTACAGACGTCCTTTCCCTGCCCTACTGGCAACGTCGCATCTCTCCGATATCTGGCGGGACATCTCGTTAGACGCGGCAGGCCAGAACACTTACCAAGACCTCGAAAGCTGGTGATCCCAATCAGCAGAAGCAGTGACGCGTATCAAAAGTATGTCTCTGTCATTCTGAGGTTTAATGGCAATGTAGGGCGAAATCTATGATTGTGTGGATTATATCTAATAGGTGCGTGAAACTACTTTTTTTTGTAGAAGCATATAAATATACTATCAAAAAAAATGAGCTTTACTAAATTTTTTTTCAAAAATGGTTACGGTCCTCTGAAACGTCAGAAAACGAAGTTTGGGCGTTTTTTTTGTTCTTGACCGTTCTATACAAAGCCTTTTTGTCTTTGGTGCAGTAGTACTTTCCAAGTTATAGACCGGCCAAGGATATGCGGGCAGACATACCGACGGAAATGGGTAACATGGTTCTTCGTGTTGTCTGTCATAACATCCAAAAATATAATATCACGTTTTGCGATTGTAAAACTTCCTGGCCAGTAGGCGTGGGAACTAAATGAGTGGGCTACCATAAGTTTGATCAGCAGCATCAGCGTTTTATCAGCATTTATTAGTTTTTGTTTATAATGTTGATCTTCTCAATGCTTTTTTCCTTGTTTGGCCTGTAAATAGTATAATTTTATAATTTATTGTTCTGTTATTGTTTCATCTGTATGTTCCATGTATAAACTTTTGTTGAGTTTCGTCCATATTGTGGTTAAGTGGAAAAGTATTCGTCAAGCTAAACTTCTCCATATGGTGTGGAAGGTTACCAGTTAAGTTATTATTGACTCACGGCGTGAAAATCGAGCCCAAGGCTCGAATCGTCTGTGACCCTTAACTCACCAGAAGACAAACACTTATATCTAAAAAACACAAAATTTTTTAAACGACCGGCTATAATAAAAAATTTGGATTAGCGTAAAATTAAAATAAATTGACCCTGCAATTGTATGGCTTGTAGTTGTGTCTTTGTCTAGCAACGAATAACTAAGAATGACAGTTTGGGTGGTCGCCTAGAAACCCTATTCATAAAGTTCCCGGCCGTATATAAAATTTTTGATTTATACCTGTACTTATATTTATAATAAAATAAAAATTACAGTTTTAAAATCAAGCTTTTCTTTAGCTGATAATAAAACGAACTAAAAATTTAAAAATATTTTTTCCGATTCGAAATATTTGAACGATGATTATACTCCTTCATTTCAAATTTTCGAATCAAAGCCAGTTACACCGTTGTTCCATCCTGTTGTCAAAACTTCACGCTTTTATTTGAAAATTTGAGATGAATGTACAAAATGAATTATTATCACGTGAAACAAATGTGTGTGTCAAGGTTATATTGGTTCAAAATTCATGTCCAAGATTTATATATAACAAAAAGACCAAGTTAAATAAAACCTTGTAAAAAATGCTGATGATTCAGTCAATTCGTTACTTTTTAGTTCAGTGTTATAAATAAACACATACATACAGGATACCAGAACTTTAAGTATGCGAAAATTCATCCAGATTAATGCTGGGAAGACTAGTTCATTTTTTTACTGTGATGTTTAAAATGAATCTTGTATCGTTCCATATTGTATGACTACTGTGTGTACACGACTTGTTATATGAGAGCATTCCACCGATAAACTATGTATATGGGATACTTGAACTAGATTGATATTTTATGTAAAGCTTTTTGTTTCTGTAGCTTAGCTAGGGTTATAAATAAAAATCTGGGTTACTTGCACAATCTATTAGTTGTAGTACTGTTTTTCGGAATATTTATTGACACTAGATGATGAAACAGTATAAGTGGATAATGAAATACATGGAAAATGGCTTCAAGTAGGTTGACTATGTTTCCCACACCTTCAAAACAACTTCTAGTACAATTTTCAGGTAGTGCAATGATATCAAAAAGATTTTGTTAGAAACAGCAATACACTATTTGGACCTTTGATGAAAAAAAACGTGCAGCAATGAGCCTCATTTATGTCACATATATCAAATTCCAAAGATGCAATATTTATAAATAACCCCGCTTCGCAAGCATGTGCGACCGATAGTCTGCTGAAAATATGTTTCTGTTTTAAGAGAGAATGCACTAGAAAATCTATGAGGTGTGAAATATGTCTAATAGGTGCGCAGAATTACCGGAGTTGGATGAGTATTATTATACTGACATAAAAAAATTGTCAACTCGCCACCCTACATTTTTTTACCCCTAAAATTTTTTTGAAAAATAATCAGGATCTTTTGAAGCGTCGAAAAATGTAGTTTACCTATTTTCGAAAACTACAAAGGTTTTGCGTCCTTGGCATAGTAGTAACCTTGTTTAAAAATGTCATTCAAATCCGAAAAGTACTTTCTAAGTTATAGATGGTCCAAGAATAAGCAGAACAGACAGACCGATAGACACACACCGTGACATGGTTTTTGGCATATACGAGGCTCTTCCCACTTCAGTTGGCCCACTTCAAGATTTGAACCAAAATATACCTTTATAAACTAAACATGACGAAACTATTTACTTCTAAAACAATTTATTTTCTCAAAAACATTTTAGATACACTCTAGTCGTAAAAAATACATATTTGAAATCACTTAGACCTATAACTAATAGAACATCTGAACAAATAAACAATGTGCGAATAAATGCGCGAAGTTAACAAAGCAACAATTGAAAGATTACCATTGGGTAACATCACCTTCATTTTTTATTACGGCTGAAATTCTTTGGGGCATAGTCTTAACCAAGTTTTGGCAAAAATTTGGTGTAAAACAATCC